GACTATGAGCTAAGGATGGCTACTACATGATATGGATGGTTACATCTGGATTACAACTTCAAGTAAAATGTTGTCGTAAAAGCTCTGCAAATCTAGGCTACAGATCTATGGATCCTTCAAGTCAACAGAGAATTGAAATTACATTTGAAGCTCCATAACACAGTGCTAGGCTACTGACAATACATTAAAGTCAAAACCAACTTAGCAAAATAAATTAATTGACGAAAAATTCAAACACCATTATAATTATCTATACTAACTTCAAAAGAATACATATACAGTGATATATTGATTAAATCAAATGAATATAAAGTGAACTGTTATAAATAAATACAAAATTTCTTTGTTATTTACTGCTGTACTGGTATACAAAATCTATCAGAGCATTGAAATAATGACCAATACTGGTAAAAATATATAACAAATTTGTGAGCGTGTAAACTTGAAGTGAACAAATTTACTCTCATTATCTTTTGCAAAGCATAAGGACAGATCTTCTATATATGCCGACTAAAGAACAGATCTACTCCTATGCCGGGCATAAGAACAGATCTACTCTTATGCCGGGCATAAGAACAGATCTAATCTTATGCCGGGCATAAGAACAGATCTTCTCTTATGCCGGGCATAAGAACAGATCTTCTCTTATGCCGGGCATAAGAACAGATCTACTCTTATGCCGGGCATAAGAACAGATCTTCTCTTATGCCCGGCATAAGAACAGATCTACTCTTATGCCCGGCATAAGAATTGAACCTAATTTGCCCAAACCTCATGTTTGCTGAAGTCCGAGTATTTGTAGGATTCCGAGTTCAAATGTTGGGGTGTTATGTATGTTTAAGTCGGATTAGAACATTGCGATATGCTATTTAATTAGATGTATGGGTTCAAAAAATGATAATTTGGTTTGTTGGTAGAGGTGAGGTCATGTGTTGGCCTAGATGAGGTCACAGTTAAGTAGCTACAGTACATGAAGTTTATCCCAAAGGAGAAGCCTCTAAGGCCAATACCAACCCCTCCCATTCACCAAGTGTACCCTATTGATGGGTCCCACTCCCTCCCTTTCATTCTCCTTCATCCATCTTATTGCAGCATTGTTTTATAATTTTATTATTATTATTACATAATAGGAATGGCATTCATTAAATTACATGTAGTGAAAGTGTTGATATATCAATTTAACATAATAAAGAACATAAGTTCTGGTTTGGGTTTATCCCCCTCCCAACTCATAAAGTAATGTTTATAACTGCAAGGTACTTACTATATAACTGTTGTTCTATAGCATTCTTATAACAAGCATATTCTTGAAATCTTTTACATAAAGGGAGGGGCATACCTATGTGATGTGAAAAGATAGGAGACTAGGTTAATAGCAGGGGAGATTGCATCAAGCAGACATGCTTCTCCCTTGAAGGTCAAAAGTCCCTACCCCTATTCCCTAATATGTAACAACTACTAATTTTTCTGAATCTTGGATTACCAAGCCATTAACAAGTGTTCATATCTGCAAAGAGGTGTTATTAAGTTTGGGTGCTTTTGGCCAAATGTACCAAAGTTAGCCAGTCTCAAGTGATGTATATATGAGTTACACCTACACACTGATTAAACTGCAAATACCCACCTTGCGTACTCGATAAATAAAAGTTATACTGAAATACATGGTTTGGTAGTAATTAAATAAGTATGAATGGTTGAATGTGTCTGAAGTCGAGGTTTAATAAAAAAAAATGCTATAAATCAAAAAATGAAAATGTTATATTGTACCTTGTGTATTTTTATGTTTGCTATAACAAATGCACCGGTGCAGGTTATAATGTGTCATATGAATTAGCATGTATGTATGTAACATGATTTGATACATGGTGCAGATTTTTAATGTGTGCTGTATGATTTCAAGCATGTATGTTGATAGATATGTCATTGAAATGTTTTGAGGTTTAGCATCACTTTTTGATATGAGATTTGTGTGGTAGTGGTATATTGATATTTGTCCTGAAGAGGTACAATGAAGAACAGGCACAGAATAAAAATATGATCCAAATCATTTGATTTTACCTTCAGAAATAACCTCAAAATCTCATTTTGAATCACCTAAGTGTGATATGAAGGAATGTAATGTTATGTTTTTCAAAATTCTGGAAAAACTAGGTGTGACGCTCAAGTTTCGCTAATTAATATCAATGTCTCAAGTATTGTAACTCAGAATAACTCTACATGTATTTCTATCTTCCTCTGTCTCTTAATTATGCTACAATACAAATGTATTCAACAGTGCGTTTAATCTTTATTAAACCTATTTTGGTCAAATTAATTTAGTATTTCATACTCCTCATAACCTGCAGCAACCAGTTTCTCTAATGCTGGAAGATCACTGATATATTCCCATTGTGAGACCTGTCACGCTTAAGCATTTCATATGAATAGAAGTATACCTATTATTCCTTATTAGTAACTCTTGTCTTATGTAGCACAGATATTAGCCATATAGAAGTGCAGGTATCCTATAATAGGGTAAAAGGAAGATAACTGAACCTTCATTGATAACACTGCAAGTGAATTAATATGATTAAGGCTTATTTAATCTCTGTATTGTGTGTCTATGGAGGATATGTTTTTCTTTTAACAGTATATTGTTACAATCTAAGTCTAAATACTAAGTACTGATTAATGACTGTGTGGTGTACTTCGCAGTTTGTTCACAATCATTCCTCATTATGATTTTTTTATTATGTCACCACCACAAGTGGTGACATATTGTTAAAGTCTTCACCTTTTTGTGAATAGTGTTTTGTCAGTTTGAATTTGGTGTTCGGCTGTCGGTGTTTATAACAAATGGCAGGTGGTGACATTTTGCATATTAATGCCTTCTTATACTGCACAGTAATCGATAAATATATTTTCTAAATACTTATTGATGACTTTGTGATATACATGTACAGTACTTTATAATTTGTTCACAATCATTTTTTATTATCAACTTCCTTGATTTCCCTCACTTGTGTTTCAGTCAATAGTGAAACCTTGATTAATACTGAAGGTCTATAGTTTGCCTGTTGACCTTATCCTCATTCAGAAAAGATACAATGAAGGGCTGGCATAAAATGAAATTATGCCTTAACCATTTGATTTTACCTTCAGAAATGTACTCTTTGAACTGATTCCTCACATTCTGATCATTTTGGAATATATCTAAAAAGAATTCTGCCTAATTTCTATACCCAATTATAATGATTAAAATAAATAATATCAATACTTCCATTGGGCATGTGAACACTTATATAATGCAAATAGGACAAAATATAAACAATTTCAGTGATCTCCTCACAATTTTTTCTCAGGTAGGGGCAAAATTCTCATTTTCACAATTTAGACCAAAATTGATCAAAATATGCCAATTTTTCATGATTATCTGGGTGCTGCGCCCACTTGCTTTAATGCTGGGGAGATACTGAATTTGATTTTGATTTATATATACATGTATATTGTATTTATTTATTGTGCTCTTTCCACTTCACTTATGTGAGCTGGCAAGTTTTTTTTGTGAAAATGAAAAATTCTGAAAATATCTGAACATTAGAAGGCAGTTCCCAATTTTAAGGGGGATAAATTGAACGGATCAAACACAAATTCAGTTCTGTGCCTTCTAGCGCTTTACAGTAAAATCTGTGTATATTAAACATTTTTTGCCCTAAAAATCGTTCAGCGTTGGTATCACGCGGTACAAACTTCGACCGTTAATTTGAATTTTTGACCTACCAGCTGCTTGAAAATCAAGGATTGCGAGTCTCATACTGCACCGTTTTTCTTCAAACTTATACCATTAAAAGCAAAACAAAATTGCCTTTCTGTCGGTGCATTACTTTATTGTAAAGAGTTCCTCGTTCAAGCAGCGTTTTGGTCCCCAGCTGTTAGAAGGCCTTCTTACAGCTGGGGACCAAAATGCCGCTGGAAGTAGGGACTCTTATTAAGAGAATAATGTACCATCAGAAAGGGATCTTTGTGATGCTTTGAATGGAACAAGTTTGAAGAAAAACGGTGCAGTATGAGACTCGCAATCCTTGATTTTCAAACATCCGGTAGGTCAAAAATTCAAATTAATGGTCGAAGTTTGTACCGCGTGGGTATAGGTGTTCACTACAGAGCGGGTAATTTATAAAGAAGTCAGTAGAGTATATTTGGAGGAAGGGTGTCCGCTACAGATAGGTGTTCACTTGAGAGAGGTGTTCACTAAGACAGGTTTTACTGTACTAATATGCCATTGCTTTTATCAAAAGGTTCAACAACCAATTATTGCTGTAGAATATCAAGCAACACTAGTATCATTATTATACTGTCTTCTGTTTTATATCAACTTGTTAATAACTAAATAACTAAAATAAGGACAAAGTGACTGAATACAATATTAGTATTCAACAATTGTTTCTCGTAAAAGGGGTTATCTCGTAATTTACCTTGTCGTAAAGGTAATTATTACAGTGCGGAATGGTTATGGTGATCTTGTGCTTGCAAAGTGCAGTATAGTCATCAATTTGTCCTGATGGCGGATGTGGCGACAGGCAGCGTATGAGATTTTGTCATCGAGTAGCAAACTGTTCATTCGTTTATACTTTAATTTTTTACAGAGGCATGATTGACTAGCTCTAAGATCTGATTAGGTCGTGGGTGTGCATTGTCGTTTATTTTGAATTCTAATGTGATATCTATCACCATTCTGATACTCATCACATGTTTCTGCCTTCAACTAGAAATATGCTAATTAATAGAAGGCCATGATTTCTCATGATGATCTCTCACTTTGTGACTTGTTTTAACTACATTTAGAGAATAATTGTATGCTATCAGTGTACATATGGAGGAAGCATTTTAAAGATTCAAACCAAATAAACCAGAATTTATACCACACATTAATGTCATGTACACAAATAGTATATAATAGGAATGTGGAATATGTGATTGTCTTACATTGTAATTAATAAATGTATTTTCTGTATTTCCAGGATACTGGCATTGAAACACTGGTAGATGAACTGTATATCAAGTTGAAGGAACATCAGATCAATCAATCTTGTAAGTATTTATTTTCGAGGTTTTTTTATCGAAGAGGCATTTTACCGGTACTTCTTCATATCTAAGTATTTGATCTTTTTATCGCACTTATTCATATCTAAGTATTTGATCTTTTTATCGCACTTATTCATATCTAAGTATTTGATCTTTTTATCGCACTTATTCATATCTAAGTATTTGATCTTTTTATCACACTTATTCATATCTAAGTATTTGATCTTTTTATCACACTTATTCATATCTAAGTATTTGATCTTTTTATCGCACTTATTCATATCTAAGTATTTGATCTTTTTATCGCACTTATTCATATCTAAGTACTGTGTACTGAGAATGATTCTAATTTAGTTACTTTATTCTAGAACAAACAATACAAAACAGTCCCTACATATCTCTCCTTGACATGTTTAGAGGTTTTAAGTACCACCTTAGCACTTTATCTTTTTTTGTTTTTGGGTTACCTTGACCAAAGGCAATGAATATTGTATTCCAGTGAATCCCTATAGCTAGTTCCCTTGTATACATGTACTGAACAGGCACTTCACTGAAGAAAAATTTAAATGGTTTACATCTTCGTATCTCCTCTTATATCTGGTAGCCATGTTCAAAAATATTGTCCTGAATGTTCATTTGTCTCGACTTTCATGTTTTGCATGAAATATTGAATTTTAGTTGCGCAATTGTAATATTTTGGAACAAAGTTTATTTGAGCCAAAATTAAGCTGTATCATTGCTTCGTAACTAAAGTATGATTTTTTGTATTTTTGGCAATACTGTACATGCATGATTTTTCTAAGAGATCTACTGGTTATCTGTTTTCAGTCTTCTTTCACGAGAACACAATGCCCTGTATATGTGACCTTGATCTTTGTATTGTTATTATTGAGGATTCACGTGATACATGTACTTTTATATGATGATGTCGAAAATTAGTTAACTAATGAAAACATATTCAGTGTTCTCTTAACTTTTACCACTCATTTTGGATCAAGACCACCATCTTTAATAAAGATCATCGTTAGTTTACAAAGGCACTCTGATTTTACCACTCTGCTTTACAAGCGGCACCACACAAAGATTCTGATCATTAAATATTGCCACCGCTTATTTTAGAAAATGTGGAGCACCAAGATATAGCTAATGAATATATTATATTAGGCTGACAAATATAACAATGATCAATACATGTTCAGCATTAAAGGTCACTAGATGTAAGAAACAATATGGACTCCAGTTTCCTATTTTATTTCAGCTTTGTAAAACTTCAAGCTTTGCTTTTATGTTGCAGATCTAATATATTTCTAGTTCACCTCAAATGGAATTATTACTCAAGTCAATATATATTTTGGTTGAGCCCCATTTTAGCATTTGCCTCTTTTAAGTTTGTTGTTAATATTTTAATTCTTTGGTAATACCTCATTTCACACTGTGGCAGTACCTTGGTTATCTTTTCATTATCTTTTATTATCTTTCAAATGTCACAACCACAAGTTGTAATATATTGTTATAGTCTTCAACTTTGGCATCTGTAACAAATGGCACGTGGTGACATTTTGCATGTTATGGCCTTGTAATACCCAAACTCCATTTTAATACTTTCGCTGTGGTAATACAGTATACATCATTACACTTATTGTTGTTTTAGTGAGTGTAGTGAGTCCTTGTCAGGCAGACCTCAGTGAGGGCAGTGACAGTGTACTATCAACATTATTACACTTATTGTTTCAGTGAGTGTAGTGAGTCCTTGTCAGGCAGATCTCAGTGAGGGCAGTGACAGTGTACTATCAACATTATTACACTTATTATTTCAGTGAGTGTAGTTAGTCCTTGTCAGGCAGATCTCAGTGAGGGCAGTGACAGTGTACTATCAACATTATTACACTTATTATTTCAGTGAGTGTAGTTAGTCCTTGTCAGGCAGATCTCAGTGAGGGCAGTGACAGTGTACTATCAACATTATTACACTTATTATTTCAGTGAGTGTAGTGAGTCCTTGTCAGGCAGATCTCAGTGAGGGCAGTGACAGTGTACTATCAACATTATTACACTTATTATTTCAGTGAGTGTAGTTAGTCCTTGTCAGGCAGATCTCAGTGAGGGCAGTGACAGTGTACTATCAACATTATTACACTTATTATTTCAGTGAGTGTAGTTAGTCCTTGTCAGGCAGATCTCAGTGAGGGCAGTGACAGTGTACTATCAACATTATTACACTTATTATTTCAGTGAGTGTAGTGAGTCCTTGTCAGGCAGATCTCAGTGAGGGCAGTGACAGTGTACTATCAACATTATTACACTTGTTATTTCAGTGAGTGTAGTGAGTCCTTGTCAGGCAGATCTCAGTGAGGGCAGTGACAGTGTACTATCAACATTATTACACTTGTTATTTCAGTGAGTGTAGTGAGTCCTTGTCAGGCAGATCTCAGTGAGGGCAGTGACAGTGTACTATCAACATTATTACACTTATTATTTCAGTGAGTGTAGTGAGTCCTTGTCAGGCAGATCTCAGTGAGGGCAGTGACAGTGTACTATCAACATTATTACACTTGTTATTTCAGTGAGTGTAGTTAGTCCTTGTCAGGCAGATCTCAGTGAGGGCAGTGACAGTGTACTATCAACATTATTACACTTATTATTTCAGTGAGTGTAGTGAGTCCTTGTCAGGCAGATCTCAGTGAGGGCAGTGACAGTGTACTATCAACATTATTACACTTGTTATTTCAGTGAGTGTAGTGAGTCCTTGTCAGGCAGATCTCAGTGAGGGCAGTGACAGTGTACTATCAACATTATTACACTTATTATTTCAGTGAGTGTAGTGAGTCCTTGTCAGGCAGATCTCAGTGAGGGCAGTGACAGTGTACTATCAACATTATTACACTTGTTATTTCAGTGAGTGTAGTGAGTCCTTGTCAGGCAGATCTCAGTGAGGGCAGTGACAGTGTACTATCAACATTATTACACTTATTATTTCAGTGAGTGTAGTGAGTCCTTGTCAGGCAGATCTCAGTGAGGGCAGTGACAGTGTACTATCAACATTATTACACTTATTATTTCAGTGAGTGTAGTTAGTCCTTGTCAGGCAGATCTCAGTGAGGGCAGTGACAGTGTACTATCAACATTATTACACTTATTATTTCAGTGAGTGTAGTGAGTCCTTGTCAGGCAGATCTCAGTGAGGGCAGTGACAGTGTACTATCAACATTATTACACTTGTTATTTCAGTGAGTGTAGTGAGTCCTTGTCAGGCAGATCTCAGTGAGGGCAGTGACAGTGTACTATCAACATTATTACACTTATTATTTCAGTGAGTGTAGTGAGTCCTTGTCAGGCAGATCTCAGTGAGGGCAGTGACAGTGTACTATCAACATTATTACACTTGTTATTTCAGTGAGTGTAGTGAGTCCTTGTCAGGCAGATCTCAGTGAGGGCAGTGACAGTGTACTATCAACATTATTACACTTATTATTTCAGTGAGTGTAGTGAGTCCTTGTCAGGCAGATCTCAGTGAGGGCAGTGACAGTGTACTATCAACATTATTACACTTGTTATTTCAGTGAGTGTAGTTAGTCCTTGTCAGGCAGATCTCAGTGAGGGCAGTGACAGTGTACTATCAACATTATTACACTTATTATTTCAGTGAGTGTAGTGAGTCCTTGTGGGGCAGATCTCAGTGAGGGCAGTGACAGTTTACTATCAACATTATTACACTTGTTATTTCAGTGAGTGTAGTGAGTCCTTGTCAGGCAGATCTCAGTGAGGGCAGTGACAGTGTACTATCAACATTATTACACTTATTATTTCAGTGAGTGTAGTTAGTCCTTGTCAGGCAGATCTCAGTGAGGGCAGTGACAGTGTACTATCAACATTATTACACTTATTATTTCAGTGAGTGTAGTGAGTCCTTGTCAGGCAGATCTCAGTGAGGGCAGTGACAGTGTACTATCAACATTATTACACTTGTTATTTCAGTGAGTGTAGTTAGTCCTTGTCAGGCAGATCTCAGTGAGGGCAGTGACAGTGTACTATCAACATTATTACACTTATTATTTCAGTGAGTGTAGTGAGTCCTTGTGGGGCAGATCTCAGTGAGGGCAGTGACAGTTTACTATCAACATTATTACACTTGTTATTTCAGTGAGTGTAGTGAGTCCTTGTCAGGCAGATCTCAGTGAGGGCAGTGACAGTTTACTATCAACATTATTACACTTATTATTTCAGTGAGTGTAGTGAGTCCTTGTGGGGCAGATCTCAGTGAGGGCAGTGACAGTGTACTATCAACATTATTACACTTATTATTTCAGTGAGTGTAGTGAGTCCTTGTCAGGCAGACCTCAGTGAGGGCAGTGACAGTGTACTATCAACATTATTACACTTATTATTTCAGTGAGTGTAGTGAGTCCTTGTCAGGCAGATCTCAGTGAGGGCAGTGACAGTGTACTATCAACATTATTACACTTATTATTTCAGTGAGTGTAGTTAGTCCTTGTCAGGCAGATCTCAGTGAGGGCAGTGACAGTGTACTATCAACATTATTACACTTATTATTTCAGTGAGTGTAGTGAGTCCTTGTGGGGCAGATCTCAGTGAGGGCAGTGACAGTGTACTATCAACATTATCACACTTGTTATTTCAGTGAGTGTAGTGAGTCCTTGTCAGGCAGATCTCAGTGAGGGCAGTGACAGTGTACTATCAACATTATTACACTTGTTATTTCAGTGAGTGTAGTGAGTCCTTGTCAGGCAGATCTCAGTGAGGGCAGTGACAGTGTACTATCAACCTCTCCAGATGATCCTGCTGAAAGGTAACACCAAAAATCAAAATGCTGTCTAATATTGCAGTGCTGTTTATATTCCTCTTTTTCATATTAAACTTCCTGCCAGTTTGTATAAAAAATAAACTGTTAATTACCAACAGGATGGCATTTGATTTAAACCTTATGTGCGAAGGTTACATATGAAAAGCACACCTATATTACTTCATCAACCAACAAAACTGTTGAAGATATAGTCATGTTATCTTGTATGCACAACATAGTGCATAATTTGTACATTATTTGACTGCTTATGTTTTAGGTATTATGCTGCATTTCCTGCCTTAAGTGATGGTGAGAATGGTGGGACTCCCCAGCCCCCTCTACCTCCCCCTATCCCTCCTCTACAGCAAACTGCCCCTACTGTTTGGCGACGAACCTCTAAACAACTCTTCACTAAATCTGGAGCTGATCGTGATCTAAGTCCGTATGATAACGTAATTGTTGGAGACAAATCTGCCCCTACTACTCCCAAATCTGATATCTCAAGAGATGTTAGCCCCAAATCAGGTTCCAGTACACCTAGTAAACCAACCAAAGGAGATAGGAAGGATGTGAGACGAGGGGGGAAGATGTCCACAAGGGAGAAGAGCCCATATACTAGTAGTTCGAAGTCTGTATCATCATCCAGAGAAGTGAGCCCTAGAGTAGTCCGCAGGAGGAAGAAGAGTCATCAGAACAGCGATGAGTCCTATGACTCAAGGAAGTATTCTAGAAGGCACCACTCTGATAGGGTCAGGAACAGGGACAGTGGAGGAGCAGGAGGTACCACAAGACAACCTCCCAAAGCCGGAAAATCAGAGCGTGTTTACTTGGAAAGGAGTCATTCTTCAGGTCGTCATCCACCATCTCGTACTAAGAGTTGGCCCCAGTGTGAACCTAGCTTCATCCTACCAAGTACCAAGGTTCTGCCCCATTGGGCTGAGAGTAGAGGCTCTAGGAGGCAGCCTGTACCCAGTGACAACAGTCGAACCAGGCGCAAAGTGCGTACTTCTCCAGAATCCAGAGCTGAAAGTCCAGAGGTTGCATATGAAGCTCATCATCGTTTACGAACTGTCAAATTTCGGTCTGTGCCAATCAGTAGTAAATTCTATGACGATGATCACAACCCCCTGCTACTGTTGAACAGAACCTGGAGCGCAGGTGAGAGCAACCCTAGTGAAGATGTTACATGGTATACCGAACCATTTGATGTGTTTGAATGCAGTTCTCCCATCCCTGGTGAAAGGTTGTACCATAGACAGAGCAGCACAGGGGGTGACTCAGAGAAGGATCCATCTGAGCATATCACTGAGGATATCCTTGCGATTATAGATGATGAAGAGTCTGGGGAGTTTGACGATTCTTTGGAACTGGGTGCATGTGCACTAATGCTGAACAATGATACAGGATTCCTGGATGTTGATAGTAAAGCACATGGAACGAATAGTTCACGTTTGATGAAGCTGTTTAGCAACTCAACCAGATGTAGCAGCCCAGGTTCTGAGAGCTCTCATTCACTACAGGAGCTCTGGGGACTAGGGTACTCTGAACCATCATCCCCTGTGTCGGGGCAAACTAAGTTCTATGTGCCACTGTTGAATCACTCCAACTTCTACCTAGGGATTTCTCCAACATCCGAGGACCCTATTTCTCCTATGACAAGCTTTCATAGTGAACAAGATATGGAACCTTTCATGCTAACTGCACCTTCCTCTATAGAGAAGTCATGTAGTGTGAGCAGTGATAGCACTATCAAGTCTTCAAGGCTCCTTAGATTGTTCAGCAACGAAAGTGATACAACTGAAGGCACCCCTCGTCAACTTGCCCTCATTGAAATAGAGCGGGAAGCTGAGGATGATGCGCTTTTCAATGATGGTGACTATCCAACACCTACAAAAGCTAGTGGTCCCACAAGAGTAATTGCGAAAGAACAACCTGCAATACCACATCTTGTACAGTTTAACATTGAACCAGATAACAGTAGCAGTGATAAAGATGTTGATGATGAGGAGGATGAAGTGACGCCTAAACAAGAGAGTAATGTCTCCACCTTGTGGAAACTCAATAACAACACCATTGATGCAAGCTTGAAATCTCCTGAGGTTCTACACACACTACAACCTGGGGAAGATGCGGAAGCCACACCACGGGCAGTTCCCATCAAGTTCTCCCAATGTGCAAATAACGTCCAAGAAAAGGAACAAACGACATTTGATAACCATTTTATTTTTCCTGGCCAAACAAAAAAGGATCATTTAATGGAGAAGGCAATTGCAGATATTGAACAACTATTTGAAGATGACGATGATCCATTTTTACCCACAGGAGTTGCTGATATCCCATTTCAATCTGTATCAATGTCATGCCCATCTAGTCTTTCAATGGCTCAGACATTTCCCAACAAGGCACATGTAGCAAACACAGAAAGCCTTGGAGTTCAACTTGAAACCCCTGGAATACAACATGAAACCCCTGGTACCCAATTTAAAATGAAGAAAGAAAAAAGTAGTGACTCAATATCAGCTGTGTGGATAAAACCTGACAATGTCCAGAATAAAGAAACAGTCATGAGCCATAGCTGTGTCTTACTTAAAGATCAAGCATCTGATACTATTACGATACAACCACCTGATCACCCTGTAATAGACCCAGAGGCTGAATCTGACTCTGATATAGATTTCTCTGTGAAATCTCAAAGTTCAACTCCATCTGATGAACTGGCTCTAGACACCAGTGTTGTACCTAACATATCAACTGAATTGCTAAATCCCAGTAGTGCAACCAAACTAGCTGATGTTCCATTCACTGTTGCATCCATGGAGGCCAGCACGGAGTCTGTAATTGAGGAGTTGCTGAATGAAATCAATGAAGATCTTCAGAAAGCTTTGAATATTACTTCAGATCAGGAAGATGTTGGATCCGATCAGCTTGTTAAGATTCATTCAGATTGTTCCAGTGTTGGTTCTGTTGTAGAAGAGCTTTTAAATGAGAAAGGTGATACTGGTAGAAGTAGTGTCCCATGTGTGAAGTCCAGAACAAGTAGTAGTAATGCCCCCAGTATGAAGACATCGCAACAGGAGCTTGCTGATAAGACAGCTAGTGAAATGTCATCAGATAAAAGCTTTGAGTCTCTAGCTGCTCTGTGGGATGAGGCTGATGTTGATAGATTCGAAGAGTATGATAATGTCATAAATGATAGACCTGGAAAGGCTATTCTGATGGATAAATGTTTCAGTCAGTTAGCAGAAATCTGGGGCCAGGATTCAGAATCCATATCCACTGTGTCAACTAGTGACTCACTCATGGCTATGGCAGCTGAGCAACGTGTGGAACAAAATAAGGATAATAAACATAGTAAGGAAATTATGGATGATCAGAAGAATACCATCAATCCAATAAATCTTCAACAGATGCTGTTTGAAATCTGGAAAACTAATGAATATGATAGTCCATTGTACCAGAGATTCAATGGGTTCACAACACATGATGGGCACACTATTTCCTCTGCTCTCTTCCTATGTGACCCAATCTGGGGTATGGACCACAAGTCAACAACATGGCCACCTATATGGTCCACTTCCACCATTCATGCAAGCCCTTTCAACGCAAATAGGGGTAACACTTTCTATTCCCCATACAGATTCATAGCAGGATTTGGAAATGAGATTTGGGCATATGAAACATCTAAAAATCCCTATGCAACTGATACCCAGCATGTTACAATGGTTGGAAACATTGGAGCCTCACCATGGAAGAACATTGTCATTGGTCCCTCTCCTTTCAAAAGCCTCAACAGTATGAATGTCTCACCACTACGGAATCTTGAAATCAGTGCCTCCCCTTTGAAGAACCTGGGCAAAGGCTTATACAGGCTATGGGATGTAAATGCTCAGAGAAGGCTTGATTTTGACAATATGACTGGAATTACCCCGGCATTTTTCCCAAATAGTCCACAGGTTCTACCCAGGGATTTCATACAGGGAGGAGTATATGGAAACTTCCTTACATTGTCCTATGAAAATATATGGGATGTGAATTCCTTCACTGAAACTGTTGGGACACAGTTTCTTGATCCCCATGATCTTTCTTGGCCCTCTGTTCAGCTTCATTTCCCCAAGCCCAGGGCTCTGCGAAGGAGGAGTATCTCATTGGAGAGTGTGGACACACATAATCCATCGACCCCTAGAGCAGTTTGCAGTAAAGATGTTGATCCAAGTACAAAAAGTTGCAAAGATCAATTCCTTCATTCTGAAAACTCTGCATTTCACAACCAGATCCCAGGCAAGTTAAGTCATGTCCATAGTGAACCTGTGATCGTATATCAACACCAAGGAGAGCTGTGTTTGCTAGGAGGCCACCAGAACTATGCATTCACATCCACAGCACCACCAGTCCCTTCCCAGATTGCCCCAGCTCAGTCCCAGCCTCCTGTGAGGCCTTGCACACCTGAACAGAATTTACAAGTGACCAAGACTGACAGTTTGTTATTCTCCCCAGAGACTCATTTCCGACCAATCAAGACCCCTCCTGCAGATAGCCCACAGACGAGAGAAGAAAGTCTCGAGTTAGATGATGAATGTGAAGATGGATACCAATTATATCAAGGATCAGAAACAAACACAATCAAGCGTGCGTTTATACCAAAATTTCGTGTGAAGGATGAGCCTTTGAGTAAATCCATACAGACGAGTAATTCTCCAAAGAAAGCTGAATCTGGTTATAATCTTGATGTTGAGGCGAAAAGACGCGCTGAACTGATTGTGGAGAATGCAAATAAGGCATTGTATAAAAATATGAACAGTAGAAAATCTAGTCAATCTTTGGATGAGGAACAGTGTTACGAAACATCAGAAGAAATTGTTCTGAGTGTAATTCAGCCTTTATCTGATTCGCCTCAAAATGTTGAAAATCTTTACAACAATGCGCTAAAGTTACGAAACTGGTCAGATTCTACTACTGATGAGCCTGGCCCAACTTGTGATAGCAACCAACAAACAGTATTACAAACAGTGGACACCCAGAGCCCTCTGGGGGAGTCCATTCATATTGATGACATTAATGGGAAAAATTTACTCGAAAATGTACAGCTGCATGATATTTGGGAGAATAAGTGTTTGGACTGTAGTGACCAATCAAACGTGAAAGCAGGCAGTAATGTAAATATATGGAGACGAATGAATGAATCTGGAAGTGTCTCAAAATGGGACTCTATAGACAATCTTAGCTCATCTCTGGGAGAAACTTGTACAGAAAATCCAGCGTCGCAAATCAGGGAACATTCTCAACCAAATAGTTACCAATCCTGTAAATTAATGTGGAGTATGGGGGAAAATGAGTTCATGATAACAGGGGCTGGAAGCCTTGAAGCTGTTGATACCGGGACTAGCCCAATTCCACAGCCCGCTAGCCCTTTAACACACATCTCTAATCGGAATTATGAAAGTCCCTCTGTGATGGTTTCTGAAGCCCCGAAACGTAAGTGGAGTCACGGTGAAGATGAAATTGCCACAGATGCTCTCTTATTGCAGCAGTCCCTGTTTACTTCTGATGAACCCCTGAACTTGTGGAGCACTACTGATCTGAATGACAATACTGATGTGACCCTGTGGGGGAACAAACCATCAACTTCTCCCCATGATCGAACATGGAACAAACCTGCTCAAGCTTCTCTTCATGAAGCCACCAAGTTGAAAAACACTTGGATGAAAACCCAAGCTCAAAATATACCGAAATCTAGCAGCATGGTGAAGAAACATTGGTCGAATTCTCACTCTGATAGTAACTCACAAACGGACATTCCCACATTGGATAGCTATACGTCAATCCATGAACCGGTAAAAATAGTCCAATCAGCCTGGGAGCTTGGGCAGTCTATTGAGCAAACAAACCAAGATACTAAATATCCAGCTCATATTCATTCAGTTGATGTATGGCCAAATACAGCCACTAGTCTACAACAGAGATCAGCTCAAATCCAGTTAGATGATGATGTCTTTGTGGACTGTAATGTGGACTTCAATGCAATGGTAAGTACAAGTATTATTATCCCATCCATGGACAAACATTAAACACACAGTAAACCCTGTCTTATTTGAATGCCATTAGGAGCACCAAAAGTGTTCATATTAGGAGGTGTTCACATTTCAATGTTTCTTAATATGTGAGTCAATGGAAGATAACAAAATTAGGACTGGGAAAAAGTGTTCACATTGAGGGGTGTCCAAATTATTGAAGTGTTCTGATATATATTCAGAGTTCAAATGCATCTTTTTGAGTTACCTCATCTAAAATAAACATACTAAGAAGAATATTGCATAGAGTTCTATGTGTAATGAAACTATTCAAGTTTAATCTAATTTGAGTCAGCAATTTCATTTTAGTTAATAAATATTAAGTGTAAAATCAAGATGTGTCAGTTTCCTATTGTGATAATGATTTATGGTAAATTTGATGTGGTTTTCTGGTTGTATTGCAGATGTTCCCCACTGATGGCCCTGGCCCACCCCACAACCAAGACACCTACTCTACAGAAGTTCAAACTCAACCTTACAACCAAGCCCTCTACTCTAGAGATGCCCAAACTCAACCCCATAACCAAGCCCTCTACTCTACAGATGCCCAAACTCAACCCCATAACCAAGCCCTCTACTCTACAGATGCCCAAACTCAAGCCCACAACCAAGCCCTCTACTCTACAGATGCCCAAACTCAAGACCACAATCAAGCTCTCTACTCTATGGATGACCCTGCCCACAATCAAGCCCTCTATTCTACAGATTCCCAGACTCAAGCCCACAACCAAGCCCTCTACTCTACAGATTCCCAGACTCAAGACCACAATCAAGCCCTCTACTCTACAGATTCCCAGACTCAAGACCACAATCAAGCCCTCTACTCCACTGATTGCCCTGGTGGACTCCACAATCAAGCCCTCTACTCTACAGAACTAGAAGAACAATGGTTAGCTGCTGATGAAGAATTCCAGGTTCAGACACCGAAACGAAAAGGAGAAAGGCCAGGTATGTAACAAAATTGATTCATTCAATGCCTTGGTAAATGGTAATCATAATACTAGTAATATCATTCACTGGCTCTAATTTCTGATCCATGCCCTTGTTTCTCCAAAAGGGACAAAATTCATAAATATCAATGATGGTTGTTGATATCGCATTGAACACTATTATATTGCAATCATAGTAAAAACCATAAGCCTTGATTTTTGTGTTTCAGGAAATCCAAGAAAACCATGCAGTTTCTTCTTAGAGGGCCAGTGTAGGAGAACTGACTGTAAGTTCACCCATGATCTCTCCACAATCACCTGTAGGTTCTGGGAGGAGGGAGAGTGCTTCAAAGGCATCACATGTCCTTTCTTGCATGGCTACCATGGAGGGTAAGTTTTTATCAAGGGTCTCGTATAATGTCATTATTATCCTACTTGAAAAAAGGGATTTAATGAAGTTGGCTGTTCATCAACCTCTTCGTTTTTTCATCTGTATGACCAATACCACATATTCCAGTTCATTTTCCTTGCTCAGTGTAGGAATATTTTGATTTCAAACATACAAGTCATAAAGATAAAATCCATAATTAAATACAGAGCAGCTGTTAATTTGTTGTTTGGTCCAAATTTTATAGCCTGGTGCCTGAAGACAGGTTCCCAATGTGGCCATTGAATTCAAATGGCATCCATATTTCCTAAACAGTACAGTGCAATATAAATACAGGGTGATCACTAAGTTCTGGGAATTGGTCTGTCATTTCAATATTTTTCAACCAATTCAATTAAAACTTCCAGCAAATGTACATTGTATAATTCTGAATTGACAGATAATGTTTCATATACATATCACTTTTACAATTTATTTTATTGTTATTATAAAAAAAGTAAAACTGTTCCGCGGGTCAGCAATTTTTGACTGACGTTAATTTGAAAATATCCTGCTAAAATATATTCATCTTGCCTAGATGGTTGGTTCAAAATTATTGTACTAGAGGCAGAACAGTACTCTTGAAGTCATTTATTCAGAAGTATTCTTCATCGCTGGGAGGATCATTTCATTTATAATAATTTCCATAGGCCTGGACGCCCATGTATTGTTGTCAAACCTAGTCCATAAAGTTGCTTTCCAGTCCTCCCCTTGGTATCCCTTGAAAAATTGCTTAAGCTGTTGAGATCAGTCCCTCAACGGAACCAAACTTATGATGATCTCTCATATGATGCTTTTAACAGTCAAATTTCGTGAACCTAATGGTGGTTCATCTGGTGAACATTATATGGTGAATATGGGGCATGAACAACTTGTGTGAACCTAAATTCTTCAAGACTAGTATGGGCAATTTGAGGAGTGTGAAGAAGCATAGTCATAATGGAAGATAACTCCCTGCTATTTTGAGTCATGATTGTGACTTTGAGAGTCTGACCAATGATAAGAAAATTTGAGCAAAGAACACTCTTATATCACAATACAGATGTTACTTTAGAAACTAAAGTTAGAAATATTTGAAAACATAAAAAATCACAGAAATTTGTCCACCAAATAGGTATTAATTCACCATACTTTTGGATCAAGTAAAATAAAAATGAATTCAAGTTTTGCTTGGCCCGCTACGCCATTTGTCATGTTGCTATAGTAACAATAAGTATCCATTGTGACATCATATGACAATGAGACTGTTTCATTCAACCGAAAATTACATTCTCCATTTACCTTGAAACTTTCAAGTAGATTGGTTGAAAAATAATGAAATGACAGATAAATTCCCAGAACTTAGTGATCACCCTGTATGTGTTTTTCAGAAACAACTGCTATGACAAATCGGAAGAATTCCTGTTTGAACATGATGACTTTCCTGAACTTGGATCAAAGGTACTTCATTAAACAATTGAAAAGTTCTTCAATGTCTCCCTATTTTGAGATATAATACAACCTTATGTTTGAGGTCCTTGGATAGTCAGTTTATGGTAAAATGCATAAAACACCCCTGTCATAACTTCATAGAAAATACTTCTAAGCAGTTACAGAAGTTGAACATTTGTGCCACTATAGTTCAGATGTTACGGGAAAACAAAGTTGATTTATATGGTTTAACCCAAACCCTACCCACCCCTCCCCTGAATAAAAACACCTTTGACATTTAGACCATTCCTCAATGTGATTTCAAAGAAAAATTATTGAAATAACACTCTTTGGACACATTCCAGGGAGAAAAACCTGCAGCATCTCGTGCAGGAAAAGGCAGACAACATAACTCAAGTAAGAAACATGGACACTCTATGACAGTTCGACCTGCATACAAGAAATTAGGACGAGGAAAATTCAAGGCGAAGTCAATACCAATGGACATCAAACACAAGAAAAAGCCAGGATGAAGAGTTTGAGAGCATATTCCTGGTTAAATTAAGAAATATTTAGGTGTTGAAATACTAAATATAAAAATAAGAAAGGTATTGCACATATAATGTTATAATATTTTGTAGCACATACAAATATTGCACTAATGAAAGCACACACACATGTGGTAGTGCTAGGTTCAAACTTGCAATTACCTGAAGCACATAAGGTGCGTATATGCAGTCATACTGCTTAGCACATAAATTATGCATACTGACGTTTCAGTCGCATAAATATGCATTGTGTGTAACATATCTCCCATGATGTATCAGGACACATGGTCTGAGATAAGAATAGGCTCGAGACAGCCTGGGAAGCGAAGTATCCCATCTGTACAAGGAAGCAGTGTATAACAATGGACATGATGTTCATGGTACACTGGAAAAAAGAAGTGTAGAATGTGAAAGGAAATACTCTTAATCGAGTAGAATACTGAATTCTATATATACGAGGTACACTAGTATGGACTAGTAGTGGTACAGATGTGGTATCAAATGTAAGTATTCTTGCCATGGAAATTGCATTGTCTTAAAAGAGAAGTGCATAAAGTTAGAAAGCTAATACATAATTCATGTTTATGTACATTGTTAAAGTGTGAAAGTGCATTAATAAATGCAAAAGTTGAGTGTCAGAAATGCATTTTTGAATGCAGAAAGATATTTGAATGAGGAAAAGCATTGTTGAATGTTAGGAAATGCATTGTTTTAATGCAGAAAATTTGTTGAATAGAAGAAGTACATTGTATAATGTACAGGGAGCTAAATTAAAATCAAATGTAAATGAATGGTTGTTATAAAGTTTGTTTGATGTTGAAACTTTCACATGCAGTTTTGCAGGTGAGCAAATGTTCAATTTAAAATGTACAATATGTTGTATAAGAGAAAATATATGAAAAGAAATTCCAGAGAATGGAAAATAAAAAATGGTTGAAAAAAAATTCCACAGAATGGGAAAATTAAGAGTGTATAAAAATTATTCTGATGTAAAGTTTATATCAAACAAAGGTAAATATTAAGGCAAAGGTGCGGTGCCTCAATTCACAGTTAAATGTAACATTAATTAATCAGTACATCTTAGTAAACCAGTGTGTAAGGCATGTAGAAAACAATTTTTATCGTCAGAAATGAAGAGTTTTAAACAGTCAGTGGTCATACTTCTAAGCATCCTTTAAAAAGCAGTGCTTGAGTGTTTCTTTTAGTAAAAAGTGACCCTCATGTGACTCTTTGAAATGAATAATTGTTTGAAAAAATTATTTTAGAGGGGTAATCCGCATTGGGTATCTCATACTCATCCTTTTTAATCAAGTGAAGTAATATTTAAATTCTGAAGAATGACAATTAAGCATTCCATGTTAATCTAATTAATTAGGGGAATTGTTATATAATTAGCCAAAAGTGATGCTTGTGCATGTTTTAAAGGTCATGTTTATGTGTCATGTCCACTGACAAAGTAGCATACCCTAAAAAGGGTTGTATTGAATATTGACATATTTGTATCAGTTTTCCATATTATTTATTAGTGTGATATAAAAAACAGAAAAATATTATATAATACAAAAATAAATCAGGTGCTTGTCATATGTTTATAGCATTTGATGGGGGGTCATACTGGGATAAAATGCTGATATTTTTAGTAAAATACCTTATTTAGGAATTGAATTTTAAAAATTGAAGCAGTCATATTGTTGTAGAAGTAGTATAGTGTAGATTGTCAGAATAATGGGGACGCTATTAATGGGTTATAATTTTTTAGAGAGCCTGTCAAAAATAAAATGCATGGATAGTCAATATGCTTATATAGCAATGACAGGATATGCTATATAGTTCACAAGTATAACAGGCTATTTGTATTTACCAGAGTTCTTGATCATTTCTAAAGTGCAACAAGGTTCGCTAAGATACAAATTTGCTTGTGAACAAAAATGAGATTCAAGATCAACAAGGGTAAAAAACTGGTAAAAAAGTGCAAAAATCGACCAAGAATAGAGAAAAATTAAAAACTTTTGATGGTATTAAGCCAAAGCGGTGTTTTCCACCTTTGCTCTTACTATTATGCTTGCATTTTGAATTTAAAGCCATCAAGCCGCTTTAACAAAAATATGAAGAAAGATGACAAGCTTTAATAGACCCATATTAACTTTTTCTGAGCTCTCTTCTGAACTCAATTCAAATTAGCACAGACAAAAATAAGTTGGGAAATGTTGATTTTGTGTGAAGTTCTAATCCAAGTTGTAAATATGTACCTGTTTTGTGTTATTTGTTCAAAATAAGGTCTAACATCTAGGTGAATCTTCAGTGTGTTAATTCACTTGTAAAAAGCCTATGTGAATTTACTGTGTATATCCACAGTGTGTATTCACTTGTTAAAAGCCTACCCTTGTATGTATTTGTACAATTTTGTTGTAAAGCTACTGCAAGTTTTAGTTTGATATATGATATACATGTGTATTTCATACTTGAGTGGGTTTGGGGTAGATATCACCCGGGAATATATATCATATCTGAGGAGCGGGCAGGATATATTGTACATGTCCCGCTCTAGGCCAAATGCGGGCAGATATAATATATCCATCCCACTCCCGTGAATTTTTTCAAAAGTTTAAAAAATTTAAAAAAATTTAAAAATTTAAATTTGTCATTTGAAAAAGGTGGTAAAGGTTATATCTACCCCAAACCCACTCAAGTATGAGATACACCAGTTATGTACGGTCGGTTTTGGATACAGTGTTTATCCCGCGGGAAATAAGTGTATCTCCCTCGGTCCCTGCGGTCCCTCGTGAGATATACATATTTCCCTTGGGATAAACCCTGTATCCAAAACCTCCCAGTACATAACCCTTATATATGCAGTAGGAAGGAAATTGTATTGAATGATTTTGTTATCTGCACTTTTGAACATTTTATTGCACTTGAAACTAGTGTACATTTTATTTCAGTTAGGGAAGTACCAGTCAATGAGACATGTTATCAAACTTAATGTGTAGGCACCAAAATGTACATTGCACATAGATTTTACGCATTCCTATGTCATGGTCACATTTGCTTTGATTTTCAATTCCAGCGCCCGGGTCATGAGTATTTTGTTCAAAACTGAATGTAACAAAATACTCATCGGCCAGGTGCCAGTAATGAAAATTGGGGCAAATGTGACCATTAGTGTCAGCCATGTATACCTAATATTTTAACCTTTTTCAATAAGGAAGTAAATCTCATCTGCCTAACACTTGTGTCTTAAATGTTTTAATTAGATACTACATGTGTATATTAAGATCTCTCCTTAATGCTCTAAGAGCTTCATACATTTGAATTTGATTATTTTCACTTATTCTCTTACCAGTATTTTTAGTGGTAACAGAGACTTTATCATTTTACCTATCAAGACATATTATAGGCTTAAACATGGACATGAATTTATTCAAATCCATGCTTTTAGTTCTCAGATTAAGTGCTTGCTTGTTTTGGTGTTGCCTGTTTGCGTTATTCTATGTGTGTGATAGATACTAGTTGTATGCTTAAACATGGATAACTGAAAAAAAATTAATGGCTTTGCACTAAAAAATGTTATGATGTACCACCTCTTGTTTCCTTTAATCTAGTTAATTATACTGTGAGACTATCCAATGTTTTCTTTAATAATGTGTTGAAGATTGGTTTAAGTTGCAATAAGGTAGGCCAAGTAGAATGAGTTACCTAATTAAGGAAAACCAAGTAGAATGAGTTGTCTGCTTAAGGTAGACCAAGTAGAATGAGTTGTCTGCTTAAGGCAGACCAAGTAGAATGAGTTGTCTGCTTAAGGTAGACCAAGTTGAATGAGTTGCCTAATTAAGGTAGGCCAAGTGGAATGAGTTGTCTGCTTAAGGTAGACCAAGTAGAATGAGTTGCCTAATTAAGGTAGACTAAGTGGAATAGGTTGCCTATACATATAAGATGGGCCAAGTAGAATGACTTTGCTACTTAAGGTAGACCAAGTTGAATGAGTTGCCTAATTAAGGTAGACCAAGTAGAATGAGTTGTCTGCTTAAGGTAGACCAAGTAGAATGAGTTGTCTGCTTAAGGTAGACCAAGTAGAATGAGTTGCCTAATTAAGGTAGACCAAGTAGAATGAGTTGTCTGCTAAGGTAGATCAAGTAGAATGAGTTGCCTAATTAAGGTAGGCTAAGTGGAATGAGTTACCTGCTTAAGGTAGGCTAAGTGGAATTAGTTGCCTAATTAAGGTAGTTTAAGTGGGATGAGTAACCTGGCTACTTAAGGTAGGCCAAGTAGAATGAGTTGTCTGCTTAAGGTAGACCAAGTAGAATGAGTTGTCTCCTTAAGGTAGACCAAGTAGAATGGGTTGCCTATATATATAAGATGGGCCAAGTAGAATGACTTTGCGACTTAAGGTAGGCCAAGTAGAATGAGTTGTCTGCTTAAGGTAGGCCAAGTGGAATGAGTTGCCTTATTAAGGTAGGCCAAGTAGAATGAGTTGCCTAATTAAGGTAGGCCAAGTAGAATGAGTTGTCTAATTAAGGTAGGCTAAGTGGAATGAGTAACCTGACTACTTAAGGTAGTAAAGACGTTTATGGATTTGGAGTGTGTTATTTGGTTGTGAATACACAATCATTTGGTTTGTTGTTTCAAGAAGGTTATGTGATGCTACAATTCACAACAATAATGTATCATACGTGATTCGTTTTGTAAATTTCTGTATTATTAGTTTAATTAAAATCTGTGTGTGTACATGTAGATGAACTTTGAAATTCTCATCCTAAAACATTAAATGATTTCAAGATGAGTCAAGATTTCAAGAGAAGTCAATATTGTTGGCACCTTTTTGAAGAAATATGAGAAGTTACTTGTATTTATCCAAGGAAAGATATATAAATTTTACTTATAGAGCCATTATTATATTGATTGAGGAATATCTATTGGATGTCAATTTGATATTTTAAGGGTCGATACTTCAAGAAATGAAATCCATATTCCTTCTTGACTAATGTATTGTATGAAATATGATATGGAATCTAATTTGGAGTTTTTGCTGGTACAGAATTCACTACAAATGATTTTCAATTTAGTCCTTTATCTATATATAAGGTTTTGTAAGTTTCACAGTATTGTAACTCTGGTAAATGTGGCACCTATGTTGTTTTGGCAATACAAACTTCAGTGAGTTTAAATTACCATTCATTGTATGTTGTTCTGAGGAAATTAATACAAAAGTATCCATATCTAAATTATAATTTACAATAATTTGGCCTGTTTTTCATCATTTTGAAAATCGTCGGAAATTCTATTAACACCAATGTGTACCACTATTGTCTTACAATCAAAAATCGAAAAAATGTTTGTTCAAAACCACAGTTACAATACTTTGAAGTAAATACCTTAAACATTTATTGAGTTATACTGAGGAGTATTTTCCTCTTCAAGGATTATTCAGGATGTACATTTATATGTATCTCAGTGGAAAAGGAGTTGTAAAAGGAGGAGTCTTGCATCGAGTCTATTGTACACCCTTGTCTTCCCCCCCATATGTCTCTGTATGTGTTATACACTGTCATTGTACCACCCCTATAGCTCCATGTCCTATGTACTATTGTGTTGGTGCACTAAAAATAATGGGAATCAGTAGTTCGATGCAAGACCACATGTTAAATATTGTTTCATTTGATTGATGACTACAGTCTATGTACAAGGTTGGCTAAGGTAGATCCACATGTGATGTAATTTTTATGATTCATGACGTTGATATAGATATTTATTACATGTTATGGTATAAGACAAAATTCAAAATCAAGTTGTTCTGATTTGAATATCGAAATGACATTTCCTACAAAATAAATTGTCAACTTTTTTGTTAAAGTGTGGAACTATCAATGAAGCCTCTCAGATTTTGCAAGAATTTTATAAAGACATTGTTTAAGTTCACTCATATGACAGTTGTTAGTGCTTACAATATCTTTAACTTGTTATGAATGGTTCAGATGCCTTCTTCTTGTGACTCATTTTTCAAATGAAACAAGTGTTGAAGTTGGAAAGAAGGGAGTGAGGAGTAGTTTGAGATCTCTGCTCAGCTCCAACTGTACAATATTCTATGTTATGTAAAAAGCAACTACAAAGTGGCATTGAACAAGATATACTATCAACCAACAATTCACTTTCTAGAAGATCGATAGGAAAATCACTGTTTTTTCCATGAAATTTTTATTTTACTTTGAAGTTGCTTTTACAACTAAGATATTGAAACAGATAAAACAAAATAAAAAAAATAAAACCAAAATAAAAAAAATAGTTGAAACATGATAAAGCCTGTTTGTTGAATTCATCTATTATGTCACCACCACAAGTGGTGACATATCTCAGACTTTTTTGTGGACGGTGTTCAGTGCCTTTAACAAATTGCAAGTGGTGACATTTTGCATATTAATGCCTTGTTTTTTATGTTTTCACCAAGAATTGTTGATATATTGTTATAGCCACTAATTGTACCATCAGGTAGTGACACATTGTTATGTCACCACCAAAAAGTGCCGACATATTGTTATGGTCTCCATTTTTTCTGACGATGGTTGGCGATCAGCGTTGGTTGGCGACCAATTTATTTTTTCAAAATCAGCTACAAGTTCTCAGAAATTCAAATCTGAATTAAAAATGAACTCATAATATTGTGTGCAACTAGGTGGTGACATTTTGTTATTATGTTAACACCAAGGGTATATACATGTAATGGAGCTTTTATATCTACAATATAGAAGTTTGGAATAGTCCAATAGTATAGTAGGATTGCCACATTTTCAAATTGAAATTCCCAGATTCAGATTTTAGTTTTCATTTAGCTTTTCTCATGTCATGTATCTGATCCAAATTTTAAATTTCCAAAATGATTAATTTCAAGACTTCTCAGAACTCTGAATGCTTTTAAAGGTCAGGGAATTTGAAGTCCTTATCCCGGACTTTAGTGTTCTAATAAGCGTATACTCTACACTACAAATATTTGATTATAACAGACAGAACAGATATGTTTCATTCATGGTAATTTTATTCCCCAGCAATTGAAAGGTTAAAACCCTTCAAAAGAAATGATTCATTATACACAAAGCAAAACATTCTTCCATCAGAATCACTCCACCCAGAGTCAGCATAGTCAACCATGTCCCTCAACCATAAAGGAGACAGACCTAACAAAATCCAAAGACTCCACAAGTTTTATTTGCCCATATAAAACCAACAAGGAGAATTCAGGGTTTGCATAACCCACATGCACAGTTATCAATATTTAGAATAACTTCACTGTGAAGTTAAAGCAAAAATGAATGTTGACATCTCGGTGATGCGAATATGACTTACGGCAGGCAGGTATTTTTCAAACTCATATTGTTTCCAACTATATACTGTTGGACAAACCCATTATACATGTATATAGTATACATCAGACATTCCGTGGTTATGTATTATATCGCCACATACATTAAAGTCATCTCATATAAAACCCCTCATGCTTTATATATCAGATGTATCGATTGAAATCTGAACTTTGACACGAACCATATGAACAAATAAATTGATCATTTTAACATGAACACATGCATGGCGATTAATGTAATTTTACATTCATACAAAATATGGCTGTCTCGTTTTTTGACATAAATTGATTATTCATTGACCAATTAAAAAGTTGGTCGTTTATTCAAATTCAAAATGAGGCTGCAACTGCAGTTTACAGTTTGGTCATCATAACATTTAACCTCATCTTTCACGTTAGCTAGTTCGATAATAAAAAGACTCATGATTACGTACTCCCCTTAAAGATTCAATACTCTGCTTTTGCATATTTTCATGACAAACATTTAATTTGCAAAAACAATGTTTGTAATCTATGCCTTTTCAACCAAGAGTATGCAGACCGTTACTTCACATGCTAATTCTACAAAACAGTGTTCCTCATTCATTAAATTAAGTCAATAGTTATAATAAACTAAAACATTGTTCAATTACTCTTCAAAAGTCCCACACACATTACTCAAAACACAAACCAGGATTTCCCAGCAAACAGAATCTACTTTTGTCATTCTTATGCTCTAAGATGAAAGGTTACCGACACTAGATAACATCCAAAATCTTAAATAATGCCGTCCTTTATCTTGCATTTCATATTTTACATCAATGGAGTAAATCCCCTTTAATCATGACACAATTATATGGCATGTTAAAAGAAATTATATGGCAGATATCATCGCCATCAAAAACAAGGATATCATCTTGCTCATAAAATAACACTGGTTATCAGTAATTAATAAGTTCATAACTCAAGTACATAAAGAGAATTTGATTTGATTTTTCTCATGATCTGACAATAATGTTTCAATTCCAAGATGAACATGGTCTAAATAATGATAAGAACCCTGGGTTTTTTGGAACAGTCGTAACTTATGATTTGATCACAAGTCATTCTTCGCCAAAAAGTAGACAATGGTTTTCTTGGAATCATAAGTTATGATCATACCAAAAATGAACCATTGGACTCTGACCATGCCCCTCATGTCTTCCTTTGCAAGTGTCTACTTCACGTATAGCATACACCACACACTTATTCCATTCAATCAATGTCAACACCCAGATGACTCTATCTATGCGCAACCAAGTCCAGATTTTGATTTCTTCGTCAAGATATCTTTCAGATTCACATTAACTTGAAGCTTTTCACGGGGCTTGCTCGGCTCAGCAAAACAGAACCTGAAATTACACAAGATTAAATACATATAATCTAATAGTGAAAATGAATCTAATAAAATACATCATCTTATATGACATTTTTTGTAGTGCACAAGTCAAAAGCGGGAAGGGGTGGGAAATTGTGATGTAAAATTCCCTTCCATGGGAGCAACATAGTAAGTCAATTTCCCCATCCTGGGAGCAATAATAGTTGATATTTCAAACATACAGTAGTCAAAATCCCCCTCCTGGGATGAAGTACGAGGGGTGATCAATAAGTAATGGACGCTTTTTTACACAGATACTTTTTATAGACCAATCCCTTTGATTTTCCTTCCAGTGATACATCATTCAATTATCTATCATTTCTGAGGATTTGAAGACAAAATATAAAATACATGTTGATATATCTTTATTTCCGTGAAGGAGGTACAGGTACCCCGGGACCGACATTTACGTCACATATTCAGTTTTCAGCCAGTTTGGCAAATTTCAGTTAGATTTAAACTTTTCATATGCAACATGTGTTGTGTTGTTTGAAATACTTTGCTGACTGGTCAACACATAAACAGAAAGTATTGTGATGTCAGAGTGTTGTATGGAAGGGGTTTGCAGGTCAATTTGAGGAAGCATTGTTGAAGAAGGGGTGGTGAGAGAAGGGAACACCCTACTCCATATGGACAATGCACCTGCCCACAGATCTCAAAATGTTCAGAAAACAATATGCCTGGACCTCAAAATTGAGCCCTTGGCCAATGCACCATATTGTCCAGATCTGCTCACATATGACTTATTTATTTCTATACTACTTATTTCTATAGAGAAAGGATGCCTGTTTATTGATATTGATGAAATAAAACAACCCGTGCAACTGCATCTTGCTACCATGTCAGAGAATGGATTCAGCCTTGTCTCACAATCTTGAATTAAGGGGATGAGGAATTGTGTACATGTAGCACTTGATGGAACCTATGTAGAGGGCCCTGTGATATGAATGTGGCATGAATACCACATAGTGATGATAAAATATTCAAAATCCACTATGGCATAACAAAAAAGGGTAATTCATGACCATAATGGTTTGATTTGTTCAGCCTGCATTCAACTGCATTGCATGTTAAACAAGCTAAAAAAGCTCTCAGAATATAGAATATTTGACGTAAATGTCGGTCCCGGGGTACCCATACATCCTTCACGGAAATAAAGATATATCAAAAGATATTACATGTTTTGCTTTCAAATTTTCAGAGTTGATAGATAATTGTATGATGTATCACTGGTAGGAAAATCGAAGGGATTGGTCTATAAAAAGCATCTGTGTAAAAAAGCGTCCATTACTTATTGATCACCCCTCGTACTATGTCAAAATCGCACCCCTGGGACAATATCGCACGTCATAGTTCTGACCCTTCGCTTCCTGCATGCATGGGGGTTTCACACACCTTTAAATGTTGCTAAACAGTTGTTGCTTTGTTCAGTGTTAATACTTCTCAACATAATTAACTATGAATCCTCATAAAATCATCTCAATATACTTTATGTGTAACTAATACTCATCACTAGTTAAATGGTTACCTCTTGAACTCCTCCAACTCGCGTTCAACTTCATCAATCTCTCCACTTTCAAGATCCAGGTCCTGTTTGGGCATGAAGATCTCATCTATGTAGTTGTCATTGGATCCCTTCTTCTTCTTGCGACCTTTCTGCTTGTTAGAGCCACAGCTTGGTGAGATTTGCTGAAACAATTTATTGAATATTATCAGTTGAGAGTAAGAATGACGAACTTGTCTACGTAGTAATACTAAAAGATTCAAAGTTTCTCCTTACATGTACTTATTTTCTACTAGGCATTAACATGAAAAATGCAAACACCTGCTATTTGTTACAAACGCTGACCACAAAAACCCAACCGCCAATCGTCGAACACCTTCCACAAAAAGTTGAAGACTTATAACAATGAACATGTCATGTTCTAGTGATGAAATAAAAATGATATTTTGAAATAATTCACACTAGTCACGACTCTTCTCAAATGACTCATTTGTAAGAACAAAGCACTCATGTTATTTCACCTTCTCATTACTGAGTACTGACCCAAAGAATTTGGACTTAATTGAGGTTTAATTGACAAAAATAACACTCACATGATCCTGCAAGGTGCCAAGGCTGGATATTCTCCCCTCGACATCCCCGTTAGTCAACTGGTGACTTCCATTCTCATGGGATCCCCTCATCTCATGAGAGCCTCTGCCATTGGCTTGTTGCTTCATAGATAGACGTGGCATGTCCATTGAGGACTCAGAACTCTGGGGAGGACTCAACTGCTTCTTCATAGATTTCTTATTTTTGGCATTTTCGTGCAGGTTATCATGATGTTGATTGGTTGGGATTTTCATGATATTTTGTTGACTGATGTCTGTGACGATCTTCATAGTTGTCGGGTGGTGACTTTTCTCATGAAAATGATTTTGCTGACGTTGATGCTGCTGTGGAACCTGCTTGCCTAATAGAGGTGGGCTGTCCTGCTTGGTTTGAGATTTTGGTAGCTTCTTGATTTGTCCCTTGTTAGGGCTTCCAGGGGTGACTTTAACAGGGCTTCCAGGGATGACCTTGCTAGGGCTACCAGAGATAACCTTGCTAGGACTCACAGGGGTTGCCTTGTGCTGCTCAGTTTGAACTTGATTTTGTGCTTTATTTGACTCAGCTTGCTTCAGATGGGGAGTATCAGCGTGTTTGAGGTTGCCTTTGTCTGATATGGTTGCTTTTCGCACCTCTTCTTTTTTAGCTTGAGAGTTAAGGGGCTGGGAGCTCTGGTGATTAGTCTTCACACTCTCAGTGGTTCCCTTGTTTCCCTTTGCACTCCCCTTACTGCCTGTCTGACTAGTTGCAACACTATTATCTGGTGAGTTTTCCTTGTCCTTGTGCTTGCTTTTCTTTTTCTTCTGTTGGTTTTCTTTCTGTCTTGCTTTGCGCTCTTCCAGAATTCGTGCCTCCTCCTTTAATCGTTCCTCTTCCTCAATCCTTTGTCGTTCTTCTTCTTCCTTCCGAGCTTTCTCCTCTGCCTAAAATAGCAATATTTAAGACTTTCTATAATCTGAATGAATAAAACATGGATAAATAGATTCAGTTAAAATGTGTTTTTTTAATAAAAGTGTACTTGTAATATAACAGAGAAAGTTTGTGTGTCGTATTAAGTGTATTAAATGCTGGAAAGCAGCTGTAAATAGATTGTATGTGAATATTTGCACGTATTTTGAGTCTTATATCCAATCATTGGAAGATAGAATTGGAAAATAAATAAAAAGAATTGTATTCATGAAGATATAATACATGTCTATATTACTCACTCATAGTTTAAGTCTTGGTCATAGGTTTCACTTACCTTTCTTTGTTTCTGCCTAGCCCTTTTAGCTGCCTTTGTACTGAGCTGTTTTCCATCATCATCACCTTCACCATTAATGTACTTCAGTAGATCATCTAACGCTGGTTCGCTACTACTTACAGTAACAGAGATGTTAGAGCTACTGCTGTCACACTGTGTATGGGACTCAGTTTGGGCACACTGCATAAGTTGCTGCTGTTGTTGCTGTTGCTGACATGAGCTTAACTCTCCACCCTTTGCTTCATTTTTCTTACGTAATCTTTCCCGTAGCTTTTCACGCATTTCAGCGTAGTTTCTACTTGTGGGTGCAACTGGGGGCTGGAAGTATTGTATATTGTATATGAATAAATATATCATAGGGATATACTTTTTTTATTACATAAGTACTAGATCGTTGTTTAGTTAAACAAAAGAGTAATGAAAAGTAATAATTTAAATGAAATGTGAAAATCAACTGATTAGAAATATGAATTTCAGACAAATGCTCTGTGAATCTATGGATCCAAAAACTGAAGATGTGTATTATGGTACAAACTTGTTCAAACTGAACTTACTGTGCCATGGCCAAAGAATTCGCAATAACAGCAGTCACAATATTTTCCCTCCTTCTGATTGGACGTAGATGTAGAAGAGCTCTGCTCTGAACATGAATCGTCCACAGAATCATAATTATCTTCGTGTGCATCACAGTCTGCCTCTGTACAGAGAGATGCTGTTCCAGTGCTCATGTTATTCACAGTAGAGGGAAGCTGTACAGAGGATGTACAACCCCCCGATTTCTGATCAGTTTGGGTTTGTCGTGGTTGTTGACCATGCTGGTGACTGCAAGAATGGGAGTTGTGGTTGTGCTGGCTATTGCGTGGTTGTTGGGGAGTTGTGGATGCTCCTCCCCGGGGTGGCGTGCCGTGTCCAGTGTGGTTGCCATGCCGCTGACCACTGCATGCTGAATGGTTGTTTTGGTTACTGCTTACTCGAGCTGCTTCCTCTTTGGCTGCATTGATGGCAGCAGAGCGGAATAGTTCTGGTGTGAGCTTCACTTGTAGCTGCTGAGAGGGTGCTGTGGGAGCTGATACATTGGTGTGGGTGTATGTGTGAGAGCTGTCTGCAAACGTACCATGAGAGTGCACGGTATGACCGGGGAGGTTGTGCTTCTGGCAGTGTGGAGCTTCAGGTTCAGCACCTCGTGTGGTCGCTTTTGACCGCGTCGGGGACCTGTTCAGCAGTGTTCGATTAATTGGCTGTAGGTTTTTGAAGCATTCTTCTGTATGAGTATGGCCCTTTCCGGTGCGACATGGAGTACCTTGGGCGTGGTTTCCATGGGCACCAGGGACAGAAGAGGCTTTACTGGGCTGGGGGTCTTGGGGCTGAGACTGTGAAGTTTGGCTCGTAGGTAGGTGATCGGGAAGAAAATTTCCCCCAGGGGTGATGAGAGGAGGGGGGGCATTCAACAATTCACTGCTGTTCAGATTGCTCATGTGCTGCTGGTATAATGCTGCATTCACCGCTGCTTTACCTCCGTCATTCGGCCGCTGACAATGGTATGTATTGTAATTATAATTCTCAGCTTCTCGACTATCAAAGTCACCAATATGTTTCTTGGAAGCTGCAGATGCAAAGTTATTTGAGTTGTGTAGGTTATACAGGTTCGGGTGTAATGGTGGCCTGACATGCTGACTTGTGTGGCCCTGTAAACTGGATAACGTTGTAGCTCCATGGATGTGTGGGTAGAGATGCAGGGATGCTGGCTGAGGGGCTATAGAGACTGGGGGAACAGTGGTGGGTAGAGAGGTAGGGGGTACAGAAGTACCCTGCTGTTGGACAACACATACATGGCATTGGCAGTGGTGCGACTGCATTTTCACCTGTAACAACAAACAACCAAAAATTATTCTTACATTATTACTCAAAATACTTGATTCAGTGTACATTCTCCTGACAAATTATGACATTTCCATGAATTTGAGAAAAGAATATCTGATTCATAAATCATGGATTTTAACTCAATTCATATGACCCATTCCAAGCTATTTAGTCATTAACTCGTGGGTTATTTCATATTTGAGTCAAAAAACAACTTGCCCCAGCCATGACTATTGGAAGTTTTTTAATCTAAGAAATAAACAAAATTATAACTAAATGATGAAGGAGTCCAACTAATTGAAATCTTATATGATTAGATATTTCCTGAAGTGAAGTTACATACCGATACATTGTCCAAGTTAGCGGACTGAGATTGATTGCATTTTGCCTCTGACCCTTCAACTCTGTTCCATTTAGTTCTGTCTTCTGCTCTACTAGACTCTGCCTCATTATCTGCATCATTCTCGCTGTCTCCTGACTGGCCATTGATTTCTTCTGGGATATCATAGTCGTCATCATCACTAGAATAGTATTTGAAATACTCATTAAGTTCCAATAGGGTGTAGTATTGTTTTAGATACATTATTGAGATATGACAACATTTCATTAAACTTCAATGATTTTTCTATTTTTGAAAACTTGACCGTAACAGGTAATGAGAACATAAGGTGATATAATACTTTCTTTTGGAGATTTTGTAATGTAACTTTGCAATTTTCAAATAAAGGGGCTGTTTCAAACAGCAATGTACCATTCTAATCAACAATAAACAATAACTTTTTTCACACTAATTTCATACAGTACCTATACACCTAAATAATGAGGGTCTAAACCTTAGTTAAATTTCTATTTAACTTATTTTCATTTAAAAAATTAACTTTTTGAACCAGCCCATAAAATGTTCTTACTCAAGTTCATCATACGGGAGAGTTAGGCGTTCCTTCCCCACTATAATGGGGCTAGATGAGCCGCTACTAGAGCCAGTGCTAGACATTGAGGGAGGATTGACGTCTATGATGTACCGTGATGAGTCCATTATTAGCTGGTCATGTGTAGGGTGGCCCAAGGGTGCCCCATCTCCTTGGTCAGTGTTGATAATGCCACATGTGATCATGTGTGTTATGGTACATTCATCACATGGACACCTGGAATAAACAATTTTACACTTAAAGAAAATACATAAGCATGGGCACTAGGAATAAGTAATATGTCACAATTAAAGCAGTTTTCACCTTCAAAATATCAATGTACCAACAGATCAATCAATTTTCAAACAGAAATCATTCATAGGGACTACTAGTACTATTAAATAATACTTACTTTTTTCTATTGCAGTGAGAGCAGTGACAATTGTCCTGGTTGGTTGGCTTGGTCCCCTGTAGAACATGCCGCATTGTTTCTGTGAACTGAGCTTCAATGCTACAAACATATCAAATACATACGAGGGGTGATCAATAAGTAATGGACGCTTTTTTACACAGATGCTTTTTATAGACAAATCCCTTCATCCATTACTTATTGATCACCCCTCGTATATCCTGGCTCTTGTAGTCCTATATAGACTTGAATTAATCTTAGTTCAAACCCTTTATATCAGAGCTACATATTTGGACACCTCAGTGCGCGAGAGCCTCACTTTACCCATTGTTTAAAGTAAGACAGACTCAATATAGTGACTATGGCTATACTCATACAAGGGATATGATTATGTCAATTAAAATATCACATCCAAGGAACATGAGCAAACTTTTGGTTTTACAAATCTCGGTTATAGTAATCAATGAAATGAACAACGCAAGGTTAAATGCAGGCTTTGTTATGCTTCATGTTATGATTCAGAAATGTGATGACATACAGTACAAGAGTAAAATGCCCTTACTTGTGAGAGAGGTTCTTGTTTTTGTTTTTTAGTACTTGATCTTCGAGGATCTTTCTCTGTTGCTTGAAGAATTCCCAATCTTCCTTCAACATCTTTTGCTTTGCCTTTAAAGCTGCCTGAAATTTGAATGAATTATTATAGTATATCATAAATATCAAATGCTTATTTCTTTATTTGAGTTGCACTGATTAATTAGTGATTCCATTATGAAATCATATTTCCACAAATTGGTAGAGCATTAAAACAGAAAACTCATTTTTTCTTTAAAAGAACAAAATTGTATTTTCCACAATGTAATGACACTAAAGGATGACGGTTCTTAAATTTCTTTCAAATAAAAAAGTACATTGTGAAATCATGTACACACCTGTTCTTCATTGTACTCATCTAGCAGACACTGGCAATCTCTCCACACCACAAGGATAACAGACATTTCATCGTCAAATTTGAGATACTTGTGCAGAATGTTAGGGTATGTTTCTTCGTGGTATGATTCCTTAGATGCTGCTCCCAGCCTGAAAACAGTTACATGGACATCAATGGCAAGCATTTAACACACAGATCCCAAAGCTGTTCATGTCTTTGTATATATTATAGGAATATTTACAATTTATGTAAAAGTTTCACATACATGTATATTGTTGAATATTTTCTTAGAAAAGAAAAAGAAAATAGAACAATATCATAGAACCGGTCTTAGTCATAACTTCCTTCTCATTTTGTCATCCCTCTCTTATAAATGATATGTCATTAGCTCAATACTCATATCTGCTTATTTAAAATCCAGACACCAGTATGTCCTTAAATTAGTCATCTTGATCCAAACAAGGAACAATATACAATATACACTAGTTAAACTGTACCTCAGTTGTGTAATGAGCATAGGCAGGCTGTTTTGTACTAGTGGGTCAGTGTAGATAATACTTTGGAAGAGGTGCTTGTTATGTAATTCCCAGGTCAGGTTGAACCTCTTTAGATGCTCCAACTCCTGGATAACAATCAATAAATAAATTACATTAAGGTGGGCCTCATGAATGATTTCTAACTCCAAATTACATTAAGGTGGGACTCGTGATTGATTTCTAATTCTAAATTACATTAAGGTGGGCCTTGTGATTGATTTCCAACTCCAAATTTCATTAGGGCGGGCCTTGTGAAGGATTTCCATACCTGTCTGTGGATGAAGTTTGTAAGCAAGTCTACACTATAACATGTACCATCTAATTAGATTGGGGTATATTTTTAAAATAATTTCTCCACTGAGTGTGATAACCATGAAAGTTTTGATGTCATAATGAAAGAATAATAGCCATACAGAGGTTTCATTAGAATTTCTCACAACAGTCTAAATAAATGAAAACAACAGGCAAAATTAATGGAAATCATAAATTTATCATGGAAAAGTTGGAAAGTCCCTAAAACAACAGGCTATTTTGTGAAAACAACCAGTGAAAATCAACAACAGGCGATTTTGTGAAAACAACCAGTGAAAATCAACAACAGGCGATTTTGTGAAAACAACCGGTGAAAATTGCCTGCTGCTAATAAACCATAGGAACTGCACCAGAAATAGACTCTAGATCCATTCAACTTAGCCAGCAAGTGACAACAAATGATCCTAAATAGGAAACCATTGACACACACCAGTCTATTCTTCCTATTGTGTATTAGAATTAGGAATGAATATGAACGAAATTCTTAGTAACTATATTTTGGCATGGAGTTATGAAAGGCCTGGAATTGCCAATGACTAATATTTATTATTAGCAAGCAGGAAAATATTATTATAACACCAAGGAATTATATTTCAGGGAAGTTCAACAGTAAATTATATCAGTCATTATTTCATTTACAGTCAATTTTGAGTGATTCATAAAAATGTGAGGGATACATGACACAGGACTTTCACAAGACAAAACATGCAAAACGTCACGACCTGCCATTTGTCCAATGCCAAAACGTCTCTCACCAAAAACCAAATGCTGAACACCACCCACAAAATCTTTGGAGACTATAATATATGTCACTACTTGTGGTGGTGACAAAAAAATCGAACCACACCAAAATGTTTTCACAGTTGGTCATTCACGAAAACAGTGCTTCAACAAACAAATAGGGTCATCAACAACAAATAGAGAGTCAAACACTACCTGATCAGACTGAACATGCAGAAAACGATTGTTGCAAATATCAAGCACGCTGAGTGTGGAACAAGTTGTCATTTTTGAATTTGAATTCATGGTACTTGTATCTTATAAACCAAGCCTTGTTCAATTATATTCATATATGTTTAGATGATACATTAATAAAAAGGAATTGTGGGGGTAATTGTATACTTCATTCTATAACAACGCAACAGTTACGGAAAATAAGGGACACCGAAAAGTTAAAATAAGTCTAAGCCTAAATTCATAAAATATTTCTTGTGTAGCATGCAGTTTGGTGAAACATAAAAACTTGAAGTCATATTTGTACATGAAAATGAACGTACCAGTTCCTGCAAAAATGAGGCTAGAGTCTTGGCAGCAGTGCAGATCTTGAAGTACTCCTCTAATAGCATAGAGACAAATTGTTTGGCTTGTTGCGGAGTCTTGTGTCCCGTCGTTAACTGCTTCAGTAGCCTCACTTTCATCTCTATGACATACTCTCTACCCTGGGACTCCAGACGTTGATATAGTTGATGAGGATCGCGTGCCACAAGTCTGAAACAAGTACAACAACTTAACATGTATTCTTTACATGGAGCCTTAGAATTGTTCAAATCAAAGAAATTATATTTAGTACACTAATGTTTGGTATATTTTTGATAGTCTGGGAATGCCTTACTTTTTACTGCCTTTGTACCCATAAATACTTTAAATATGGGAATGGTTAATCGATAACATGACAAGGACTAAATAAATGAACAGAAATATATCTAAAATGTTTGTTTTGTAGTAGCCTAACCATTTTCTTAGCAGTCTAGCAATCTTTTTAACAATACGAGGGTCATATCATAAGTGTTGTACAATTTGCTCTAATTTTTTTAATATGATATTTTCATGAGTTTTCTTACCTATGGACAAGTTCTTTTACTTTACTGATATCTGGTAGTTTAGTTTTGCTGCCATCTTTACTCAGCAGAGGTACCCCCTCCCTGTATACACAGCGTACAACTCCCCGGAGCTCAGTCCAACACTGCTGGAGCTCCACTGTCTCTTGCTCATGTTCAGATTCTATCTGCCTGTGAAATATTCATAAAAAATTATGAACATTGTTTAATATTTAACAAGGTAACGTTCAGATAAAAAATAATGTTTGAATATCAAGAAACAATGCAAAGTTAACTCCTGAATGGTGCATTTAGGCTTAGTGCTATTCCTAAAATAGTGTTAGGAAAAGTGACTACTATTATGCCTATCTTCCATTTCTTAAAAAAAATTGTTTCATGATTCACAAGGCTGTTTACTTACTTGCGTTCTTGGCACGCATCACATGTGCAAGAGTTGGCATTAGTGAATGTATCAGAGTTAAAGCCTCCTAGGTTGACATCAGGTAAGAATGGTAGAGTATCAGAGTCCTGGAACAACATAAACATATTAGCTTAACAGGACCCAATCTTGCCAGGCACACATTACAAAATCCCTTATCCCAGGACGAAGTTCTCTGTTAAATCCTACCCCCCCCTCAGGACAATACTGTGTGTCAAATTCCTTATCCTCCCCATGTGATGTGAAGAAGCCAGTCCGTTTGAACAATGTATAGTATACTTACAAACAATGAGGAGTCCATAGCTGTCCTCTTGTCATCGACCCCTTCTTCCACAGTTTTCTTACACTCAGGACACACCCAAAGTGGCAGTTGGGACAGTCCCATCTCTGGATGGCCTGCTTTGTTCACACTGTTATCTGTAAGAATACCAATCATAGTAAGACACAATATACTTGCAATGTTTGTTTACCACACTAATTTTGATTTTTGATGTTTGAATATTGGAAACAGCTAAGTTTTTGGGGTACACTTTAAAGGAACTATTATAGGTGTCATCTAAGTAGCATGTCATGCAGGAATATTTTGATATATCCGAAAATCTTCTGCAAGTTACAGTTTATTCTGAATTTTGATGTATTTTAGGATCAGAAATAGGCTCTGGGCTTGTTTAATACCACAACTGGCAAGATACCTCAACTGGACAGATCCATGCAGATGTAAGTACATTTGTATTTGATGAATTGTTTTCTTTGAATTATCTTTTTATGATCATTTTTGCTAGAAGGAAGTCTAGTGAAATGTTAAATGTTTTCAAAGTCCATGTCAATGTTTTCTTTAATCCTTATTTTATTTTTTGATAAAGAATTGGGAAATCTGGTCAAATATAGAAGTTTTTGAGAATTTAAAATGTTGGAATGTCTACTCATACTTATCGAAATTTCTAAAATTAAAAATATTAAATTATTAAGACTCAACTATATCCCTTTTACTTCCTGAGACAGTTGACAAATATGTGTCACCTATTTCAAGAAGACAAATACTGCCATGACAAAAAAAGATTTTATTTAGACAGGCAACAAATAATAGAGATGACCTTGGGCTAATTTTTGAAACATTTACACAATTTTGCATTTATAATTCAGCTCACACAGCATTCATATTTTCTACAAATTACAAGATTTAAAACTTCTTTGATTTCTAAAATTATTTGGCACTATATCTGAAAAGTGGACATCCACTTTAGGATCTGGACATTTCTGAATCTCTCTATCCTTCGCTGCTACTTATATACACAAAATTATTTTTACTTTTTAGGTGAGAAACCTCGATTTTGTGTTTTTGAATTATAGTGCGAGGTAACTGAAACAATCAAATCTAAAAACTGCAGTATACATTCATATTCTAGATGCAAATATTTTGTGAATTTTAGATATTTAATTTTACGTAAATAACATGTCAGAGAAGCATCAAAACAGAAGCCATCCAAGCTACTAGTAACCAAAAGTTTTGCACCTAATATGAATGTATTGTCAATCATATAAAAATGCAAAGTGGATGTTTGATTGCTTACGTTTCAGTATGATTGACACACAATCCAACTGACTCTCAAGTTATACTATAAAGAAAGATCTTATCATTCTTACCTTTGTCCTTGGGTGGGTCTGGTCTGTCGCATCTACAAAGCAAACATTTCTCTCCCCCAAGGTAAGGATTGGAAGCACGAGACATAGCAGGGATGGGGGTATCAACATCTTCAGCATCCATCAATTTCTGAATTTGATCTAGCTCCTAAAATAGTATAATATATAAACATGAGTATCAATAGCCTCACAAGTTCTTCCAAGTGAAAGTTAATCAACCCACTTTCTACAGTTCATCAAAATATGCCTTATTTCATGAATTTTTTATGTTTAATTTTTGAAAGGTCTGTGTGAGTCTTTTCTGACATCACTTGAGTCTCAAAGCGTGTATATAATGACACATGAATACCGTCTGAAGAAAACTTTTACTATTAATTCAATTGATTAGTAATTATCTATAATAAACACAATTTCACTGTTACGAAGTAGAATTTTAAAGTGGCAATTTCAATATACCCCCTATTTAACCTGAGAATCCATTTCTTTAATGATCTACCAACCAAGCCACAAAAACCAAGCTTAGGGTAGCTGCCCTAGAATGAGTTCAATTAAGTCAACAACTGGCGCAGATGATACCACTTTAGCATTATACATTCTAATAGTAGTTTTCCTTTCATCAACTCAAATAAGAATGTTATTACCAAATCTGTTTTAATAAACTTTGCAAATGTCAAACAGTTTTAATTCAGACAAATGGCTAAACCGAAGACTACGTCTAGTAATATACTGTCTGATAGTGATAGATATGAATCTATTGACGAGTTGCCAGGAATTAGCAAGACTCTTTTCTTGAAATACAAATGCTAATGAAAACTTGCAATCCTGATTTTTGATTTCATCAAAACTATTACATAAATATATATGCAAAAGGTGTAAATCAACTTCACAAAGGTTGTAAACAAGGGAGAAGGCTAAAACTAAAACAAGGGCTGGGTGTTTTGCCAAAAAAGTAGACAACTTTTTTCATCTAAATCGGGAAAATGAACCCTTCTTTACTAGCATAGCTGTATAAAATAGATTTCATATAATGTATCTGCAGACGTCTCTTACCTCTGTAGTCGCTTTGGGCAGCCCCGATTGTTCACAAGTCGATGAATTTGGTGTCAAAACACCCTTCTTCGTTTTTCGCTTTTTTATCTTCTTTTTCTCCACAGAATTCATCTTTAACGTTATGGATGCTTTGAGGCGTAACGTTAGTTTAAGTGTTTGGGTATAAATAATACCTATTTTGGCTGCATTTGATAGTATTTCAGTATAAACTGAAATATTTTCTTAAGTTCATCCCAAAACCAAAACCAATATGGCGGATGCTTGAATAATCCCAGGATGCATTGCGAAAATGATAAAGAATTTGTCGATAGATGTCACTGTTGTATGTACTAATTTCGTCTAGTGTATAGTAATTTTGAGGCGGGAATATCAGATATAACCGGGAAAATATGGATGATGAATTCATATCTTCAGATCAGATCTACACATAAAAAATATTGTTGAGGCCTATTGATAAAACTACAAACACCAGTATTTGATTTAGATTCTAGATAAATGTCATGTCTAGGTGGAAGTGAATTTTTGGAATAAAATTTGATATGTCACCCCCGGGATATGTCACCTTAATGTCACCTTCATTTCAGGCATAATGTTGGTAGCAAAAGGCAGTGTAATGATTTTGAAGCAACGTTTTCCAAAAGTTTCTTTTTTAATCTAATTTTGCTTTCCCAGAAATGATTTGTCTTCTCAAATGTAGGGCCCTGTGTGTGTTTTGTAGGTGTGATGGTTTTGGGAAAGATGGTCTCCAACATTTTAAACTACCTCTACAAACTTTGTTAAAAATGTGTCACTTTTGCAGCCAGATTCCCAGAGTGAAGCTGATGGTAATGTCTTCTAGGATGATTTCAAATGTGATGGGGAACTACATAAGGAAGAATTTGATGAAGAGTTCTATGATCTAGCCTGTATAACTACTAGTCTGTTTGCCTTATCGGAACGGGATAATGTTTGCCCATAGATGTCAAGCCCGTCACCAGGAGGGTTCAATGGGTTCGAGCAACCCCCCCCCCCTGGCCAAAAATCTTTCAAAATCATGCAGTTTTTCACCATTCTGAGCACTTTTTAAGTGATTTACGCAAATTTTGGACCAAAATGCCACAAGTGAACCCCCCTGGAATTTTTCAAAAAGTGAACCCCCCTTGGCAAATCCTGGCTACGGGCCTGGATGTGATCTTAGTGGAATTTAGATTTTCAAAATTAATTTGGTTGACTGGAAAAGGTTAAGATCTGCCTCTGACAATTTCATTTTCACTTTTACTCTAAGCCGAAGCCTGTCATGAACAAGTTTTTAATTTCTTATGATCTGAGGATTTAATGAGGCATCATATACAATTATACATCATTTAATTATCTCATTTTGCAAGCAGGAAAATGTGCAATGTAAATAACTACATCTGGTAAATTATGAAATCTAATGCAACAATATTAATTGTTAAACATTGGAACATGTACATGTAGTTTAATTTACATGCAATATCTGGGGTACACACCTAATAACTTCAAAAACACATTTTGAATTATTGAAATTTTATTTTTCCTCAAGAAGAGAAAACTTACAATGTTACAATACCTTGTTTAAGTATCATTTGCCTTTCATAAGTATGAGTACAAGCCCATGAGAATAGGCATAGTATTCCTAGTAAGATCCTTTAGAAACTAGACAATGGCAACTCCGCGGAGTAGCAAATCCCAACGAACAAAATATCAATTACTGAATTCCAATCAATTATACTCATTACTTTGGTTAAAATTGAAAAATTTAGATTTTAGAATTGCGAATTCCTGCAAAGCAGCCATTTTGAATTTTCTGAGGTACAAATCTGAAGAATAATACCATAATTGTGATCCACTCCAAAATTCCTTCAATTTGAGTATAATATAGCCATACTTTGAAGGGATCGAAAAATTATTGCGAAATCGTACATTAGACAGCCATTTTGAATTTTACGAGGCTCGAATCAGAAAAAAGATACAATATTTGCAATCTACTCTTAATTGCCTTTCATTTGAGTATAATAAAGCTATAATTCAGAAAGATCTAAAAATTAGCGAAAATTACTGTTTTCCTTACCCCCAAACACGGCCCCTGGGGGTCAGGATGAAAAACACGGAATATATGTTAGATAGATAGATGTTGCGAATATACTACCAAAATTTCAAACAATAATATTAATTACTTTGGTTTAAAATGAAAAATTTATGGTTTTTGCGAAAAAGTCCCGTCATTTTTAAAGCGGCGGCCATCTTGAAAATTTTTTTTTTAGCGTACAACTGTTCACCAATATACATCTTTCCACTAAATATGAAGAAAATCCGTCAACTCGTATTTGAGTTATCTTCCGGACGGACGGACTGACTGACGGACTGACGGACGGAGGGCTTCACTATATCCCTACCGAACTTCGTTCGTTGGGATAAATATAACAGACATGAACACTTATTGCATATAATCTTGGGCTCGTCAGCAGGATCAATATGAGAAACTCATTATAAACTTGAAATTCTGTAATTTGATGAGGCATTGTTATACCCACCCCTCCACTTTGAAAACTTTATGGCAGATTTATTTTTCAAGTTTAGGGTAAGACCATGTGATTCTTGTGAACCGTTTCCCAACAACACCTACTGTACTACCTAAAGACTTTGAGGGATACACTGTATCATTTTTATCAATTAAAATATATTCATACATGTCATATGATATTATTTTTTTCATCTGCTCAACTAATCCCCCAATTGAAGTACTGTATATATTATTGCTTTAATTTGGGCAGATTGGGCAAATTTTATTTGGCGGATTGGCCATCATTAAGAAACATATTACTCACTTCACAGCTCACCATCAATAACACAATTTTATCTCTTAGTTAGGCAAATTTTAGCAATCCACCAAATTAAAAGGGCCGTCAGATTAAAGCAACTTACAGTAACCAATAAATAATTTGAACACAGCGTGTTAACAATTAGTCACAATTCCTAATGCTCAAACCCAACAATCCCCAACTCAATTTTAAGTAGCCTACATCTCTGTTCTCCAAATGGAGAATGCTTATATGACACTATGACGTTTTATGTCTTTTCCAAAATCGTTTGACATCATCGTGGCCAGCCTTGCTCACAATCATAACTCTGTTCTTTGGCTTTTCCCAAACCAACACATTCAAATCTTTGGCATAGTCACGTAACATCTCAAAGTCTGCTGCTGAGAGGAATTGATTGTACAAAACACCATCAGAGAACTTAAATCGATCTCTCTCAATTTCCCAAAGTCTTACTTGATCACTTATTGTAGGTGGTATCACTGGAGTTTTCTTTAGTGCTTCCGGGTGGGCGTGGCTACGAAGGAAGTTCAAAATTTGTTCCGCAGTGATGCCACAGATGAGTGCTTGACGTACACTCTCACGAGTAAGCACGCAAACACAGAAATTTGGAAATCTATACAACATTTCACAAAATAATGCGAGCAATGCTATCTGTAGAGGGGAACAAGTGTATGCATATACTCTGTAATTGGTCTCGACCACAAGGAACCCTTCTCTGTGGGCATCTGCACTGCTTTGATTTAATCCAGAAACTAAATTGATTGCAAGTCTTGTTGGATAGTATCGTTGAGATTTTCGTTTGCGTTGGTAAATGAGTCCTATTTCACGTAAGTGTTGCATAAAGGGGAGTTGTGATTCTGTCATTCCATCTGTTGAGTAGTCCTTGCCCATTTTTGAAAAGCTGAGTTGGAACAGAAAGGATAAGCATTCCACCAGATTGATACCGCGAGACTGAAACATAATAAATTCCTTATTTATCACACATATGATAATACATCTAAAAATGCATTTTAGAGCGACAGTCATTCTATTTTATTTTAGTGTTTCAGTGTAATATTCACAAAGAGGGTACAGCTGTCTTAAATCAAGGATTCAGTTCTTCCCCTCTTCATTTCCCAAGTGAGGGAATATTCCAGAATTCATAGATGAAAATATCTCCTACTAGACTTTCATCTTTACATGGAGATAGGGTCATCTATAAATCCTGGGGTATTAATAAAAAAAATTACATAATAATAAGATACTGCTTTAATATTTATAAATGTATACATGTAATGTAAATGCACGCATGTTAATTGAACAAAGTTTGATTTTACAAAAAGGACTCTGAAAGTATCACTGACCTCCAAAGTGTCCAAATACTGTAGCATGAAGTACCAAACTTGAGCTGCTGTGTTCATCAACAAGAAATGGAATCCAGAAGGTGTTATGGCTGGTAATGAATCTCCTGCATCACTGAAAAATGGAAAATATCTCATTAATCTTTGAAATAACAAGAAATCAATTTTGAGAAATTTCAGTGATCTCCCCAGCATTAGAGCAGTTGAGTGTATTAGCCCCCTGGAGAAAATATGAAAATTACTTGCCAGATACCAACCTATTGGCTAAAATAAGGAGGAAATATACTAAAATATGTATGTATACACTATGCAGTAAGTTTTAGGCTCACTATATAACAGACACTGTTGATCAAAATATGTTGGCAGAATATCACTGCACTGCACTTTAATTCATCTTCCAATAAAGTGAAGACGACATTTGACATATTTATGTGACCTCAACAGGCCTGTAGTCAACCCCCCCCTCCTGGAATTTTTTGAAAAATAAACTCCCCTTGGCAAAAGCTGGCTATATGCTTGATCATAGTTGATTTAAAGCTCCACTGAGGCTTAAGACCTTATTTGCAATAAAACTGTACTTAAAGTCAAATTATTCTTATTACCATTTCATGAGACCTGCATGTAAGAGAATAGAGACTACATCTTTACTGACTCCATCACAAGCTTCCTTGGAGCCAACCATGAAGTGTAAAACACACTGAAATAGAATGCAACAAAATACAAATATTACCTTCTACATACGTATTTGAGATACTGTATTACATACTTAATTTAGCAACTGGATTAATTTTTTTTAAATATCTTGTTCACTGGAACTTCATTTAGTTAAAGTTTTGTGCAAATCTCTCAAGATTACATTGAGTTTTAAATATTGGATAACCATTGAATACATCGATATACTGTACTCCCACTAATATTTGACGCTATTATATTTCACGTTTTTGAAATTTCGCGGGTATTATATTTCGCTAATTTCGCAACTATTAATTTTCGCGGATTCGTCATACAAGATCACTCTTTTGACTTCGATATCAGTCATGGTTGTTCCTTCGACAGATGATTTTGGCTTCTTATTAAGCCATTTCATTAGACTGTTCATTTTATTACAGTAATAAAGATCTTTCTTCTAATTTCTCTTTTTCAAAACTCGAAAGGACACACTTTTATCTATTATCTCCCAGCACTGAACGAAAATATTTTCAACACTGAAATCCCTGGGAATTTCCTTGGAATTTCACGACTATAAAATTTTGTGAATTAGAACTGTATGAATTTTGCGGCTATTATATTTCGCGAATTTTCCAAAACTCACAAAAAGCGCGAAATATAAAAGCGTGCAAAAATTACTGGGAGTACAGTATTTAGAAGAATCGATGCATTCATTTAATGATATCAGTGGCCCATCCCTGGATAGCTCCAGCTACATGCAAAGATTTTTGAGATAAGAATATCTGGCAATGTCAAAACCCAGAATTTACAAATACATTGTGTAACAATTTCAATCATGCAATTAATGCGATTAACGGTAGATGCTCACCTCCCATCTCTCCAATGCATATGTGTCTAGGTACTTAATATCTTTGCCATATTTGTCGACATCATTCATAGCACGTGAGCCAGACCATGGGCTACCCCTGAAATAACAGATACCAAAATATTAACACATTGTAAACCAGCATGTATAGGCTAGTTAAGGTATGACTGAGAGAATATTTTTGTAGCGGAATTTAGGTGCTGTATAATTTTTTTTTAAATCCATTTTTTAGCAAAGACAACCAAGTGAAGTGTAATTCCAGTGCAGTCTACAATTTTATTAAGTATGTCCTTACCCTCCAAGAAGAGCCACTTTAAGATTAGACTGGAATGTTCCATTGAGGACCCAGCCCATCAAACCACCTGGTAACTGCTGTTCCTGCCATATTCGAAGACCCGCTAAGGCTCGTTCAGCCTCAAGATATTCCCCAGAATGCTCAGACTTCACCCAGGTTGAGATAGATGCCTTTTTAAAAAAATCGACCGAAATATCATAAGTGAATTATTTGAACAGCAACAGGTTCTAAATAATGATGAACAAGTATATTACTAATATCATATCTATGCTTATTATGTTACTGGTCTCTATATAATACAGCAAAATGCCGCAAATTAAATCCATGATGTACTTAACAGCTACCAACAGACACCTACCAACAGTGAACATTTTTTCGTCATGAAAAAATGTTCACTATACACAGGTTCTACTGTACTAGGTATTGACAGTTAGGTCACAGTATTATGAAAATATGCATTTATGGTATTTCAGGTGATTTGTTATGAGGGAGCTTACCTTTGGTAAAGCCTGCTCCAAAAATAACATTCTCATGATGAATGTTTTGGCGAGGCTGTCTAAATCCTGGAATACTGCTAGACATGTTGCAGGGTGTGTGTACAGTTGATCCAAGAGCTTTGTAGGTAAGGTACGTAGATATTGATGAAGATTCTTGCAGTCTAAATGGCTTGTATTCCCCCCTCCAGCCTGGGCCATTTTGCAATCTGAAGATCAGAAGAAGGTTTCAATAGTGTGCTTCTGACTTTGAACACAATACAGGGTGTCCGGAAAGTAAAGATACAAATGCTCTAATTTTAAGGGATTTACCTGTTTTGAGATGAAATTACTCCAGAATGTAGAATGACATTATGAGAATATATCCTGCAACTGTCATGACTTTTAGTTTCAAAATGAAAAAGTTATGTTTGTTATGGTTACGGGAGTCGAGGGTATGTGGAGCAACATCACTATAGTGCTTTACAAATCACTTTCATGCTCGTATAATCTTAGCACTCCACCATCTATTCCTATATTATATCAAATTATGTACCACAACAGCATAGGGATTAGTAATGTAACATTATTTGATAATTTCATATTACTACTATCATTGAATATTCAGTATTTTTCCCATTATCTATACATTCTTGGTGTATCTTGACCGGTGATTCAAAGACCTGACAAAACCGCTGCTGTCCATCTCTCAGATTGCTGATAACATTGGCTTCCAGCTGAGTCTCATTTGTATGTTGAACTTTTTACAAATATTGCTTTCAAATGGTCATTAAGGTAGAAGTCTAAAGAGGCTTTATCAGGTGAAAATGGGGTATTGTATAGAAAGGTTTAATGTCATGACACTCCATTGTAAGATTTGTTTTTTGCTTTGTGAATTGGTGCATTGTGGAGATGCAATATTGACTTTCCTACTAATGGCCAGGGACCATTGTTCTAGGCACTTGTATAACACTTCTTTCATTTCACTGGTTAGTGACATAACATAGTTCTGATATGTGCCAATGACATCATTTTATAAAAGAAAACACTATGGCAGCAATAATACAATGATGAACAAAACAAAACATAGATAGAAAATACAACAAAAAACACTGTTTCAAATGGTTGTCTTTTAGCAATTTTTTCACTTTTTAGCGTTGTTCTGGAACTGCTCCACATACCTCTCACATCCGTAACCATAACAACCGTAACTTGAACACATTTAGAATATATGTGATGAAAGTTTGTAGATATATTGTCATATTGTTCCTCTACAATCTGTTGTAATTTCATTTCAAAAAACCCAAGTTTCTTAAAATAAGAGTATTTGTATCTTTACTTTCCGGACACCCTGTAGTTTGCTTTTTTGAACTCATCATCATTCTATCTTCTGAACAAGACAAGAAATTATACTTAATAAATAAAGGTTTGTTGTAATTTAATCATCAAGTCCAATTGATACTCACACAGTTTTCCTTGGGTGATACTATTGGGCTGTCAACTCGATCTAAGACAGTCATATCAAAATATCAGGAAATAACCAATGGATGTGATTGGTGATTGTAAAAAATGTTGTTATTCGATAGGCAAAAGACAAAAGGCAAAAGATAACCAATGACCCTGGATAATTGAGATGATGGTACGAAAAATGAGTTTTCCAGAGAATGAGATGACGGGAGCCAAAAACTGAGATAATGACACCATTTTCCAAAATGTGTACTGATGTTGAATTGACTTGATGGGCAGCTTCGAGATTTTGTGGAAAAGGATTCAGTTGATGGCAGAATAATCTAATAATAATTGAGATTGTAGATGGCAAAGGTGGTGGATGGCTGGGATCTTGTACCTTAGACCCTAGGACGATTGTATGAGAAACCAGATTTTTTTTCATTTCACAATTGTGCAGCCATTACATAACTTCTGTGACAAATCATATCTCATTCGAAATGTCATGTTATTCTGTACTTCCAAAATCACAAACAAAGGTAATCCAAACATTCCTCCTAAGGCAATTTCTTCCTCCGGGACCGAATACACCAAATCTGAAGATTTTTACATTGTTTTTATCATTTCATGGTATGTGACATCAGAGGACTGATGAGATTTGTGGCATATTTGGTGGAAGCGATACTGAAACCGAGGGGTAGGTGTGAATATTTTCGAAACGAATGCGTGATATATACACATGTTTCGGACAACATGTGTGACATGAACGGCACTCACGTGCAAAGATCGAACAGAATGCGTTCACTTTTTTTCGCCGTTCGGATTTTTACCGTATCAGCATTTCATAAAAAACGATTTCTAAAGATATCAACATAATGCGTGATTAAATTGCATGATATTTGATCATACACGCTAAATTGATGCATGATTCTATTTTTCCAGCAAATGCGTGACAATCACACCTAATGAGCCTAATGCGTAAGAGGGCTCCCCAAGAGGGGGTAGTGGGGTCGCTTTTGTCACTTTTAAGATTTCAAAATTCTCACTTTATCACATTTAAAATTTACTTGTCATATTTTGTCAGATTGTTCCTTTTTAGATAGTCAAAGTATTTAATGCACTAAATAATCTGCTATGTTCCATTGTTTGATTGCTGGTTAGAATAAGTCATCTTAAGGTCTCATGGAAGTTAACAGGAAATGACAAAACAAAAAATGACAAAGCCATGCTGGATTTTGAAAATTTTTTGAACCAAGATAACAGAGTTCTGTTTGGACCTCCAGTCAGTTTAACTAGTTCCACATATCATTTACATGACTGGGAACACAATTGAAATGGTCAGAATGACCATAAACATGATAAAATAACCTTTTCAGCCCTCTGAAAATGTGACTGAAAAATAGCTAAAAGTAGGTGCTCAGGAAAGGTCAATCAACAGAATCTTTTGATTTTTTCAGAAAATGTGTCCAATATATTGCTCTAAATGACACAATCTTTGAAATTTTAAAAAATTGTCTGAAACAATAATGGCTGTAGTAAAAAGGAAAATAGATCGATTTTCAATTCAGTTTTTTTTAATTTTTTCTTTTTCTAAGAATGATATCAGATTTTTTTAAATTGTATCATTTAGAGCAATATATTGGGCACATTTTCTGAAAAAGTCAAAAGATTCTGTTCAGTGACCTTTCCTGAGCACTGACTCTTAGCTATTTTTTAGTCACATTTTCAGAGGGCTGAAAAGGTTATTCTCTCATGTTTATGGTCATTCTGACCATTTTAATTGTGTTCCCGGTCATGTAAATGATATGTGGAACTAGTTAAACTGACTGGAGGTCCAAACAGAACTCTGTTATCTTGGTTCAAAAAATTTTCAAAATCCAGCATGGCTTTGTCATTTTTTGTTTTGTCATTTCCTGTTAACTTCCATGAGACCTTAACTAGCATCAATTTACATTCAGAACGAATTATCTATTTTTGTCACTCTCAAAACACTTGTCAGTCCGATAAATGTGCAATATTGTCACTTGAAAGGATTGATTTGTCACATTTGTTCGTTTTTAAGTACCCCAAAGTCCCATTTAGTCCCATTTTTAGAGGCCAGGTCGCCTTATCACATACCCCTTGGGGAGCCCCCGTAAGGGTTGACAGGGCTGGTATTAGGATAGATCATATAGACTCTCTACCTGAATTTAGCTGACGGTCCCCGAATACACGAATCGAGTAGTCTACAGTGGGGGACATAAAGAATTACAAAAGCTATGGAAATTACATGCTCGATCGCACATGTAATAAATTCTTACCTCAGTGTATTCAGTGCTATATTTTCTCTTTCCTAGTAAGTCCAGATATAGTGGAATTCGTGTCCATAATGACAAATAAGAATTTAAAAAAGTGGAATTCACATGTTATGCCGACTCTTCAAATGTTGAGGTGATTTTGGAGCAAATGATCTATGGTGTATACTTTTCCGCAGTTTATGGGAGTTTGGGACATTAAATGTTAAAATTCAAGAAAATATGGCAATTAAACGACTGATCAATTGATATATACCACCAGCACTATAGCTCATTGTGACAACTTAATTTTAGGGTTGAGATTTATTTTTGTCCCACACTTTAGAGCTCGATAGTATCACCCAACAACACAGTTTGTTATATCTTTGTTTTTACGAGAATTTCATGCAATTCAGTATAAGCATGTACCTATCTTATCCTTCCTCTACTATCTGCTAGGCCTGTAATGAAGTATCTAAGATTGATAGATTAGAAATCCATCGCTTCTTTCATATTTTCTTGGAAGGAACATCTATTTCGTTAATCATTTAGATAAAGCGATTTATTTACACATTCTAATTTCATTTTCCGTTGAAATTTTTTGCCAAAGACAGCAACTCAACTATTAGAATATTGAATGTTTGTATGCTTAAACTATTAGTCACTGTTCTGTAAGAAGAATATATTTGATACAGCAATCTTGTTGGAATAAATAGATAAATATGGAATGTGTTTTAATCGAAACTTCCGGTTAAAAATGCCAACTCGAAAACTTTTCTTCGAACTTGTAATGTAACTTGCGGCAACATAACAGATGTTCTCATGCAAGAAAATGTTCTAACGATTGTTTGTGCTAATTCTACCACCGTTTATGGTTTACCTCGTTATTGTGAAGTACTCAGGAGGCAGGTTACTCAGCTCCACTGACTGGAAGTTGGGGAACAGATTTTCCTTGGTTGGTACACAGAGGAGGGAGGGGTGGATTTTCTTTTCAGGACAACTCTCCTATGTGTTCCAATGGCTGTGTTGCTCTCCTTTGGTGTTGTCAGGATGTGCCATAATTTATATAGATCACTTATGTCACAAAATGAATGGACCTCTATCAGAGTAATTCTTTATTTTCATCACTTGACTTTTACCAAGAAGGAGGTCGATTTGTATACAAATATTTTACCCCAATGTTAGTAGCATCCGGTGACTGAAAAGTTAGTCAGCCACGGGCAAATATATCCCGCAGCTCCAATAATCGAGTGAGAATTCCCCTCTTCAGCAACCAGGACGTAATCTAGTGGATTTCATAATGTCTTGGTTGCATTATTTTGTAGCCTATTAACATCTTGGTTTTTGGGCTTTCTGAAATTCTCACTTGATTATTGGATCCACTTGTGACTGATTCGTTTTCAGTAAACGGATGTTACTAATAACATAATGGTAGAATATTTGGATACAAATACAAATCGGCCGCCTTCTTGATGAAAATGAACATTTCCACCGATGGAAGTTCATCCATTTTGTTATAAAGACATAATGTGTATGTAGATGCAGTATCAATTTTCAGGAGTAGGCTAAACAGCAGAAAAAGGTTTGAGAAAAGATTCCCTTAAAATCTTGAATGCAAATGCACTAAAATACTGAATGCAACTAATAAGTAATACCTTTGGTATCGCTGTGCAAAACAAATCTAATAATGTCTGTAGAAACCTGTAAGTCGATGGTTCTACACTTCTACTCCCTGTCATCTCAATTTTGCTATTACTGAATTTGAAATATAAAGAGTAACTTGAACTTCATAAAAGTAATTAATGCCCTTATAAAAAATTCAACCTTGAAAGTCCGAATTTAAACCGTTTCCATCAATCATTGAATAATGATTGTTTCAACTACCAAGATCAAAGGAAAAACCATTGTACGATGATAAGCAATCATTGTGCAACCATTGTGTTCAACCAAGCGAAGTCAACTCTTTTTCAACGACTGCGCAACCGTTTCTATACAATCATTGTAATCTGCAACCATTGTAAACTGCAACCATTTCACATTGAAATGTAAATGGTTGCAATATGTTTTGTTCAATGATTACATAGTTCAACCCCTGCAACCATCCTGAATTAGTATCGTTCCAAAAAATTATCATTTTACCTGAATTAAAATTATCTTTAAGTAAGGATTTGAATCTACCTCTATTCAACAACAGTATATTAGGATATTTTTTTTGCAAGCATGCATGTTTATTATAGTAAATAACTTAATTCATGTTAATATGTTTCTTTCTCCAGTACGAATTTAGGAATGCGATACCAGACTAGTTTTCCACTAAATGGCATATGATAATTTATGTTCTCTGTCATTTACATTATTTACACAAATTAAAAGCACCATATTTAGTGTTTATTTCCCTTTTCTGATATTGCCAAAATGATGTATCTTTAATATTAATTATGAAAAGAATTTAGCAAAAATCCAATTTGGTAAAGAAATTGACCAAGGAAAATCGTAAGATTTCCTTTAAACTTAGCAAAATCACAAGATGAGACACAATGGTTTTTGTTCATGATCAGACTGATGATCAAAAGAAGCAGGATAAATGATGTACAAAATAATACAAACATATGTACATGTAATCACAAGTTGATTGCTTTATTTAGTGAAAATGTTTTATAGTAATAATGCATTCAGGCAGCAGAGACTTACTTTTCACAGTTTCAACTGGAAAACATCTGAATTAATAATTTCACTAAAATTTTGTCAAGGTAGATGAATTATTGCTACACCCATGATATACAAATAGATTGGTATGGGATCATATTGATATCAGAGGGTTTAACTAAGGACCCCCACAAAAGTTTATATACAATGAACAGGCCAGTAGCCAGCCCCCCCCCTCCAGCAAAATGGGTCTTCAAATGTATTCATATATGTGTACTTTACACCTAATATCAAATGTATGGCTCACTAAAATTTAAAAAATACAAACAAGAGAACAATTTTGATTCACATTATTCATAACAGATTTAATTACCATGTTCTTTCTTGGCAAATATTTTTTATAACAATGCTCAACACAACAATACCTACTACATATTGATATTCTCATGGGTTTAGGCAAATCAGAATGCTTGAACAGCCAATTAAAACGGTTGAACGGCTAATTAAAACGGTTGAACAGCTAATTAAAACGGTTGAACAGCTAATTAAAATGCTTGACCAGAAATAGGGTTCATAGTCCTAGTTTCTGCTATATTTATTTTCATTTTGTGTTATACTATATATTTTTTTTTTATTCTCTATTTCATGCAGAGGCGGGGGGGGGGCGTAAAAATTTAAAAAGTGTTTTCAGATTTTTGAAGGTGTATTTCTTTATTCAGTTACTTTAATAAGTGCCGTGAAATCTCAAATAGCAAGTATATGAAACTGCAATTACTATTTTCAGAATTTTTTATTTCATTTTTTTTAGTTTGTTTTACCATGGGCATTCAATAGATTGAAAGTTCATGGCTTTACTGTATTCACTAGGGCATAGCATTTCTACTGAAATGTGTAATCAGTTTAAATAATATGTGTCAATGATTAAAAAAAACAGAGCTTATTTTTCAAAACTCTAAACTTGAAAAAATCTGGAGGAAAATATGGAAAATTTTCTTTGGCAAATTATTTATCATGTTCTGTGTATGGAATAATTAAATTACATAGGATGCTTCCTTTATAGCAGACTCTAATCAAACTGTGAGTCTCTCTGTAATAAGGTTTGTTTTGCCTTGCCAAATTATTTTTGTTTTGTTTATGGATTAATAAAGTTTCTTTAGACACATCCTTCAAAGCAGACTCTAATCAAACTAGAGAAACTGAGTCTTTCTGTAATCAGAGTTTTTTAAGTTATGCTTATTGACTTAACTATTTAAAACACATCCTGTAATGTCTGATTGCATCTTCTCTATCAAATCAAAAATATCAAATCAATAAACAGATTATTTTCTGATTGAAGGATTTCTTCCTTCCAGACAGATCTTCCCTCCTTTATAATTGTGATAATTTCTCAGGTGAAGTATAAGTGTCTGAATTTGTAAAATTCAAGACTTCACCCCGATCAAAATTATTTCAAATGTTTTTGCAATAACTTAAAAAGTAGTGAAGGGATTTTGTAAAAATGATTGTCATGACAGTGAGGGGATTTACTATGCCTTAGCATTGCTGTTACATGTATCTAGATAATATACATGTGAGTGAGACAATCGTCATCCTTCAAAGTTAGATGAAAATCTTTTCAATATATTTTCATTCACAAGACAAGTTTACTAAACTATTTCAATACTTTAAATATCTTTTTGATCAAAAACTTTAAATTCTGACATGTATGCATGAAATACATACATTTGAAATATATATTTTAAAGAGCAATATAATTATTTTATGTTGTATTGAGATAATATTGCAATAGGTTTAAAGGGTTGCATTCGATTGAAACGGTTGCAAGAAATTCAATCAAAATTTTCAAGCGTTTACAATGGTTACATATGATTGAAACATTTTCAATGAGTTTACAACCAAAATTGTAATGGTTGCGTTGTAACGGTTGGCATGGTTGCATAAATGATCGGATCAATGATTGTGCAACGGTTTAAATTCGGACTTTCAAGGTTGAATTTTTTATAAGGGTGTGCAGTCACATTTAAGGTTATATTTACAGAAGTGCAGTATTTTCACCCATGTTTCACCTCTGATTCTGGTGCCTGTTGTCTCATTTTTATACATGTTGTTAAAATAGTTCTACATCACACATTACTACATTGGAAGGACATACCTTTTCATTCTAGGCTTGACAATTCTCACAACAAAGTTGAAAAGTTAGACAGACAATATGGCTGATACAGGGGTCCTTGCAAGTGCTGCAAAAGCAGCATCATATAACATGGTGCTCCAGGTATGTTGTCTAATGTTGTCTATGAATGATATATTAATTAAATCAATTTGTCTCTTTGAATCATAGTTACTACCATAGCAAGTGCAAATGGTCCAAATAGAAAAAGTTTTAAAAGAGGATATACATGTACTCGTACTTGTACATGTAATGGAATGAATACAATGATGTCTCTTTCTATTTTGCAGCTCATCTTTAGGGTGCTGACCTTTGTGCTGAATGCGTTTGTTTTACGCTATATCTCTAAAGATCTCCTGGGTGTCGTTAATGTCAGGTAAGCCCCAAATGTTGTAAATTTTTATGTTTTAAGATGACACTACTTGCAATAATATTATCACAGTGGGAGAGGCAGCCATAGACCTACAATGATCAATGTAACTTAATTTTCCAATCAACATATTTAGAAGATGCAATAAGGATGTAGAATTGTAGACATATTTTTTGTAATAGTCTCCTGTGATATTGTAATCATCCTCCAATCACTGGGCTTCAAAACTCAGAATATCTTCTTTCTTTTTACCCCCTGCTTTAACCAAGTTGGAAGCGCCCGATTAAACTGAATAATGTGATCTAATTATGCGCCGATGATGTATACATGATTGCTGTCGCAGTGTTGCGACAACGAATCAAATTGCGAGTTCTTAATCAGGAAATGTTAACTGCTTATAGCAGGGGGAAGAAGGAGGTACGGATTCTGGACACCTGCTTAGGAGGATGTATTGTAATAGTCTCCAACTTTTTTGAGGATGACAGGTGGTGTTCGGAGTTCAGTGGTCAGTGTCTGTAGCAAATTGCGTCTGCACCAAATGACAGGTGGTGACATTTTGCATGTTAATGCCTTGTTAAATACAGTGTTTGTGTTTTTCAGATTAACTTTACTTTACACTACAGTGGTGTTTATTGCCAGAGAGGCCTTTAGACGAGCATGTTTGAGTAAAAATACTGAAGGAAAGTCAACACAATTGATCAACTTATTGTGGCTTACGTAAGATACAAAGAGTGATACCTTTAAAATAAATTTGCCTTGAAAATAAAATGTACATGTACAGGACTTTTTTGATCAGGGGTAAATCGCAATATCAACAGATTTGGCTATGGTTGTCTGTGATTTATTTTGCTTTAACTTGTTCTATTTTATTTAAACTTCATATTGATGTCATAAAGCTCAGTTTTATTTAAACTTCTTATTGATTTCAGTAAGTTCAGTTTTCTCATTTAATTGATGTAGTTTTATCTTCATTTCTAGGACACCAATTGGAATCATATTTACCCTTGTTTTTGCATCACTCTGGATTTATGTGCTTGAACAACCCGATCCATCAGTAGTTCCAAACTACTCACTAGGTGTCATTTTCTTTGCTGTGTCGGCCATCTTGGAACTTTTATCAGAACCATTATGGGTGATAAGTCAGACATTCCTGTTTGTTCGCTTGAAGGTAAGTATATCATCCTTTTTTGTATTAGAACCAGATAAAGATGGCATTCTATGTGTATATCAATTTTCATATTGCTAAAGGTCTTCTGTAGCCTATTTGGTTATATAATATATACATCTATTTTCATGGAGTAAAATGTACTTTCACTGAGGTTATTGCTCATTCGAGGACAAATCAAATTCAGTTGAATGAATATGCCAATGATCACACAGATAACTGTAAGCACGCTGTCTGGGAACTATCCTTGCGCATTAGTTTACCATGAATAAAATACAGACACCAAGAAATTCTAATTTTATCATTAATCATACATGTATCTTCATATTTAAGAGGTATTTTCCTCTTTATACATGTATTATATAAAGATAGTGAAGATTAATATTTGTTAGATTGTACAATCTACCTCAATGTATCCAAACACAACACTCTTTTTTTAAAATTAATTGTGAGAAAAAATATTAATGTTTTAGGTAATTGTTGAAGGTGTTGCCATAGCGACAAGATGTATCCTCACAGTTGTCCTCCTCATCTTGTTTCCTCAGTGGGGAATCCTCATCTTCTCAATTTCTCAGGTAACATTGCAAAATGTATTCTTCCGTTTTTCATAGACTTTAAAACTTCTCTCTTTTCTTAATATTTTATTGTTTGCATTGATTGGTAATACCCGTTCCCATTTATTTGTCAGAATAGATTATTTGGATATTAAAAAGTCTACATTCCTTCAAACCTTTTTTTCTGATATTTCACATTCACCTGTACAATGATTAATATTTTCATGGGCTTTCAACTTTCTGATATTTTTCACATGATCTTATTTTTTCATTGGATCCCCAAAACCAGATACAATAAAAAAAAACTTCACATTTTAGATGCTTTTGTTCTTAACTAGAGTCTGGTCTGTTACAGATTGCATACACTGCAGTACTTACAGGGTTATACTATGCCTACTTCATCTGGTGTATTACCACCAAAACACAAGAGGAACACAAACTTCCCTTTAAAACAATCAGGGACTTATTTCCAAAATGGCTTCCAAATGATGTAAGTATTCACAGCTTTGTTTCTTGTATTTTCTCTTAAAGGAATACAAGCTCTACCTTTGATCTCTAAATTCAATCAAGAATTTACTCCATTATGACTCTCTGATACAAAGCAATTCTTACCTGAAAATACCTCTTTGAGTCTCATTTTCAGGTGAAGCTATGCTTCCTTGTTCTAAAATCCAACTTATTTCATTGATTTGCCTCATTATTTACTTCATTATTGTTCTGGTTAATTAATCTCATATTCTAATATGCCTCTTTGTTCTTGTAAGCCTCATTGTTTTTAATGAAGTTTAGATTTAGACATTAAATGTTATATATTCTTATTGATTCGGTAAATCTAATCTTCTTGTGTGACTCTTTTTATCGTACCTAAAAAAGGTACGATATTGTCGTCAGCTTGTTATCGTACCTAATAAAGGTACGATATTGTCGTCAGCTTGACGGGCGGGCGGCGGGCGGCGTCTCACTTTTCAGCTTGTCTAAAGGTTTCCAGCCAAACCATTTGACAGATTCATCTGAAATTCTCAGGAATGTTTCTACGTATCAAAGTTAAGAACTGATTAGTTTTTGGGCATTCTGGGTAAATTTTAAGGTGGCCATTTTGGATTTTCCGTCCTAAAATCTTCACTTTCAAGACTTGTCTACAGGTTTCCAGCCAAACCATTTGATGGATTCATCTGAAATTTTCAGGAATGTTTCTACGTATCAAAGTTAAGAACTGATTAGTTTTTGGGTATTCTGGGTAAATTTTAAGGTGGCCATTTTGGATTTTCCGTCCTAAAATCTTCACTTTCAAGACTTGTCTACAGGTTTCCAGCCAAACCATTTCGACGGATTCATTTGAAATTTTCAGGGATGTTTCTTAACTTTCTACGTATCAAAGTTAAGAACTGATTTGTTTTTTGGCATTCTGGGTAAAATTTAAGGTGGCCATTTTGGATTTTCCGTCCTAAAATCTTCACTTTCAAGACTTGTCTACAGGTTTCCAGCCAAACCATTTGACGGATTCATTTGAAATTTACAGGGATGTTTCTACATATTAAAGTTAACAACTGATTAGTTTTTGGGCATTCTGGGCAAATTTTAAGGTGGCCATTTTGGATTTTCCGTCCTAAAATCTTCACTTTCAAGACTTGTCTACAGGTTTCCAGCCAAACCATTTGACGGATTCATCTGAAATTTTCAGGGATGTTTCTACGTAACAAAGTTAAGAACTGATTAGTTTTTTGGCATTCTTGGTAAAATTTAAGGTGGCCATTTTGGATTTTCCGTCCTAAAATCGTCACTTTCAAGACTTGTCTACAGGTTTCCAGCCAAACCATTTGACGGATTCATTTGAAATTTACAGGGATGTTTCTACATATCAAAGTTAACAACTGATTAGTTTTTGGGCATTCTGGGTTAATTTTAAGGTGGCCATTTTGGATTTCTGTCCTAAAATCTTCACTTTCAAGACTTGTCTACAGGTTACCAGCCAAATCATTTGATGGATTCATCTGAAATTTTCAGGGATATTTCTATGTATCAAAGTTAAGAACTGATTAGTTTTTGGGCATTCTGGGTAAATTTTAAGGTGGCCATTTTGGATTTTCCGTCCTAAATTCTTCACTGTCACACTGCTGTGTTTTAGGTACGATATTGTTCACGTCTGTGCCTTGTTAAAGCATGTTATAAATTATTCTCCAGGTACTTATAGACTGGAACATGGCAAGTCTGACATGGAGCTTTAGTAAGCAGTCATTTCTCAAGCAGATTCTTACAGAAGGTAATATGACATCCATCCCAATAACCCTTGTACTAAAGGAGTTAAAACAAAATCCCATTAATCCTCTACAGTTTTTTAGGAGGAGATCTATCTTGTCAGCCACTAAATAAAAGTTGGAACATTAAATATCAAGAAGTAGAAATTGGATTTATCATTTTGATCACTCTTGGTGAAAAACATAAAATTATGTTAGATCTTTGGAATCCAATAAGCCTCTAGCCCTAGCCACACTAATAATTCAGCCCAATTTCATTTTATCATTTTCACATTATGCCTCTTGAATGTTTGGCCTTCATGCCCCCTATTACCACTTATGGTATGGTATCTGTCCAAATGAGAAAGCTTGGACTCAAGATTCAGATAAATATGTTCAATAGTATTTTTCAAATGAATGCATCCTTTTTCCAGGGGAACGCTATGTGATGACGATGTTTAGCATCCTCAGCTTTGCAGATCAAGGTATGACATTTTATTTTTAAGTTTTTATTATTTATTTATTGTTTACTTGATTTTAAATCAAAAGGTTAATGCCATAGATTGAAGTGAGTACAGTACATAGAGCAGGGTAAATCCTTTCAGCATTAAATGACTAGTGTGTAGTGAGATGATAATTTGAAAAGTGATAAGTTTGATTGGTGCCACAATCTTTTCTCAGCAGCCAATCAAAGTAAATGTACTCTGTGTTCAGTTCATTGTTTAATTGTTGCTAAAATGCTTATGTTCATTTTATAGTACATTTACAGTACTGTACAATAATCAAACATTCCAGGTATCTATGATGTCATAAACAATCTTGGATCTCTAGCAGCTCGTTTTATATTCTTGCCAATAGAGGACAGTGGCTACCTGTTTTTCACGCAACTTCTTCAGAGAGAAATTAACATAAATGATCAGAAGCCTGTAAGTAGTATTTCAGCTTTTCTTAACTTAAACATTTCTGAATGAATCAAAATAAAATCCATTAATAAATATAACTGACTATTTTGAAACTCCTAATTATTCTGTCAGTTTTTTAATCAATTACAAAAATATTGTTGAACATTTGACATGAGCATAGTCAGGAGGGGTTGTTGGTTTGAAATGCCCCTAACTAAAATTTTGTTCAAAATCTGCAGTTTTTCACCATTTTGAGCATTGGACTTTTCAAGTGATTTTAGGCCAAAATTTGCCCTCCCCGGAATGAGATTTTGCCTCAGACAGTAATAAAAAGTTATAATAAAAAACAAAACTTTATTTTTAGGATTCATTGAAGCTTGCAACTAACGTGCTAGAATCTCTACTAAAAGTTGTCACATTGATTGGGCTGACAATTCTTGTATATGGACACAGTTACTCGTATCTTTTGCTGGATATATATGGGGGTTCTCTACTCAGCTCAGGGACTGGTAAGAAAATACAGCAATCTTGGGAGATCTTATGATTTTATTATACTCCTGGGCTCCGTCAAAATATCAATGCTTGTTATCCCAACGAACGAAGTTCTGTAGGGATATAGTGAAGCCCTCCGTCCGTCCGTCTGTCCGTCAGTCAGTCAGTCCGTCTGTCCGGAAGATAACTCGAATACTAGTCGACGGATTTTCTTCATATTTGGTGGAAAGATGTATATTGGTGAATAGTTTTTTTTTCAAGATGGCCGCCAGTTTAAAAAATGGCGGGAATTTTTCACAAAACTCTTTATGTTTTCATTTTTAACCAAAATAATAAATATTTTTATTTGAAATTTTGGTAGTATATTAACAACATCTATCTATTTCACATATATCCCAGGTTTTTCACCCTGACCCCCAGGGGCCGTAAATGGGCGAATGGAAAAACAGGAATTTGCGTTAATTTTGAGATGTTTTTGAAGTATATCTTTATTATACTCAAAGGAAAGGCAATTTAGAGTAGATTGCAAATATTGTAGCGTTTTTCTGATTCAGGCCTCAAAAAATTCAAAATGGCCGCCTAATGCGGGATTTCGCAATTATTTTCTGATCTCTTAAAAGTATGGCTATATTATACTCAAATGGAAGGAATTTCAGAGTAGATCACAATTATGGCATTGTTTTATTTTCTGATTTGCGCCTCTGAAAATTCAAAATGGCTGACTAGAGCAGAAATTCGCCATTACTTAGAGTTATCTTGAAAGTATGGTCACATGATACTACAATGATTTAAAATATTTATTGAAGGTAAGAGTAGATGGTAAATATTACATTGTGACTGTACAGATTGATGATTTATATAGTGTTCGTTGGGATTTGCTACTCCGTGGAGTTGCCATTTTCTCGTTTTTATATTGGTAAACTAATTTTTTAATGAAGGGGTTACTATGATTGTATAAGATTACAAAGTGATTAGGAATACAGGCTCAAGAGTACATGTATCTATGATTGCAGGTCCCATGCTGCTACGCTACTACTGTGGTTATGTTCTAATGCTGGCCATTAATGGAATATCAGAATGCTTTGTGTTTGCAACCATGAGCAAGGTGCAAGTTGATAAGTAAGGGAGGTTTATAATATGGCAGATTTTAAAATGAAACGCATACTGATCATAACCTTAATGAAAACACAGAATGAAATCTGCGCTAAGGATGCATGACCTTTATTGATTAAAACTGTGACTTACATGGTCATCGGATTTTTTTGTTTTCAAATATGTTTTACATGTTTTCATTATTAAAGTATCAAAGTGGAGGAAGTAGTCCCACAATATGAAATAATATAAAAGTTCAAAGAAATATAAAAACAAAACACTCCGACTGTCAAATAGAAACATTCTTCATTTTTTATTCCCCATTTTTAGAAATTAATAGACCTTTTCAATAAATCTTGCCACCTTTTGGTAGATCAAGGAAGTTATGATATATAAGCTAGATGTAGGTATCTGTCCAAGCAGAATAGGCTTAACTTATTGCTAATTTGTAAAAGGTACAACCAATGACATCATCAATCTAGTCGATATATCATAGCTTCCTTGATTATCAAAAGATAGCAGGGTTGATTGGAGAGGTCTATTGTAAGCAGTCATCATGTGAGCCCATTGAATTGTGCCATTGATATTTAAATCAAATATTTACTTACAGGTATAACCACAAAATGCTGTTATTCTCGTTGGTTTTCCTGACATCATCGTGGTATTTGACATCCCTGTTGGGTAGCGTGGGTTTTATACTTGCCAACTGCTGTAACATGGGAGCTAGGATCTGCCATAGGTTAGTTTACCCATTTGGTTACAGTAAAACCTGTATACAGTGAACACCTATGGATCCACAAAAATGTGTTCATTGTAGGTAGGTATGGCAGGTTTAACTGTAATCAAAAATTCAACGATTTTCACACAAAACTCCTATATTGATACTTTCATATAGCATCTAAATGCTCTGGATATAACAATACAATCATCAATGTTTACACTAGTCTAGGGTGCATTGTTGAAAGATACATGTAATATTAGAAATTGCAGTAATAATGCAACCTGGTATTGTGCCCAATTGGGAATTTATAAAGTTACCTTTCATTCAATTGAAACCAATGTGACAACTGTATTATATACAGTGAAACCTGTAAAGTGGAACACCTTTAGAAATGGAACACCTCTGTTAGTAGAAATTTTTTTCACTTAAACATTGTTCAACAGGTTTTATTTATTTATGTACAAAAAATACTTCTAAATTCCAACAGCTGCACAGTTGTAAACATATTTACAAATTCTTTATCTATTTCAGTGTTTTTTACATCTGGAGATTTTACAAAGACAGTAGTTTCCGTCCATTGCATGGTCTTCTCCCTAGCACCACAGTGATGGTGGCATACATTATAGCTTTCATATCTACAGTTATATCAGAAGTAAGTGAGTCAAAAGGAAATGTAAGGGCTTCTCCCATTTCCTGGTATTTTGGCATAAATATTGAGCCTATGGAATCATCATTGTGAAATAAAAATGAAAAAATTGAAACAATGGTCATCTACATATTATGGGAGATCTCTATATAACTCCATTAATCCTGGCTCCCACTTTGCCTTGTATCAGAGAAATCAGCTTTTTGACCACCTGAGCCTATATAATTGTTGCCATTTTCTGTCTGTTTAGTTTAATTCTTAGAACTCTCATGAAATTATTTTTAGAAAATCATAATTTGTATTTTGTAAAATCATTCAAAAATAGCTAAACTGCTTTTGTATTATATCTTTCAATCTGTACATTTTTCATTTCAGAAATATCTCTGCTGCCAGCATAGTGTCTTGTCCAAGTTGCTACATATCTGTATAGGGGCCACCTCTCTACTAGTCATACTCGCCTTGATATATGCCACAGAGAAAAAACTCTTAGCATTTATAAAAGAACAATATCATAATATGTATTCCAAGAAAAAGAAAGAATAAATTTTATTGTGGATTATATCTCATTGAATGTTATGATTTCAATAGAATATTCAATGGAGTAAGTTTAAGCAATGCCATATTCATGTTTTGCCCTAAAATCTAGACAAACGTGTTCATTATTCACTTAATCCTCTACTTGTCTAATTAGATATATTGTTTAATTGCTCTACCCATGGGACAAAAATCTTGCCAAAATCATTTTTGGTATGACAGAAATAGTTAATAGCTGCTGCTGGAATGATGAAAACAGGCCTGTAGCCAGCTTTCATGAGATGTGGAAGAGGGGCTCAGTTTTTAAATGGATCGTTATTTTAAAGGGAGTGCTAAAATTTCCAGAAACCGCTCACACATTTCCAATTATAACACAGTTATTAGCATGTGTATCGTTTTAATAACATTTTGCATGTTTGTTGAACCATTGGCTCTCTTGAAAGCACATGCTTGAATTTAACTACAACATTGTTAACATTGCATTAGTAATAACCATTTGATTTTAATGTCACCATGACCACAATGTTGACATATTATGGTCTTCAGTTTTTGTGACGCCGTTTGCTTCTGGGATTTCGGCGTTCGGCCTCTGTAACATATGATAGATGGCAACATTTTGCATGTTAAATTCTTTTGTCGTTTTTTTTCTCAGAACAAGTTAATTCTCAGATTGCACTTTTATTCTGCATGTAACTTTTCTCTGGTGACATCTATGTTTAGCAAAAGCACAAAATGCAAAACTTATGAATTGAAATTGTAAAAACAAGCATATACAATATATGTACTTTATCTGGATATATATGTTTCCTTTTCCCCAATGTGGAATAGTTGAATCAATTTAGATTTAAGGGGCTAGAAGGGATAGAATTAGAAACAAGTTAAGAAAACTGCCAGGATTAAACAATACTTTTTGCTCTCATTCCCTATCATGCTTTTCAACATTTCACACCGTCCCTCGTAATTTCATTCCATCATCGCTTTGGTTTGTTTGTAGCGAGTTACCTTATTAGTTTCTGCCCTATCAATATCAGTAACAAGGCAACATGCAAAATGTCACCAACTGTCATTTGTTACAGATCCCGAACACCATCCACAAAGAAGTTGGAGACCATAATTATGTCACCTCTTCTGGTGCTGGCACTTACTTCCCCATTAATCTCCCATGAAAGGCCATGGCAACACTTTTGCGGTAATTAAACCTATATGTTTATTTGTCCCATTTAGAGGATAGCAATTCCTACTGGCCTCATGGTAAGGATTGGACTAAACGAAACGTTATCAAACAATAATCCCGGGAATTGGTCAAATATATCATCACAGTAATTGTCACCTGCAAGGGACATGATGAAAATAAATAGAGCCAATATTGTATTTGTTCTTGGGGTTGAAAAGGAATTATGAATTAAAATCTCGTCAAGACACTGCAGTGTTGAGGAAAGCCATCCTTGGTCCAAGGGTATTTCACTTCTTTCCACATTTTTCTGAATTTAAGCATAAATGAAGTCCTTTGAAGAAGGATGGGGGAAAGCCTGAACATAGTAGTTGATGTATTTAGTAAATGCAAAATGTGTTGGAATAAAGCGGCCATTCATTTTAATTCTATCAATCGTTCTCAGATTATGACAATTTTTAGAAAAAACTGTCCTGTGAACATTGTGATAATCTCTGTTCCATAGCAGATGTCCAGAAGGACGGAGATTGAGAAGACATCGGATTCACCACGATGTTGCCAATTTTTATATTTGCTTAAGAAAACGTGCAAAACTAGAATTTGATATTCAACTACAAGAAAAATAAAATATTTCATTTAGCACAGATTCATATTTTCTATTATTCATTTTAAATAGAAAGGTTTACCACAATGAAAAGTTCAGATCGAGTTACAGTCTGTGGCCTTTACATAGTTCCACATATACTCTATCAATTAAACTAACTCCCGCCTCTAAAAGTCTTTTGATACTTTTTATATGGTTATAGAAATGCAGGAACATGACTACATGGTACTTACATTCTGAACTCGTTATTTGCTAAGGGACTGTATTATCAAGGAACTCCTTGTAAATTGAAGCGCATTTAAGTCTATTAACTTCAATATTTGAATTGCTATTTACACATTAAAATTCAAGCCATTTCTTTTGTGGGGACCTCTGAGAAAAAATGTATCAACTAATGTAGAAGTCTTTCTTTGTCGCAAGTCTGAAATACAGTTAAAAGAAGGGCATGATAAGGTGAAACGATGAATTCAAGTTCTATATTTAACACTACAGTTAGTATATCGAGAAAATCTTCAGTTCTCCGAAAAAACTAATTTTTCTAATTTAGTGTATACTTATTTTTTGTGTATACAAATAATATTGCTTCTCTGTCAAACCTTAACATACTGCTAGACATACTAACATTTATTGTGTTTGCGATTAAACAAAGTATAATATATATCTCACTCACTATTCACTATTTTTGCATTCTTCTCTTACAAACGTATTGGACGCATGTCTTGTTTGGCGTTGCATTGATGGTCTGGTGGTTCATAGGGTTGCCCAAAATAACTTGAACAAGGCATTAACATGTAAAATGTCACCACCTGGATTTTGTTACAGACGCCGAACGCCGAACGCCGAACATTAACCGCCAAACGCCGAACACCCTCCACATCACTTCAGGTGACATATCATTCACCGAAACGAATGGTGTTTCTTAAGAAGTGGGCCAAAACACTTTAATTGCATAATAGTCGTCTACATTATGCGTACGCATCGTACACAGATGAGTAACTTAACTCTGTGCACAACGCCTACGCAACACATGACGATTAACTTCCCTGTCCGTATGACGATGCTGAAAATAAGTAATAACAAGTCATTTCTATGCATTTCCTGCATGTACCATATGGGTCGACATAACCCCCTCCACCCCTATAGAATTGTGAACACTGATTTACTCGTAGAATGTAATGTGGGTATTTGTTAACTAAACCTCCAAAGAAAGAGTTTTGCATGTTGAGCTAACTAATTCACCAAAGAACATGTTTATTACTTTACCAAATCAACCTGAAATACATTTCTCTTGCATCTTATTAACTTTAGAATCGCCATTTTATAAAACTTTAAAATCGACTGATCCATATTCCACAAATGGGATCAGTATTGCCAAACCGATAAATGCATGTTTTAAAAATCTAGCTGACTGCCATCAGGGGAAAGCATATAATCTACAAGACATTTGAAACACAGAAACACCATGTGAATAACATCGATCAATAAAACAACTATTTTATTCAAGTCTATTTAAACAGAATTTTGATTTTTTGTACGCAGATATATTACAATCTGCCAAGAGAGCAACGCACAGTCGTTCAAGTAAAATTCTCACCGTTAAAGTAAGTTAATTCTTAAGTTAATTAGTTTGCATACGTGATACATTTTGCATTCAGACAGTACTTGCACGCGTCCTTTCCAAAATTGATTTTGATATTTAATGTTTAAAAAAAGAAGCTAGTTAAAATAAACTAAAATGAGAGTTATAATACCTAGAAAATTTCTAAAGCTTTACCTGATGTGTCCTTATCCCATTCATCTCTACGTGCGTCTGAGCTGCAAATATGACGCTGTCAGCTGTGTCTGCGACCTACCCTACCACCACCCTACCCGTTCTGACTCATTACAATACTTATTTGTAATACCCCTTCAAATATGAACGTTAGTTCATTTTATGAACTGTGAGGTTACAACTTTGAAAGCCTATTGTTTTGTCTTTACAATATGTCAGTCCTAATTCTACTTGCACTTTTTTCCGTTCACTTTTGAAAGCTTTTATTTTCTTGTTGGCGTTGTTTGTATGGCCCTGTAGGGTATTTATTTCTGTGAATGGGTAAAATATAAGTGTTACAATAAATAAAGTAGATTCAAAATGTATGGTGAAATGCAACACGTGGTATCTTGACATAAAATACCCTCATCGAAGATTTGCCTTGATTGGTTGTTGCTTTGAATGGTATGTTAATTTGGAATTGTTGGCACAATTTTCATATAAAAATTAAATCAAAACCAAATATAAATCAAACAAAAATCAGTCCCTGAAATCTTTGAAATCTTGTAATTTCTAAAACTCTAAATATGTATGCTCAAGTGCCAAAAGGAAAGGACCACAAATTGTTACAGAACACAAGAAAAAGAAATCTAATTTACTTTTATATTTCAAGTCTGTAAAGCGTGAACCCCTTGTCATCTTTTAAGACTGGAAAGGGATTATCCCTTGTCATCTTTTATGACAGGAAAGTGTGAATCTCTTGTCATCTTTTAAGACTGGAAAGTGTGAATCCCTTGTCATCTTTTAAGTCTGGAAAGTGTGAATCCCTTGTCACATTTTAAGACCACAAAGGGTGAATCCCTTGTCATATTTTAAGACTAGAACGTGTGAATCCATTGTCATCTTTTAAGACTGGAAGGGGTGAATCCCTTGTCATCTTTTAAGTCTGGAAAGTGTGAATCCCTTGTCATATTTTAAGACCACAAAGGCTGAATCCCTTGTCATATTTTAAGACTGGAAAGGGTGAATCCCTTGTCATATTTTAAGACTAGAACGAGTGAATCCATTGCCATCTTTTAAGACTGGAAAGGGTGAATCCCTTGTCATCTTTTAAGACCGGGAAGTGTGAACCGCTTGTCATCTTTTCAGACTGAAAATGGTGAATCCCTTGTCATATTTTGAAGTCTGGAAGGTGTGAATCTCTTGTCATCTTTTAAGACTGGAAAGGGTGAGTCCCTTGTCATATTATAAGACAGGAAAGTGTGAACCCCTTGTCATCTTTTAAGACGGGAAAGGGATAATCCCTTGTATCTCCTAAGACTGGAAAGGGTGATTCCCTTGTCATTTTTAAGTCTGGAAAGTGTGAATCCCTTGTCATATTTAAAGACTGGAAAGGATGACAACTTTATCATATTGGAACTGAAAAGGGTGCATCCGTTGTCGTATTTTAAGACTGGAAATGGTGAATCCCTTGTCATATTTTAAGACCGGAAAGGGTGAATCCCTTGTCATCTTTTAAGACTGGAAAGTGTGAATCCCTTGTCATCTTTTAAGACTAGAAAGTGTGAATCCATTATCATCTTTTAAGACTGAAAAGTGTGACACCCTTGTCATATTGTAAGACTGAAAAGGATGACAACTTTATCATATTGTAACTGAAAAGGGTGCATCCGTTGTCGTATTTTAAGATCGGAAAGGGTGAATCCCTTGTCTTTTTTAAGTCTTAGATGTGTGAATCCCTTGTCATCTTTTAAGACTGAAAAGGGTGAATCCCTTGTCATATTTTAAGACCGGAAAGTGTGAACCCCTTGGCATCTTTTAAGATTGGGAAGTGTGAACCCCTTGTCATATTTTAAGACTGGAAATGGTGAATCGCTTGTCATCTTTTAAGACTGTAAAGGGTGAATCCCTTGTCATTTTTTAAGTCTTGAAAGTGTGAATCCCTTGTCATATGAATCCCTTGTCATATTTTAAGATTGGGAACGTGTGAACCCCTTGTCATCTTTTAAGACTGTAAAGGGTGAATCCCTTGTCATTTTTTAAGTCTTGAAAGTGTGAATCCCTTGTCATATGAATCCCCGTTGTCATATTTTAAGATTGGGAACGTGTGAACCCCTTGTCATCTTTTAAGACTGGAAAGGGTGCATCCATTGTCATTTTTTAAGAGTGGAAAGGGGCGCATCCCTTGTCATATTCTAAGCCTGAAAAGTGTGAACCCCTCGTCATCTCATAAATTAGAAAGTGTGAAGCTTCTTTCATCTCTTTGAAATTGTTAACCCACTATCATCTCTTGCGGATCATCTAAAATTGTGAACCAATCGTCATCTCTTACATCTGTGAACCGACGATGACTATATTCCTCAATCTTTTATACTTTGTAACATTTGTCTTCTACCCTGCGCACAGAGTCTAGTTTTAATTACTGAAGACGAAGCGCTCTACTGAGAGGCGAAGTTGGATGAAAGGGTATTTGTCTTCTGTTAAATACGTCGTGTACGATTTGAAAATATTGGGTTTAATCCAAATAGATTGTTTTAGACATTTCTTGAAAAAAGTTGACCTTCCCTTACAAATCTTACCAAGATATGACAAATTTCAAAATAAAGCAATAATATCTTAGTGGAAAAGAATTGTTTTATCATTTATTAGACATTCCATTACCACAGAGACATATGTTTTATCATGGGCTCTACCACGTCTCTGATCACCATTATGTGAACTCAGATTCTAATTAGATATTTCTATGAACTACTTTTCCGAGCTTCGGAGTTAATTTTTCTCTTATGTTTCAACTAATCCTAGTTTTTCAACACAAAATATTGGTGTAAAGCATTGCTAATTAATACCAGTAGTGCGTGTGACAACCAACATTTCATTAAAATTAGTAATTTCGCAATTTATCGATCAAAAAGTCCTTTAAAACAGTTTTGAAATCAAAAATGTTTACATTTTTACATCTTGATAACATTGGGTAAGACTACGATCTATTGTCAAAATGGTTTTAACTTTACACGTGGCCTTTATGACTGTGAACCATTTTGCATTCATAATGTTGCCATCGTGTTATAGACCTGCCATCTATTTTTACTATGTATGATACAAAGTATTTCACAATAATGTGCAAGCAACTAGTGACATCTTTTGATTGTGAGAACACTTTTCCGCACATTTATATTTGTAATGTTCGTGCCAATTGTTTTGTTTCACTCTGTAGCTACACCAAGTGAGCCAATCAGTTCCGAGTATACCTGCCAAAACTTAACTCGTTTCAACCAATCAGGACCAGTCTCTTTAAGCTAGTGTAAAGATGACCCTTAGTAAAGTATCTATTACAGTTTTGATGTGTTAGAATAAGCATTATAAAGCATACAAGGAAATTTGAAGAAGGATTTATAAATGAAATCAAGAATATTAATTGGGAATTTTACCAAACAGAAATAGAAGTTAGTTGTTATCGTAAACAGTCGATCGGAGAATACGTCAGCAAGTTAAAAGGAATCATTCTAAAAACTTAATTAAAATTAAACTTTGATAAGAAAAGTAATATCTATTGTGAAATCGTCAGAAAATTTGAACAGGTTGCTCTCAGTTTCATTATTTTGGAATACTTTAATAAACAAAATGTAGTTTGTAATTGTGAAAATCTGGATTAAAAATTTAAAGTCATGTGAGCGTGGAGAAATTAAGAACAATGACATTGAAAAGACAATGACAAGACGTCGGAATTTTTTATATCTGGAACCCGAAGGATAAAAAAATAAAATGGAGAAATTATTAAAATTGGCTATATTTATATCAGCCCTATACGAAGTACATGCAAACTGGATGTGAGTAACATACCTTACAAAATCGTCAGAATAACATAGGTTTCTAATTGGGTGTACTAAGCCTTTCTGTGATTGCATAAACTTGTTATTTTTGCATGTAGATAATAATAATATGGTGTTATTAAAGTGTTATAAGCTATTCTGGCATGGTCATCTCTGCCCTGGATCATTCTGGCCCACCGAGCGTATTATAAACCCAAAGCTACCATGATAAACCCTGTCGACTCCTTCCTTTTTAAGTTTTTTGTTGATTATTAAATCAGAACATTTTGCGTTGCGAGGCAGAAAAATGTGATGATGTTTATTTCTATCGTTTTAATGGTTTATAGGGATTGCTTTGATACCATTTTACTTTCAATTTCATGAGATCAATTTCATTTTCAAGATTTATTTGAGTAAGATGTGGGAATAACTAATAATTGGAGATGAAACTTCGAATTAAATTCTTAAAATTTCTTTTCTTACAAACCCAACTAATGTACTGAGATAAACTATTTGCATTTGTTTCAAGCTGAACTTTTTGGAGAGCACGGTAACCAATACCTGTAAGTGATATTAGCGTCTGTAGCAGTATTAATTGACCGAAACTCCGAAATTGACAGGATCAAAACCGCAAATATAATTAAAATAGGGTTCCATTTCAAGGGTAGATGTGTACTTTTTGAAAAATCACGATTTAAAACCGAGCCATAAAACGCACACCGTTTAACCTCGTTAAAATGATACCTTAGCTTTAAAATGATGTTACATTTGGGTTAAAAAGTGTTTTGATACTTGAGATCCATGGGATATTGACGAAAATCATATTCATAATTTAATTCATGCAGTTTATAGTAAAGGATGGCTCGTTGTAAGGAAAGGGTTAGACATTCAATATAATCGCCTCTTGAGACGAAGTGAAATAGGTTTCCTGGAGATTTCGAGTAAAACACATGTCCGGTTGTACTATTACAACATGTTGTAACTCTTAATGACCCAACGTGACGTATAAGCTGAGTTATGTCATTTAAAAATGATAATGCACCCGGTACAAGATTCCCCGTGAAGAGTTGTCAATTTCCCGGGGTTTTCCGGGTTTGCTCCCCGAGGGGTGCTCAATACCCCACATAGGTTGTGATCATATGTCACGCTTAAGTGGACCCCCGGGGAAATTACAAATTGTGCTTTTTGCCAAAATACTTCCAACTTGACATTTCATACTCGAACCCTCCAGAAAAAAGAAAAAAGGTAAAACAAACAAAATCTCGTATCTCTGTCATTATGTAATTATTGTATTCAGTGCGGGTAATCTGATTTGTAATTATAGGCGCAAAGATAACGGCGTTGTAGATTATAACGAATATAGGCTCCAGGACACTAACATTATCTGAAAATGCTTTGGTATCTGGGGTATGACAGTAATATCATGAGATAAACATGTATCTATTATCAATATTTCTAGCCTCCAACTAGTTAAAACTCGAAATTTTGTTTTCAAATTTTTGACATTTGAATTTACCATGCGGTGATTGCCGGAGAGATTTTTAAAACGATTACTCGTGTAAGATACTTGTCGTGTGAATAATGTCACGAAATCAAAAGTCCAAGATAAGAAATACGAATCCCAGTAATTGGGTTTACGTCTGTATGCACGGATCTAAGGTCAGTGTCGTTTCAGGTCAAATAGCGTCATTTTAAAGAAAGGTCAATGGCAAAACAAGGTCAAAGTTTCTCGATCTGTTTAATTGCCTCAAATCGAACTGAAATAACTAAACATGGTTCATCGGGAAATACAAACCATACCAAAAAAATGTATGACATCATGTTTCTTGATTACAGGTACTTAGGGCTCTCATCAGTCGGGGTAGTTCCGGTGCCCGATAGTTGTGGAAGGATCCCCGGCCTGGTCCAGCCCCAATTGGAAGTCTGCCAGAACAACCCAGAGGCCTTGCCATGTGTCAGTGAGGGTGCTAGGCGAGGCATCATCGAGTGTAAGAATCAGTTCAAGTTTGAACGATGGAACTGCACTACAAATTCGAGAAATTCTTCTGTATTTGGACCTGTCTTGCACCAAGGTGAGTTGTCTGCGTAAACAGTAAAGTAGGCAAAATGGGAATTATTCTCCCCATGGTCATCCTTTTTTGTCATCTGTCTGGGGATGAAGAATAAACTTTGAAATAACAATATCACAGCCTGATTAGCGGTGCTATATTTAGCCATAACTCCACTATGTATTCACCCCAAGCAGAATGGTGAGAATGGAGATTTACAAAATGTGTGTCTTGAAACGTTCATTGAATTCTTAATGGATATATTTTCAGGAAAGCCCCCCCCCCTCCATCTAAGAGAATAATTCATTTACACAAGGCCCATATGTATGCCCATATTCTCAAACCATAATATTTGAGGTGCTCTCTTAAATATGCCCACTGGGGTGTATCATTGAGAAAAACTTGCGAGGATCAATAGAGTTATCAATTTCAATATTCATAACTGTAATATTATGTTTGCCTTTATTTTTCTGGAGCAATGGTTTCACTTTACTTTAATGCGTTCATTTGAAATAATGTCTCATGAAATAAAACTATATCCAATGAGAAAAAGCCTGTGATCATCCTGGACATCAAGAGAATATAAGTGACTTAAATTAATTTACGCTTGGCTGACAGTAGCCTTTGTTCCCATGAGGTCGCTGGACAAAAGACATCGGAATATGTAAAATTATGAAGAAGGCAAATGATGGAAATAACTTGAGGTTGTGCGTGTGATTTGCTTTTTAAATAATTTGACGTCATTTATTCAGTGTGTCACCGTGGTTTAAAAAACTGAATAGATACCAGGATTTGCCTGTATTTCCACTTTCCTAATTGATTTAATTTAATTTGAAAAATGTTGTGAGTGCATATATTGGGTCAGGGAAATTTAAAGGAGGAATAGATTCTATTTTGTATACCAATTTGTGTTTTATGGAGATTGTCTCAATTAAGGAGCAATTTACCAAACATTTTGTGGCCCCTTTGCAACACTTGGTCTATCACTGCAATAGAGTTTATCTTTAGCAATCTTTTCTCAAATTTTTCAAAGTCATAAATGTGGTTCCAATAACTAAGTCTTGTCATAAAAACGAAAACTACTGAGTACTACGAAGTTAATGAACCAAGCGAAAACCGGTCGTCTATATCACAAGTCACATGCATTTTTTAAAATTTTTCCACACTGCAAGTGACGTTGGCGACAGTATGGCAAGGGGTTGGCCTCCGTGGGTTAACCACGGTAGAGATCCAACTGCCGAACGCGTAGAAAACTGAGCACAATCATTCAGTAGGTATGTCCATCTTCGACCCTTGTGAATCAAGATGCGGTATGTCCATGGGCGTTGATCTTTCAGGGTTTTGTTGTTTAATTCCCGCTCGGAACGATATTCTTAATTATGAATCCTCAATTCTCGGATGGTCACTTTGCTGTCCATTTATAGACATTGATCAGTCATTAATGTCCAAGAATCGATGGATTTAATTAATATTTGAATTTAACTGAGAGTAATAAATTCTTATCTCCGAGTACCAATGTCTGTTTGGGAATATGGCAATATTTGGAGATAAAAACAAACCGTTTTGATGATTACTTGGATTTCCTCTCTGAGAAGGGGGAACAGCCTGAAACATCTAGATTCTCAATCATTTAGGGACGATATTCGTCTCCATATATCCTGTACAGAAATAGTTTCATTTTTTCAATGTTAGTTTGTTCAAGGATTCCAGGACTCGGTGGCGTAGCATGAAAGGGTAAAATTGTTGATAAGTCCCAAGTGTACTAAATGTGTAATTGGACAGTCTTTATCACCGGTCATTTGATGTTGAGAATTAAGTAAATACCACTTTGTAACAGATATGTTTGGATTTGAAAATTTTAATTAATGATTAAGGTTTATATCAATTCATGGCTCAAATCGATATCGCGGCCGACTAAGAATTTCTTGCAATTCACATTTCATTGTAATTTATCAGAAATGCGGTTTTGGCACTAGCTTCGTATTATATCATGTCGGACATTTTTGTGAAAATCAAATATCAACAACCCCTACACGAGACGGTGTTTCCAATATGTACGTCCCACGGCGTAAGTACCCTCGGAACACACATATAGCCGTTGTGTTTTTATTCAACACTGCTGGGTCTTGTTATAATTTCTCTATTTCGTTTAGAGCATTTTGTGAAAGCATAATATTTGGCAATTGGGTACTTTTCCTCCTAATTTGCTTTTCATCACCCCAGCGTGTGTTCATTACACGCGCCAACACCTTAAACATGTCACCTCCTGTTTTCAAATGTCTCTCTAATTTCTGTGTAATACATAATTGAAAATCATTATTTTGATTGTTAAATATGTGTTTTACTCAGTTTGTATACATTTCTACCTGTAATTCATTGGCAGATTGACCGGCAAGATGCGGCATTCATTAACGTATCCTGCAGACGATAGCAACGTGTTATTGATGGGGCGGTTGCTATGGAAACAGGATGAAGATCCTAATTTAAGTTGAGAGACGCATATTTGATAGATAGGTGCTGAAACATTATGAAACAATACGGCTATTAAACAGTGATTAGGCATGTAGTAGTCGGGAGAAGAGCTAAGAGCTGTAAACATACTCCATGTTTCCAGGTTAAGATATCATCGACTTTTCCATATATCACCTGCCTGGCAAGTGCATATGTAATACCTAAAATATGGGGAAACAAATTGTTCCCGCTAACGATATCTGTCTGAAATAATCCATAGTTTCTATTACGTGCCATTTACAAATCTAAAAACATTTATTCAGAAAATGTTATTAATGCATATTCATATCATATTAGTCATATGAGATAAAAAAAAGTCTTAAAATCGTGAAATCAATTACCCAAATGCGAGTAGGTAGTTACCAGTTTCACCACCAGGTGGCTGATTCGGGTCAATTAACATGGCAGGTATATAAGAAAGTTCCCTTAAACTTGAATATTATCAATTTAAGTGGCTTAATTTTAATATAACCCTTATGTGTCTGATACTTATACTAATGAAAATATGTCCAGTAAAGCAAAATATTATCTGTCCACTAAAAGAAAAGATATTTCATTTTTGTGATTTTATAGCATGGGGTCTATGGGGAATCTCCCCGAGCTAGAAGTCACATTTTCAAAGAAAATTAATTTTTCAAAGTTGATAAACACTTTTTAAAACCACATTTCTAGATGTAATTTTACATGTAGATTTTAAATATGATATTACTTTGACTGATTTTTGAATTTTTAATGACGTAAATCAAGATTATTTCTACTCGCATCTGGGTTATTGACTGAAAGTTTAAGACTACCAAAATACTAGTATGTTTTCTGGCAAATGACTGCGCAAATTGCATAACAAGCATTTTTAAAAGCCACGTGGATGGTACACAACAGAATGGCAGTGATGCTCTTTGGTTTGATCTAATAGTATTATTGGTTTCAAAGGTTCGATGGCATCCTCTTCTTTATTATGACTGCTTCCCTGTTTCACCAACTGTAATATCAAGCATTGAGAAAACATTGAGAATAAGCGCTGGTCTAACATTTCCTGTACCTAAAGCGTTAAAAAGTTGAGGTTTAAAAATGAAAGTATAGTATTTCTAAGTCACCCAAGTGGATCAAACTTCAGTTCTGCACCGGTGTTCCATCAACATCGATCAGTAACAATCAGACATTGAATGATGCACTGGCTCTACTAATATGACATGTGTTTTGGTCCCGATTTGACTTGGCCTTTGATCGTATAAAGGAACCATCGAGACTAACAAATTAGGCGTTCTCCTAACCAACCCAAATCGCTCGTTTTCATTTAAAGAAAATCTACTATAAATCAACATTTCAATGACTTTTGTCAGTTAATTATTGTTGAATAGTGTAACTGTATGCGTTTCTATATGATATGATACCTCAACATGAAAAGGGATTCGTGTTTGTGAGAATCAGAGGAACCTGTCATGCAACCTAGTAAGCATCCTAGTTTCAGATTAGACGTTTTATTTGTTTTCATTAAAATCATGAACATTCATCTGTTTTAAGTTCAGGTGGATACACAAAGTCAAGTCCTGTTTTTGTGGTTCATAAAAAGTACCAGTCGAACCGTAATACAGAATAATCAATCTAGATAGATACAGGGTGTACCAAAAACAGTTCTGTTTATATGATTGTCATTCTACATCAATCTTGCGAATTTCTCAGTTACATCATGGATTTCTTATTGCTAATTCTTACATGGGGTCACGAATAACTCGTACTCACTCGCATCTACTCGTACTCATGAGATAATATTGGCAAACAGGTGTGGTAATAAACGTTCTTCCTGTATGTTGTATATGTCAAAGTGCGTTGATGTCTCCTGGGCATATTGACCACTTCGCGATAAATATTGTAACTGATTACGGTTGTGTAATTTCATACGATAAAAATGAATCAATCCATATTTACCATTATTAATTTAATAACTCAGTGACCCTCTCAGCACGTGGGAAAGTACACAATCATGAGGTATATCCTTCGGGAGACAACGGGAAAAATTCATGGACCTATCCTCACAATTTACTACAAAAAACCGAACAAACAAAATAATCGTCCTACACCGAATAAATTCAACGAATTCCACTTTTATTTTAGTTATGATGAGGCTTTCTATTATTCAGAAATTCTGTTTTGAATTATCATCTTATTTTCATCACCTTTCGTCTTCAGAGCCACAAATATGCGATCACTTAGAGTTCAGATAAATTCTTAATGATGAGAGTCTTCTGTTTGTTTCTACACAATGATATGGAATCGCTAGATCAATGGTTTGATAGCATATTATTCATTGAAAGATGGAGAATTTTGGACCATATAAGATATCACTAAACATGTTATACAGTGTCGACTCCATATGTTGGTATCTACACAATATCATGTATCTCTGTAGAAGTCATTCTAGATTCTAAACATTTGTTGCCAGCGTTCTTCTCAACCTAATTAATAGTATCCTATTTGTTACCTATACGCTGATATCAATGTAGACTTCACAAGTCATGGCATTGTTATGTAAACTGAAATAATGAAATTATTACTTTGAACATATCGTTGGATGTGGTAACATTACAATATTTCAAGTGTTAACACCTTGTTCTACAAGTACTTTAACTCAAGTACCTACCAACTACCCGGTTGTACCCCTGACAACACTATTGTCTGCATTTCTATATTGAAATATACGAAAATACCGAAGTTTAGTCCATGGCAAAACCTAGGGCAAACACTGTGTTGATGTTGACGCCATGGTTATGACCCGAACGCTTTGACCACATGATTGTAGAAGCCAATGTCCATCATCAGCCTTGTTTGGAAGAACTGGGGCGAGTGACGGGAAGTGAAATGCAGGCAACAATTCTTGAGAAGGTTATGTGACAAGTACCCTTCAAGTGGATTGTTCAAAGTTACTCATGTGATTGTTAACATACGGCTTTGGTTTTCGAACTTCAATAACTTCACTGTATTTCTTTATTCAATGGATTATCCGCAAAAAGTATTTCCCAGATATTCAGTCAGTCTAAATTAATTTATAAAAAAAAGTGTAACGTTTGGCAAAATATCCAGAATCCAACGCCAATGACCCAAAACTGTCAATCATCTTCACAGTTTTAAATTTTATATTCAATGTTTTTATTGCCCCCTGACAAAATTCACAATATTTTTCAGAGATCCGCTTTTTAAGAATGGAATTACATGTTATCTGTTATTTTCATTGTTCTTCATAATAGTAAACAAAAACGTCCAGTTCGAGTTTTTCATTTTGCTAGCAATAGTTGCATCATCTTATGATCGAATGATATCAAATGTACATTTGGATCGATCGTTTTCCATCTTTGTCCAAATCCGTTAAATTATAAATGTTAGTCCTCCATCACCGAACTATATGCCGTTTTTAACTGTCAAGCCTGTCACTATTTGACGATTTGATGGTCACTTTCACTGACCAATGTCATGTGTAATTTAAAATTATTCATAGACAATTTAAAATTTAATTTTGTCCAGATGATATCTATAATTTAAAATTATGATCTTTTTGGAATCGAATTTGGTTTTGTTGTAACGTGCTCTTTTTCGAAAAAGATGACAGATCCTTGTGAGATTGACAATTGAATTGTTTGTTAATTCACTCAAATATGATCTATCACATTGGATCTCATCATATTCAACTGAAGCTGTCATTGCGTTGGATGAGGCCATGGTGAGACCCTCTTCAGTTTCAATCATCTCGCCATGAATTGGCTTATTCGTCTCACAAATGATACTCACTGTGTTAACATTGCCAAAACTTCACCGCAAATACTTAAAGATAAACTGAATGAACAACCAACATGGATTTCAAATGGAAGTTTAATTTATTTCCTCTTCTCTGTCCCATATTCTCAGTCAACGTTGGTCGACTATACCTCTTAATTTAAAATATGTACATTATTGAAATCGGACAAATCTTAGTTCAGTGTAGACTCGAGCACTTCAAAGAATTCCGCTCAGAAGATAAATGTATTCATAAAAGGAAGAATGGAGAGGTTTAATTTATTAAAGACTAATTTATTTTTTATTAATGTGTCGTCTGTGAGATTTACACTTTCAAACCTCTGAGAGGCTTGATGAACATTGTCTACTATTTGGGCGGGAATGTTTATGTGGTATTGATGACTGCATCCTTGATATCACGATTTTGAAGAAATTCTTTGCAATCCACTACGTGGGACAATTTTTGAGTTTGTTAAATAGTTAAATAGTTTTCTTCAAACAAGGCTTAGTTACTGATTAATATTTGATGTGAAATTGGAGGCCAATCGAATCTTTAACTGCCTCCTACTCAACGCAAAAACAATCAACAAAATACACAAATTCAAGGAAAATTACAACTACGTTAAATCACGTTTCCTTATAACATAAAGCAACAATTAAGTTACTATTACTTAATGTCCTAATCAAATATTTGATATCCTATCCTTTGTTTGTGTCCAGGGCACTACAATGACGTAATTATTTTATCAACGTGGATGTCCGAATACAACAATGCTGGAGCAACAAAAGTAAACATTTAATTTAGAGGCTGGTGAAAAAATCAAAGTCGGTTAAAAGTGATCGGTCGATAGACACAATATTGCAACTAGATGTTAAATGTCTGAAATTCCACTGTCTGAGTCCTAACGCCCATTTGTTCAATAGGAAACGCTCTCCGATCCGAATTCCAATTTTGTTTCTTTTCCACACTATTGACCACTTTGATTTGCCTTTTTTGGTATTACTAAATTAATTAATCAATTCCTAAAAGGGATGTTAGATAAATGTCGACAGAGACTTGATGATGGTAACACAGGAGCAGAAGTATGACAGTCAGCTTTTGCCAAGTGGGGTTCACTTTTTAAAAAATTCCAGGGAGGGGGTTAACTTATCGTGTTCCAAAATGACCAAAATCACTTAAAAGATGTTCAGAATGATGAAAAACTGCATGGTTTTGAGAGAATTTTGGCCGAGGGTGGGGGTGGGGCTATGGGCCTGACAGTTGTACTTCCATTTATTACTGCAAGACAATTTACATTTGAAGTATACTTCGTGCATCAAAATAAAAAAGGTCAACCGGAAATCGTTAACACTGTTGTAACTATTTCTATGCCCATTGATCCAAGAGAATGATGGATTATTTCTGTGTTTCCAGGTACACGTGAGACAGCGTTCATCTACGCCATAACTAGCGCTGGGGTAGTCCACGCAGTCACCCAGTCATGCAGTGCCGGCAACCTGACCGACTGTGCCTGCGACGTCTCCAAAGCTGGCCTTCCTACTCCAGAAGGCTGGACGTGGGGCGGTTGCAGCGACAATATTAAATATGGCATGCAGTTCGGGAAAAAGTTTGTAGATGCCCCTGAAAGATATAGGCGCAATCTGGGTACAACAAGAGAAAGAGTTAGGATCATGATGAACCTTCATAACAATGAGGCTGGAAGAAAGGTAAACATCCAACTACTTAGTCTTCATAAAATTTCTGGTTGCTTGGGCTCGCAGACAGTGTAGGTAGGCCCTATATGTAAGTGTGGGGAGGGGATTAAGTGTGGACTCGATGCCCTAGTCCTACGCGGTTTTAAAGTCGAATTGATAGTTTGTATCATAAGTCCCCTTTCTTATCTGACGCATGTTTGTAACTCATTTTTACATTCAATGCAAAAATTGTTTCATTATTTTATAGATCTATGTGCCGAAAATAAACATTTACGCGTTCCATTGATTGAGGAGGGGTGAAACAAATTACAATCTTGATAGCAAAACTTAGACACGAGCTGTCATAATTTTATTGAATTGGGATATCATTTTGAAAATGTTATGCGGCAGATACTAAATGGAGATAACCAAGTCAAGACGGGTTCGCATGTACGTTCACCTCAAATGTTTTAATACTGAAAATGTGACAAAACTGAGTAAACCAGCGGAAAAAAGATACGGATATTAAAAGTATCAATGTCCGAAAAGGCGTTTCAATCGTGCTAAATTATCTAATACAGTCCTTACTTTGTATTAACTTTTCGAAACTCAAAACGCTGGCGGTAGCAATTTCAAACATATTAATATTTACTTTTGTTATCTATGGATTGTGAGAAGGCAAAAATAAATATGATAAATAAACTATTGTTAATCCAAAATACACCTTTGGCGATCCAAAAATTATGATAGCTATTTATGTAGCACGTTTAGTCGATCCTCACCATTTAGAGGATCTTAGCGTTCATCAAAGCCAATTCGAGTAAATACACAAAAATTCGCACCTTTCCATCCAAACAATCCCGAACAGTTTTTGCTGAAATGTGTATTCTCTATTTTATACAGTATCTATATACAATTGATCAGGCAACACTTTTGACACTGACGCAGATTTGGGAACAGATATGATTGATCAAATGAACTTAGACATAGGTTCATTCAAGATTCTCAAAAATTGTGTCGCATTAACCCTTGCGTCGCCATAGTGAAAAGATTAACCCCTCAATTCTGAATTCTGAAGTATTCTATCCCATTGGAACACTTACCGATCATTCTCCATAGCGTTCAATCAAAACAACACATCCATTTGGAGAATACTGCCGAGTCGAAGGCTTTATTTAGTATTAACCCCTTAATCCCCACACGCAGAAATGCACCTGGATAACGTATGGTACACATATGAAGACATAATGTTGATTTATTATGGATATAAAGAATGCGCTAACAAATAACACAATGACTGGTAAAAATCTATTCTGTCAACAGGGGATCCATCTGAATCCCGTATTCCAAGTTTATCGAGGTCTCCTTTTGGGTGCATACGCCATTGTCAAATATATCATGACATTTTAGGCTCATTTATCATTAGAGTCAATGGAGATATTACCAGACTGTAAATTCAAGTCAGATTCTTCTCAAAAACCAACATTAATCAAACTTTTATATGGACTAATTCAGATTTACATATAGTTGAAATCGTTTTTTATTTCAACCTACACATTTAAGATCCAAAAATAATTTTCTTAAATTTCATTATAAATTCCCTCTTGGTTTGCTTCGTTTTGCTTCTGGTTTTATCGATTTTGAATTTCGGAAAATTCATCCATTAAAACAATATCATTTACAAAATGAGCGTGTATTTTAATTGTTGAGTATAGGATACCCGTGGTCCTACAGAACTGACAGATTCACTTTGGATCAAAAACTGGTAATTAGGAGTTAATGAATTCTACAATTCTACTGTCTTTTTATTCCGAATCATGCGTCTAGACTACAAGACATATCCTAGTTCATTTCTTATCTTTACCCTATCGTTTCCCGGGAGAAGGTGTGAGATCCTGGCCATTTAAAATAATTTAAGCAACACTTCAACATTTTTTGCCAAGAATGAAAAATTGCCCATCAAATTATTCACAGTGACACAATGCGTTGCTTGGCTTACATTGTGCTTAATGGATATTGAGAAAATAACAAAAATATTTTGTATGTCGTTTTTTGAATGTGTCTCGAAAATTTATAGATTTGGTTTGGGTCAACTGGTTTCTAAAAAAGACTTAGTTTGAAATGAGCATGCTGTGAGGTATTAATCTAATTTAAAGTTGGATGATTCAAATTGTATTGCCAGGTTTTTCTTCTTTTTCGTAATTTTTTACCATAATGATACGACAATAAAGTTAACGATTGGTGAATTATAAAAAGTATCCTTCATCTAAAACGTTGCGGCATTATGCTTCCGAGGAGTGTTCAAATATCATTTAATTTTTTATTTCACGTTCTATGTGATTTGATGTTAGTTTTTGAACAACTCTCGAATGACATCGATCCTGTATTTGCGTGTATCAATTACTGACCCCTGATCCCCTAAGAATTGAAGAAACTAGATACGATGCCATGCGTCGAATTCATTTAAGTTACTTATGCAGGTGTGTGAAACTCACTATGAAACCATCCTGACTGTTAAACCGTCGAGTAGAAGTATTAGATTGTGTGTGTGGCCAAAAAATCTCACAACCTCTATCAAAATTCATCAACCGGTAATTTTAATTGAACCCATCTTTCACAGGTATCTGAACATCTTTAGAAATTCACGATCTAAATTATAGGTTGGCAACGTTTTCACTATATTTGACAATTTGATGGAACTATATGATTATATAAATCGGATAAAATTCAATTTACTGTATTCAAGGGTCCATTTAGAGGTGAGATAGAGGCAGGCCCGACATAGTTATTTACTCGCTAAATAAAACAAGAACTAAAAAATATCTTACCCCGTCCATAATTCATCTTGGGTCAATTGTATCTTCCTTTTGAAGATTTGATATATAGCAGTTTAATGTCAATGTGGTTAGAATTGAAACCAGAAACCAACTATCAAATATTATTTTATTTTTTTAAAGTTTTGACTAAGTAATTTTAGTGTAAGAATGAGTCAGTCACTGCTTGTTTTTTAAAAAATCAACAACGGTAGCCAAAATTTCTACCAGAACAACTTCCATGTTGTCTTTATTAACAAAAGTAATTTTTAGGTTGACGTCTTTAATCTAAACATCCTGCTCCCTGATAAGCATGAACCTTTTGAGTACTCGGGAAACGTACATACAACTAAGGTCTACTAATGTAATGATGAGAAAAAATGAGTGAACAATAGTCGGAGTCGTAAAAATTATTGAACTAATGTCAACGAGAAGATATAATAGTAAAAACCCTGAAATAATGTCACCAGTCTAACGTTCATCAAAAAGAAAAACGTAAGAATCCATGATATATTGACACAAATCAAACGCTAGGCAACGAGAAGTAGACTACATAGAAATCCCAAAGAAATTGGTACCAGTTTAATGATGCTCAGCAACAAAAAAATCATAGAAATCATTCCTTCATGCTTTGAAGAACTCTAACGTATTCTAGCATTTGATAAAGAGCATTGGTCTAAAAATGAATATCTGGGGTGAATCCAGTTCGTTCATTCAAATGGGCCAATTATTTTATTTTTCACGCTTCTTGGTACTTTGCGCGAGACTGACACTAGAAAAACACGAGCTTACATCTCTAACTAACAATGCATGTACCTGTCAGTTAAATAATTGAAGATTTGCAGAAGTAAACTGAAGGAAGTATGTCTGTTGATATCAACATCCAGTCGGCCAGTTAGATAATGGTGCACCCAATTAATTGAAATGTTGTTTTGGATAATTCTAAGGAATTTATTCATTTTGAGTCACTACAGGGAAGAATATAATCATGTGGTCTATAGAAAAAGTTAACCTTGACCTAAATTAATAACCGATGGTTGATTTGAAGGTGCCACTACGGATTATCTTATCATAATATATAATCGTCATTGCAAATGTTATCGTCACTGCCAGATCATCATGTATATTTCGTGCCCATTTTGTGATTTTCGTCACTGCCAAAGTCATCTCCATGTCCGGATCCCTCACTGTCAATGTTCTCATCTTTGCCTTGTCTTCATTGTTTGGTATCATGTTGTACTTCACGATCATAATCAGAGTCCTATCGTCCTAAGTGACACGCAATGATATCTCTAGTTAACAAGATTATCACACGTGCTTTATTGGACAGTACAATCTCATAGCACTATCAGGATATTCCAGTCAGCATCTCTAATGAGTTAGGCAAGAACCAATTATGAGTTGTTGGAACCTTGCCCTACTGATACAATCGAGAATGCTTAGTGTTTCAATGTAAAGGAACACTACAGAGGGATTCCTCGTTTGCGTCGTATTCAGTAATACCAAACAAACACGCCCAACAAAGATCCAGTAACTTACCAAACAAACAAGCAAGCAAACAAACAAACAAACAATAAATTCGTAATCATTGTATAATAATGTAACTTTCCATTTTATTTCTCTAATATTTCAATTCACTCGCTGCGCTTAGACCAATAAGTATAGCCTGCCAGTATATTTGAAATTGGACCTGTGACAACTCTTATAACTTGAGGTAGTTCATAATCTCGAGATGGATACACAAATATTGAGTGAAAAATCCTCTGGAGCTACTCGCGGTCTTTCCTCGCGACCACGAAATATCTGTCATCAAAATGTTTATGCTGTCTCCCTAACTTTCAACTGAATAGATGCCTATTGAGCTAGTTCCTCTAGAGTGTAACAAAAATGTGTCGCCATAATTTATCAGTGTCTTAACGAATGAAAAATGTGGGAGGGGGTCAAGTGGATATCAGAATTTTCCCGTTTGTAGATGTCTAATCATGTGTTATCCACGTATTTAGTAAAACCAGTTGAATAGTTATGATAATATCAAATGTAACATAGCAACGTTTTTTGAGCACTTAAGTGTTCAGTCGTAATAATTCTATCACATTTACCAATGTAAATCATAACTGTCAAAGGAGGAATGTACATTTCTTTACCGGTTATTTTCTCAAAAGATTGTTTTTAAACACACCAATGAGTTTTTATGATATTTTCGAAATGACTCCATAACTTATGCCACTGAACAGGATTGCAATGAATAACCATCAAAAGGAAACTTATAATAACTTTACAATACTTGTTGTTGCCTTTGTAATTGTCTTTACACTATCGAACAATTGTCAGATATATCAAAATCACCACAGAGTTCCCGTGTTTGCTCTCAAAATATATACCTCAATTGAAAATAACAAGGCTCAGTATGAAAGTATTGTGTGAAGGGTCTTTACTAAACAACGTTGCTCCATTCGTTATTGTGAAAATGTCAAAGCATACAGTTAATGTTTTGGTACCGTTAACAGCCTATAGAATCAAGCACGAATTGACAACTTGGGTTAATGTTTCTAGAATTTTTTAGAATTACTCAAAGTACGTATCGTTGAGTTATTTAAAAGAGCAATTTCATAGTTTTAAAAACGTATACATATTCCAGAAAATGTATCATCGAGCATCGAGGGTGTTTTATTTACATCACTTGAAAATGTTTTCCCATGTTCTTATCGCATTATACAAGCCGCCGAGTGGAAGGTGAACATTAGCAAGTTGTTTTACATTTGACGATTGTTTGGATTTGGTGCGCTTCTCTGCATTTTATCCTCATTTCACACTATCGAGGTGTGTTTTGATACATGTATACTTTTGAAAGAGTTCCAAGATTTACTATCATTTGGAAGAAAACAATAAAACTGTTGGGAATAAAATCTTTAAACTACTTGTAGTTTCTAATGCTATTGTCAATTGTACTTGAGTGAAATATTGATCGCACTTGACTGGTGGCGTTATACAGGGTGGGCCACGTATACCCTCATTTATGAAATAATACAATTTCATTGATATTAATCGTGCCACATTCAGACAAACAACAACTAAATATGCAGTTCCTGTTTACAAGATTTCGGGTATTTGTTAGTGTCCCAAGTAGCAAAAAATTCAAATGACCAACCTGATCGAAACAGTAATTTCAAAATACATGATTCTAATTTCTGCCACTCCTAATTAAATATCCAAATTAAACAGTGTGAATAAGGTATTGAATCGCAGTGAAGTGTTAATCCAAAATGTATTGCCCAAGTCACGTTATTCCATACACGAGGATTGACACTTCGCATCAAATAATTCATTTTAAGACATCACTTTAACAATATCCCATCTAAAGTCTTTCTTAGCATTGATTAGACTTTAAAAAACCAAGGTGTCAACGTTGTAAAGAATGTCGGTGTTTACATGTCGGGAATATTGCAATTTTGAGTGCTCTTTGACAGGTGTTGATACAGTCATACAATGAATTTACAAACATTATGTTTCGATTGATATAATACTGCCAAAGTTTCCAACTGGTATGCCATCTTTACTTCATTTCATTTTAAAACTATTTTAAGATAGCAGTACTATAAAGATGATCAGTTTTAATAGCGTGAGATGCCTCAAATAACAATTTTATTTGCAATCAACAGTCATTAGTGCAAAAGTACTAATCATGTCCACGTGTACATCAATATTCTCATCAGTAACAGCAGTCATGTCCATCTTAACACATTCATGATTATTTCCATCAATACCAGAATTGGCCTCTCCAACATCAACAATGTTCTCATCAACACCATCTTTGTCCTCATCAAGATCAACCTTGTCCTCATCAACACTGATATTTTCCTCATCGTCACTATTCCTTTCCACATCAATGTTACCTGTCCTTTTATTAATCAGCCAAAACTAACTCTATTCTCTTATGAATTTTCAGATAATCCAGGCAGGGATGAAGACAGAATGCCGTTGTCATGGCGTCTCTGGGTCATGTGCAATCAAGACATGCTGGAAAGTTATGCCCACATTTAGTGAAGTCGGGGCTTTACTGAAGGACAAGTACGAAAAATCAGTTGAGATAGCTCCAAGGGCAAAAAGGAAGTTAAGGCGGAGGGAACGGCAAAGACGGAGGGTGCCTATAAAAGATACAGAAATAGTTCATATAGCCGCATCGCCAAATTATTGTAGAGCGAACTCAAAAAATGGCATTTTGGGCACGAAGGGAAGAGAGTGTAATAAGAGATCACGAGGTGCGGACAGTTGCAACCTCTTATGTTGTGGGAGGGGATACAACACTGAGGTAATTAGACATGTAGAGAGATGTCACTGCAAGTTTATGTGGTGTTGTTATGTAAAATGTAAAATATGCGAGACAATGATAGACCAACATACATGTAAGTAACAACATATAGGTATAAACCTGTTACGAAAGGTAGAGGCCATCTTATGGTAGAATATACTGGGATTGGGCCTTGGCACACCTTACCCTCCATTAATACAACATTGAGGAGGAAATAAATAAGTGACACAAGTCTCAAAATTCCTGAAAGTAGCACAACACATGATTGGTCTAAAAGGGATCACCCTAAGTGTACATGTGACTACATTAAATGTGACTCAGCTAAATGTGACTTGGCTAAATGTGACTACGCTAAATGTGATCACTCAAAATGTGACTACACTAAATGTGTTCAACAATATGATGAAACCTGACATTTGAGGTTGTGATAGTGTGACAATATATGCGCAACATGGAATGTTTGAGACATACAAGGGACATGCCATTCATTTGTTCCCTATGAACTGTTTGAGTCCATCACAAGCATGGGAGAATAAAAAAGAACTATGCAAGATTTTTCACTCCTGTTTATGATTATTAAAACGTGATTGCAGAGACTCCAAAGATTGCAAAAACTAAAAATCAAAGAGCAGCAATTATAATCTAGGAAAATGGAGGGAAATCGTAGGAATACTCAGTAATGACTTTTATTGTTGTTATACTGTATATTTCATGTATGATTAGACACAAGTTAGATACAAATGTATATTGCCAAACATCCCACTATCTTAGTGATATTTGGGTAACACCAAGAGACAAATCTGATACCCATGAAATGTAGATATCTGGTATAATATCAAAATGTCCAATATGAGATATTGGAATTAAGGTTCATATTTAAATGTTCAAACAAAATCATAATAACTTTTAGAATAATTAGAGAATCCAATTATTTCAAGGGATGTATTTTTTATCCTCTAAGAGATAACACTATCTGCTTTACATACAGGGTGTCCCAAACAAATTGTTTCCAAATGAGACAGGAATAACTCTTTTTTTTCTTTTTTCCTTCATTGAAAAAAGTAGATATTTTTACATGAGGAATTTTTTTAAAGCTCATAGAAATTTGTAACAATATCTAAATTACATCCATCATAATCAATGCAAAAAATGCAATTTCAATTTATGATAATAAAATTGTCTGTCAGATGATCAAATTTCAATATTCCTCAATCACTCATCAATCATTATGTGTTTATCTTGGTATAATTTTTTGGGACACCCTGTATAAGGATTTTTATTATATAATCCTACAGTATATTTATACTTACATGTACTGTACTTTTCTGAACTGTTTTGTACTGTACATTTATAAATGTAATTTAGTAAGTACATAATATAATTGTGGATATAATTTACTAAACCCTGCTCTCCACGAAATGGGGTTGTAAAGTCCTTAGTAAGCTTGCTGTCTAATTGACGCATCACTGAGGTCAACTGACAATCTTTGAGACATTCAAAGAAAGTATATACGTGTTCAAAGTGATTCTGGTACAGTAAAATCTGTCTAATCGGAACACCTCTTGGACTGGCCAAATGTGTTCAGATTAGCAAGTGTTCACATTTCAAGGTTTTATTAACATGTAAGTCAATAGGAGATAACAAATTTGGGACTGAATAAAGTGTTTGCATTGAGAGGTGTTCCGATATACAGGTTTTACTGTATAGGAGATATACTATCTATATAGGTATATATACTGTGAATATGAGAGTTACATAAGACTGAAACTGATATGTATTATAGTCTTATTTCTTGGGACATCCTTAAAGTAAATATTATGTATGGAGAGCCAAGGCTAAATGTTAGGTGTAGATCTAGATAGAGGAGAATACATATACTACCGGTATATGTGTTAACATGACCATGGCAAATATCTGGATTTTTGTGACCAAAAGTTGTAGCCATTTTGGAGTGTAAATCTTGCTAACATTGAAAATGTTTAACATCATTTATATGTGGGTAATAACAAAAGCTCATCATCATGTGGGCTAGAAAGTTAACATGTAAAATCCATTTTATAAGTAAGGGGGTTCATATGGGTCAATATGTCCATTAAATCATATTTGTGAATTTTTTTTAAGGAACTCTAGTACTAGTTCTAGATTAATTGACACTTACTTTGATGAAATGTGTCATATACATTATGTTATGAAAGCATAATTTAACGTACAATATACCTTTAAAAGCTAAACACATTTGGACCTGGTCATCCACTCACTTCAATTTAGACATAAAGGATACTTTTTCAGAAAAATATCTTTGCATTAGGTGTTAAAGAGCAACTCATCTATGACTGTATGACAGTTTTCATAAATATTTTCCTTATTGACTACCAACAGGGTATGATGGTTTGACTCAAATGAGCGCACAGTGGTTTCCAAATTGAAATTTAAAAGGGGAAGATATGCAGAGATTCCAATAAGCGCACACACAAAAATTAGAAAAATATCACCTATAATCTTTTTAGTTGTTATCACTAAGGTTTAAAACTGTACAGCTCCTGTATTTCTTTTTCTGTATTGAATATAATCATAAATTGATGTCTCCTTGTGTAAACAATCAGAACTAATGAATTAAACTTTGTGTTTTCTTGAGACCATATTTAACAAGTCACATGTGTGCTCATTGGAACTGTGCACTCATTAGAGAGAATATGGTATCTATAAATTCATAATGAGAGGTAACTTACACAATAAATATACATGGACATTATTGCACCAGGTTTGGACATGGTCTTGTTAATTTGAAGCATACAACTTAGTACATGGAGAACATACATAAAAAAAGCAGACATTAAGGCAATTTAAAAAAAATCAACATTTTAGTTGGAATAGTCGAGTTTGAACATCCCCGAACGCTGAGAACAAGAATCTCTTTCTAGTTCTTGGAATAAAAGGGAATTGTTCCGGAGATATTGAGATATTTCAAACAAAACAGAAAAAGTAGCACTTTACACCCTCTTGAGTAGAAACTTGGGGGATCACTGGGTTTATGTAACACCCTGTACAATGCCATGTGATTATTTGATATATCAAAAACAATCAACCAATCACATGACTGAAAATCCTTCCTCAAGCAGCACTCGAGACAAGTTTCAATCAACAAGTGTTTGTCTGACATTAACTTGTCTTTTAAGTGTAAATAAAGACACAGAAATAGTTGGTAAAATGAAAATATTTAGTGCTTTGTATTTATTATTTTTTGTTAAATTAAAAAAGTAAGATGTAGTTACTATAGAAACAATTCTTTGACACTTAGACGAAGAAAAACTGATTGCATCTAATACAGTCACAATATCTGATTGCATAGATTTTTGTCAATATGAGCTATAGTAAGGACAGATACAAAATATTTGATGTATATAATTGTACCATTTATATAATATATGATATAAGTAGTTAAATGTGGAAATACAGAGTTGGATATTGATCATTTTTGTATTATTGTTCTCAATTGAATGAGATGTATTGTGATTTTACGAATGAAAACACTTTTGGATTTTGTATGCTGCAGTTACAAAACAGACTTACATATGAACGCTTAAATTCATTGTGTAAATGGAAAAAATCTGATTCTGTCACACAGAGCTCTGCACTTCTTTTGATAATTGTTACTCAGGTATCAAAAGTTATGCCTCAGTCACATTTGATCTATGGCAACCGTACGGCAGCTGCAGCTTCCCAAAATGGAGATAAATATGCAGCATAAAATATAGGACTAAACGATTTAGATTTTCTATATCGATTTTGTGAAAATATTAAGTAACGAACGCCGAACGCCTGCCGTAGGGCAAATGTAACCAAAACTTTATCTATTGATAAGCAATGTTAGTCCAATCTGACAGATCTTTTCATTTCATGCAAGACTTACAATTAACTTTACCAATAAAACAAACTTGTATACTTCAGTCAACATGTCATGCATTTACATGTTAACATGAATACGAGCCTATCTTGCTAACTAAAAATCTTAAATAATCTGTTTGCAACAACAAATTAAAATCCTTACAAGAATTTTCAGTTTATATGTTCTGAATGAGGTGCATAATGCATATTTTGGCACAATACAGTGACCTTTGTAAAGACCCTCTGTGATGAGATTAACATGTGGTCTGGAGTGGCTAAAGCTCCTCTAAAAATCACATGAACAAGAATTTGTGTTGCTTTATATTTTTCAAGTTAATATGGTTTACTTTGATTTCACAAAGTTGATGACCCATCATAAACCATTCCTATTTTATCTATGAGTGAACAAGGCCACGTGTGTAATCAACTACGAGCATAAGGTACACTGTATCAGGACAGAACTAGCTAGAGCTGCCTCCAAATGAACTATAAAAGTCTGTGATCTTTTCTACCACTAAGTCCTTCTTCCATAAAAGTCCAGCAACCAACAGTGTCCCAGTTAGAACTACTGAAAGTCTATAGTTCCTCCGTTTATGGCGCTCCTTGTATTGTAGGAGGTCTGTAGGATTCAAGTCTTCTTTCTCTAAAATCTGAAAGTGAATGTTGAGAAAATCAAAATGCTTGTCATATAAAATGTTACATACTTTTCAAAGTGGACAATTTTTGCATGTAATGAATAAACTAAGAGAATACTTTTTACGGTACAATACAAATGGATATCTTAAGTTTTAATTTACCAACATTATTTATCAAATATATTGACTTACTAGTGATATGAGTTTTCAAAAGAATAACTTATGGTAGAATTTTTATATGAGACAAACATATAAGATTTATATGGCCTAATCCCCAAAAGTTATCCATATGGCCTTTTCTTAATATTATCCACCCTCTGAAAGATTGAACATATCTATACATGTACTGTAGTTACTAAGATAATTAAACTTTGTAGTAGATAGACTTACTCTAGATACATTATGCCTTAATTTGCCTAACTCATCGTAAAGTGTTTTAGTGTGTGTCATGGTGTCTACTGTGAAGTGGTGTAACTGCTGGCCACCCTTACCCTCCTAAAATGTAAAATAAACTTTATTTCAAGTTTTAAATGGGCAAAGGGTGTGAACTTTAAGAAGATGTTCACAATCACAGCAGGTTGCCATGTCACTGAATGGTTCTTAAATATTTTTTTCAAACATTCTTCTTAACGAAAAATCCTGAATTAATCTTTGTAACCATGGAGATCTTAATTATACATCAATAAATGACTAATAAGTACTAACTAGAATCTAAAATGTTTTAAGTAATGCCATAAATTTTCTTGTTTTTATCAAATCATGCATCGTTGCTATGGAAACAAATCAGGATTATTCTCATGATGAATGTCACAATAATAAAATTTCACAGCCAATGGGATGTCAGTTATTCGGTGTTTACATTATTTCTCATAATCATTATTAAAGTTCAAACTGTTTATTTATGATATATCTATTTCCGAATGAATATAAAAATAAACTGACTTCGTAGAACACATGAGTGTAATAATTATGTAGATACCTGTGCCCCATGTAACAGTTTAGGGTTCTTCTTCAGGGTTCTTTCTATGTATGCTATTGATGATGTGATATATGTCACATGATTATTGATGTTTGATACCATGGCAACTGCATCCTGACAACTGGAAAAGAATCAATAAAATTTGGAATGTTCTTCCATGCAGAAAATGTTTGCTCCATTTTTTAATTTCTTGAAAACTTTGAGCATATCCAAAAAAGATAGGTTACCTTTTCAAAAGGACTTTACAACTTGAATATATTGTGATAAAAAAAATAAATCTTAGCTTTCTATAGTTGTACCATAAGCCAACTTTCTAGCAAACTGCATCCAGCTAACTTACGTTATAGTTCTATTATAACTTGACTTAGGCGCCATTCCAGGATTTATAATACTGGATTGTTTCCATTCTGCTTTGTGACTGTCCAGAATGGCATCGAGAATCTTCTTACGTACACCCATCTTTTCCACACCAAGCTGCAATGAACGTCTCAATTATTTAAATTCTAATCAAACCATGCTACAGAATATTTTAGATATACAAGTGAATATTCAACACATTTCAAGGTGCAATGACTCTAAGAGCCTAGTGTGTAAGGTAACCAGATGCTTTTCAGAACAATTTGGAAAAAGGTTGTTTTTTAATCATGAGAAAAATGAAACAGTGAAGCACGGCTATACGACTATATGTGGTACTCTATTTATCTTGCACTTATTTCACTATTATAAAAGGTTCATGCAGAATTCTCAAAAAAGTACAGCATGCATCCATTTATTTTAATGCTGGAAAGATGAAATGATTTTTATTTGATATTATGTACCTTAATGAGAGCATCTTCATCCATGAGCAGAAATGCCTCAAATGTGATCTGATGATCCGTAAACAATGGAACAAGATCTGAACAGTCTAGCCCATGTAAGAAGAGCTCTAGTCCGCCAAGACTTCTGTAACCCCTGCAAATAAACATTCAACATCAGTTGTAGTTCAATCTTTATTGTGAAGAGTATCCATCATTAAACACCCAAGCAATTTGTGGATTTAGGGAGCTCCTCAAAATCAAAGAAATGGTAATCAAAGTACTCTGTTCATTATGGCAAGGCATATTAGCTATTTCTAGATACTAGATTTTACAAAAGCCTAGTGATAATGGGACTTCTCTTGAAATCTTTTTAATTTGTAACTATCTGTAATGATAGCCTCCCTGGCTCGGGGCCACAAGGGCTTGAATCAAGACTTAATAATTAAAACTTACTGAGTATTAGAAGGCTTGAGATGGTCACAAGAATTAAACTGAACATTTTTCTTTTTGGCATCTCCAGCAGCTTCAGCTTGTTGTATGGACAATACAGTTGGTTTCATAGTGCCTAGTTTTCTATCATCAGCAGTCATATCGTCTAATATATCATATATCTGAAAAAGAAACAACACTGTCTTCAGGCCTTTTAATATTGGTTCTTTAAACTGTTGATTTTGGTTTTGGACTTTTTTTGAAAATCCTATTGCATTCAACTATAGAATCTGACTGTTTTGAGAAGAAAATTTTGTAATCTTTGCATTAATAAAGATACTAGTAAATGAAAACAACAACTTTTTAATCACTTCAATGGATACAGCAAACTAGAAATTGCAGTTTTAGTTAATAGCATGTAAAGAACCTTGTACAACATTACAAAGTCGAATATTATGCACAGGGTGTCCCAAATGTATGCCCCCCTAGACAGACAAATACCAATGTCTACATAGTATGTGTCATATATCACTTTAAAGCTCATCCAAAATCACATTGATTTGTAAAATTGATTTGTTACAAAATTAAAGTCAGTTTTACACCAAAATAATAGTTGGTGTGTCTCCCTAGGCCATGTTAACAGCAGCAATGCTTTCTATAAAAAAATATGACCTTAAACACGCTTCAAATAGGGATGTGGCATTTTGTAATCCTCATAAGGCATTCTAGAAGAGTTTCCTTGGAGTGTCTATCCTGAATTTCCTCTTTTTAGAACTCAATATCCATCCTATCTTGGACAATAGCACCCATATTTTTGGTCAGATTCAGGTCAGGCCGGTTTCCAGGATACTGAAATGGACTATACTTTTGGCCAAACAGTAAGTTTTAAATGCCTGTAACCTTTTACCATTTGTGAGTGGAACAACCATGATACTTGGAAAATGAATGAAACTTTGGATAAGCTTTAAAATGATATATGACACATACTATGGAGACATTGGTACATGTCTGCCCAGGGGACATACTTTCGGGACACCCTGTATACTATATGTTACTGGCTTAAAGTTTCAAACTGATTAAGGTTTAGATTGATCCAGTATAGTAATGTTAATGATATGTGCATGTATATAGTTTATGGACACTTACGTTTATGCAAGGCCAAGTCTTACTTTACAGAAGTAACACCCACAGTCCTCAGTCCCCTCCCATTCCCTTCTTGTTTCACATTCTTTTTTGACTAGATTTATCCTATCTTGAGATTTTATGTAAAATTTTAATACTTCAATTTCCCAATGTGGAAGTTTGTAGCCTAATCTGATTCCATATATACTTTTGATGTATGTTAATTCATTCATAATTTTGTAAATGGTTTATCCTGATGCGTAATTTTGGGTTTTATGATTCTATCCTAAGTATATCCAACATATGCATGTTTCCATGTTTCAAGCCATTATTATATTATACTGTATACTCTCATGTATATCATTTCATACTGTTTATGTCTGCTTCATACATATAGTCAATATTTAATACCAGCAGGCAAGTAGCCAGCTTTTGCCAACAGAAGTTGTGAGTGAGGTTTTGGCCCCAAAATGGCTAAAATCACTTGGTGAAAAACTGCATGATTTCGAAAGAATTTTTGGCCAGGGGGGGGGGGTGCACCCCTATCTATCTTATCATTCAGGACATGTGGTTCTTTCATTATTAGTGAATGTTCAGGATGCGGTTCTTTCATTATTATTGAATGTTCAGAATATGTGGTTCTTTCATATCATTATTAGTGAATGGTCAGAACATGTGGTTCTTTCATTATTAGTGAATGTTCAGGACATGTGGTTCTAAACTACAATATTCCATTTCATATTTAATTGATGTTGGAATTGAACAAGATTTGGTTTGTATATTATATCAATTATTGATTTTATACTTTTGTATACATGTACTGTATTATATTATTAAAATGTTAAAACTTAATTGTAAAAAGTTATAGAAAGTTGGAAGATAAGAAATCAAAGTTGAAGTTATAACGAAGGAAAAGAAATAATTTAGTCTTATGCTGAAGAGATTTAATAATAAAGGATGTACAGGGGTCAAGACAAACAGCATATTAATATGCATTGTCTTTGATGCCAATATTCTGTATTAATCGTGATACAAATTGATTCTTTTGGCTAATTGGTTTAATGATATGTGTGATTGAGTTGACATGACAATTTTTAGTAATATCAATATCCTGATCAATGTCCATAGACCCTGACTTATCCTTTTCAGGTTTCCCTGTTTACATGAACACTTCATATCATAATGACAATTCATACATGGTTGATCCACCCAACATATTAATCAAACCCAACATTTTTCAGAACATACCTTTGTGAAGCCGCTTTCAGAAGCCAGATCCAATGCTGTCCTACCATCTGTACACTGTTTATTGGGGTCTGCCTTATGGTTAAGAAGTAGCGTCACTACTCTTTGGTGACCTTTGAATGCAGCATGAGACAGAGCCTAGAATCAATTCATATAGTACATGTACACCTTGCAGTTATTTCCCCAAGATTTCTAGAGGGTGCTGAATTCTGATTTTAAACTGTTTTGGGCAAAATATCTCAATATTTCTCCCTTTTGGCAGGGTGAAAGCAAATGTTCAACAGGGTGGCATGTAATTTTCTAATTTTCCACAGGGTGGCATGTAATTTTCTAATTTTCAACAGGGTGGCATGTAATTTTCTAATTTTCAACAGGGTGGCATGTAATTTCCCAATTTTCAACAGGGTGGCATGTAATTTCTAATTTTCAAAAGGGTGGCATGTGATATTCTAATTTTCAACAGGGTGGCATATAATTTTCTAATTTTCAACAGGGTGGCATGTAATTTTCTAATTTTCAACAGGGTGGCATGTAATTTTCTAATTTTCAACAGGGTGGCATGTAATTTTCTTATTTTCAACAGGGTGGCATGTAATTTTCTTATTTTCAACAGGGTGGCATGTAATTTTCTAATTTTCAACAGGGTGGCATATACTTTTCTAATTTTCAACAGGGTGGCATGTAATTTTCTAATTTTCAACAGGGTGGCATGCACATTTCTAATTTTCAACAGGGTGGATGTAATTTTCTAATTTTCAACAGGGTGGCATGTAATTTTCTTATTTTCAACAGGATGGCATGTAATTTTCTTATTTTCAACAGGGTGGCATGTAATTTTTTTTATTATTTTCAATAGGGTGGCATGTAATTTTCTTATTTTCAACAGGGTGGCATGTAATTTTCTCATTTTCAACAGGGTGGCATGTAATTTTTTTTCTTATTTTCAATAGGGTGGCATGTAATTTTCTAATTTTCAACAGGGTGGCATGCACATTTCTAATTTTCAACAGGGTTGCATGTAATTTTTTTCTTATTTTCAACAGGATGGCATGAAATTTTCTTATTTTCAACAGGGTGGCGTGTAATTTTGTTATTTTCAACAGGGTGGCATGTAATTTTCTAATTTTCAACAGGATACAGCACTCAGTTGCTTTAATGCTGGAGAGATCTTTGATCTCATGGTAAAAATTCTGCACTGTTTTTTAAAAGCGCATAAATTCTTTGTGATTCTCTGCAAGCAAAAATGGTTTCAACTCGATCAAAATTTTTGACAAAATAAAAATAAATTAATCATGGCACCATATATTGGACTCAAAATATGAATTCAATCCATACTGTTCATGATGTCATGTCACCTCTTCATTGCTCTCTGAAAAGTTCACAAGACCAACACAATCAAAAATAGATTCTGAGCCATATCATCTCTGAATTTTGCTTTCCTCAGGTACACAGGCCCGTAGCCAGGGGGGGGGGTTCGCAGGGTTCGGGCGAACCCCCCCTAGCAAAAAATTCTTTCAAAATCATGCAGTTTATCACCATTTTGAGCACTTTTCAAGTGATTTTAGCCATATTTGGGCCAAAATTGTCAAATGTGAACCCCCCTGGAAATTTTTGAAAACTGAACCCCCCCTTGGCAAATGCTGGCTACGGGCCTGGGTACATAACCTTCACGTTTTCAAATAATTTCTGCATTTTCTGCTTAAATATGGAATCACATACACAGTTTTGTACAGTTAAATTTTTGTTCATTTGCATCTGCATGACTGTACAATATATCACATACTAAAGAAGGCCAAAGTATATGCTTACATTAAAGGGTATCATAGAGTATGAATGAATTATGAGTTTAACTTACAGTCCAACCTCTAGAGTCCTGTTTGTTAATGTCAACATTTTGTTCAAGAAGTTTCTGTATGACTAGAGCCCTGCCTGCCTTAGCTGCGTACATTAGTGAGGACATATGGTGTCTGAAATGTACATCAAAAGGACTCATGATATATAGAATGTACACTAATAAGAACATGTGATGTATGAAATGCATATTATTGAGGAAATATCGTGACTAAAATGCACAACAGTGAGGACATATGGTGTCTGAAATGTATATTAAAAGGACATATGATAAGAGGTGTCACGGTTTCCCGATATTGGACAGAATTTCGGTCCAGATGCTTTGGTTCGGGACATGGGACAGAAAGGGTTAATACCGGTACGGTATCAGTACATAAATTCCTTTCCTAAAATGCATAAAAATGTGTACAAATAGCGAGGAACACCTCCAATTTCATTCTGAAAAATTAAATATTTTCACTTACCTCGTACCTAAATTACACTTCTTTGCATTGAAAATTGTTATTAACGGACCTGCGATTTCAGGAAGATGGTAATGCTTGTTCGTAAATTTCTTCATTGTCGTTCGCAAATCGAGTGCATTATCAGTATGCCGGATGTAGAAAAGTAATTGAAAAATCGAGCCGGCATCTAAGTTGAAAAAGTCGGCAGTTTGGAAGTATTTTGGGACTCTGATATTACAAGGTAAACGAATTGGTGATAGTACACCGTGCAGATTATGTAAAATGCCGATCACATTTGTGGCAGATGCGTTATATTAGATTTAAATTGATGTTTTTTATTTCTGAATATGATTTTGAAAAGTGAAACTGCCATCATCAGACATTGCATCATTTTTCTTTAATGTTCTGTCTAGTCCCGAAAGTACCGTGTTCTGAGACCATCTGTACCGTTCCGTACCGTACCGAAATTTTTTTGGACCGTGACACCTCTACATATATCTGAGATGTACACGAATAAGAACATATGATGTCTGAAATGCATATTATTGAGGATGTATGGTGTCTGAAATGCACAACAGTGAGGATATATGGTGTCTGAACTTTTTACCTGTCATAAGCATTGCAGTTGGCCCCATTTTTTATCAGCAGGTTTATAGTGCTAAGCAGCTCATCTTCAAATTCACTTGTGGAAGAACATGCTGCTATAAGAACTGTATATTGGTCTGGAATAAAAAAGAATTACCTCGGCTTTAAGTTATCTTTAAAGCATAAAAGAAGCTGAATATTTTCTCAGTTACTAGCTCTACTTCTTTAGCTATAGCACTGACAAAATATGCATACAGGTAAATGTTGAATATCTTTGAATAAGTTGCAAAGTGCTCTTTAAATGGTGAAAATGATTACTCCTTCAGCTACGCTACACTGAGCACTCTTACCACAATTAAAATTTGGATCTGCTCCTTTGTCAAGCAACAATTGCACAGTAGGTGTATTTGCACTGTTGGCTGCATACATGAGAGCGGTCCAACCTGTACGCATCACTGTATCTACTGCAATACCTACAACAGAAATTGTATTTTTCTAAATTCCTGACCAGATATATAATAAAAATTAGTACCGTGGGTACTGGGCTCACATGGTCACATTTTTTGCTGATTTTTTGTTACAAAATTATTTCAAGCCATCTGTCTCTCAGTCAATTAAAATGGCTGAAAAAAAAACGGATATAATTTTTTGCCAATAATTTGTAACAAAATTATTTCATACAACTACTCTTTACAGTGACATGGCTTTTTGCAATGCAAGACACCTGAAATTATTTGTAAAGCTAGGAAATGGGCCAAAATTGAATTTCGCGAGACAAAAATGGCGACCATTTTGAAATCAGGCAAGCTTTTGAACCAGGAGTCATAGGGGAGTTTTTTGTATTGATGTTGAACAAAAATAACTTGAAACTGGAATCCTATCGACAGAGGTTTTGAGCAAATGGTCCAAAAGAGGATTTCGCGAGACAAATGGACAAATCAATGTTAACTAAAATGGCTGAAAATAAAAAAAAAAACGGATATAATATTTTGCCGATTTTTTGTAACAAAATTATTTCATACAACTACCTTTTACAGTGACATGGCTTTTTACAATGCAGGACAGCTGAAATTATTTGTAAAGCTAGGAAATGGGCAAAAAGTGAATTTCGCGAAACAAGAATGGCAACCAAATAGGCGAGCTTTTGAACCAAGAGTCATAGGAGAGTTTTTTGTATTGATGTTGAACAAAATTAACTTAAAATGGGAATCCTATCGACAGAGAGTTTAAGGTAAATGGTCCAAAAGTGGATTTTGCGAGACAGATGGACAAATCAATGTTAACTAAATGGCTGAAAATAAATAAATGGATATAATTTTTCGCTGATTTTTCGTAACAAAATTATTTCATACATCTACTCTTTACATTGATATGGATTTTTACAATGTAGGACACTTGAAATTATATGTAAAGCTAGGAAATGGGTCAAAAGTGAATTTCGCGAGACAAAAATGGCGGCCATTTTGAAAATAGGCAAGCTTTTGAACCAGGAGTCATATGGGAGTTTTCTGAATTGATGTTGAACAGAAATAACTTAAAACAGGAATCTTATCGACAGAAGTTTTAAAACGTGCCACAGAAAGTGGATTTCGCTAGTCGGATAGACAAATCAATGTTAACTAAAATGGCTGAAAATAAAAAAATGGATACAATTTTTCGATGATTTTTTGTAACAAAATTATTTCATATATCTACCCTTTACATGGATTTTTACAATGTAGGACACCTGAAATTATTTGTAAAGCTAGGAAATGGGTCAAAAGTGAATTTCGCGAGACAAAAGTGACGGCCATTTTGAAAATAGCCGAGCTTTTGAACCAAGAGTCATAGGAGAGTTTTTTGTATTGATGTTGAACAAAAATAACTTAAAATGGGAATCCTATCGACAGAGGGTTAAAGGTAAATGGTCCAAAAGTGAATTTTGCGAGACAGATGCACAAATCAATGTTAACTAAAATGGCTGAAAATAAATAAATGGATATAATTTTTCGCTGATTTTTCGTAACAAAATTATTTCATACATCTACTCTTTACTTTGCAATGGACTTCTACAATGTAGGACACTTGAAATTATTTGTAAAGCTAGGAAATGGGTCAAAAGTGAATTTCGCGAGACAAAAATGGCGGCCATTTTGAAAATAGGCGAGCTTTTGAACCAGGAGTCATAGGGGAGTTTTCTGAATTCATGTTGAACAGAAATAACTTAAAACTGGAATCCTATCGACAGAGGTTTTAAAACGTGCCACTGTTATTGACAGAAAGTGGATTTCGCGAGTCAGATAGACAAATCAATGTTAACTAAAATGGCTGAAAATAAAAATAAATGGATACAATTTTTTGCTGATTTTTTGTAACAAAATTATTTCATATATCTAATCTTTACATTGACATGGATTTTTACAATGTAGGACACCTGAAATTATTTGTAAAGCTAGGAAATGAGCCAAAAGTGAATTTCGCGGGACAAAAGTGACGGCCATTTTTAAAATAGGCGAGCTTTTGAACCAGGAGTCATAGGGGGGTTTTCTGTATTGATGTTGAACAGAAATAACTTAAAACAGGAATCCTATTGACAGAGGTTTTAAAACGTGCCACTATTGTTGACGGACAGACGGACGGACGGACAGACAGACGGACGGACGGACAGACAGACGGACAAGTGAGCGATTGCAATAGCTCACCATGTGAGCTTAAAATGCAACAAAATTGAATTCAAGAATTATATGAGAGAGAGAGAGAGTATGAGAAAGGTATAGATGAACCTCTCGGATTCAATGGTTTCAACATGAGTTTATATATAAGCATGCAACTGCACTTATCATGGATTAAAATAAAACAAATAAAATAAAAAGGTCCATTTGAGATCAAGGTAGCTTTTGTGAACCAATTGCTGGTCTCCATTCCTAAATCCCATTTGTTGATAAATAAAACTGTACCATCATTTAAATACTGGTTGATCACATCAATATTTCCTCTTTGCACAGCAGACCTAAAGTCATCTCTATCAACTGGCATATTCCTGGAATCCAGGTTTCTATGGTTGCCATTTTGTGACCCATTTTGTTGGACTGTTCTTTCTCTGTGTGATTGCTTTAACCTGTTGGGAGTTCTGGTAGATTGTTTGTTGCCATTGTAGTTGTTTCTATTGTTGAATCTAGCTGGTGGGGGTCCAAAACCTCCCTGGAATAGAAAATAAAATATGATGCTCACTGTTTAGTTAAAGGGGCAATAAGGACTGTAGAGAAAATAGGAAAGTTTTTTCATTTTTTCTGAGCTATCAAGGCAATATTTGGTTTAACATCTTCTTTGACATACCTATTTTCTTAAAATGTATGAATAAATTATCAATTTCAGCATTAAGAAGTGTAAATTCAGTTCAAAGCTTGAAAAAGGAGACTTCCACTTTTATATTTTCAAGATCCACTATGTTTCAAGAGGAATATCAGCTAAAATAATGTTTATCTAGGGGGTATCTTTGTAGATAATAAAAATAGATGTTAGTCTTGATGAAATATCCAAACTTAAATATATTTTGACACTGGTCCATGATCGTTGAATGACCCCTCTGCACTAATTATTGCACCTTTAAAAGGCCATCCTGGAATAACACTTAGGAGCATACAAAGGTTAAGGTCCATGTGTAAAGACATTTGCCTGTTTATGTAGTAATGTGTAGTAGGCATTTTCACGAATAAGTGACACTTTTCAGTATTTTTTTGTAACAGCATCCTTATTTATTCAATTAAAGGTATAAAAGAAAAACAATGCTTTCTAGAAGTTGGTATCATAATGTTCTTATATGCACATCATGAAAAATTACAATATGTTGATGCTTATTTTGAAAAATCAACAAGTAATGACCCAAAATATGCTGTTTTTTGGTGTAACAGGCATTTCACTTAAATTGTGACCATGTTTACATGATCACAGAAGAGCTAATATCATAGATACATAGACAATTTTGATACCAAGTGGTAGCTAAATCATTTATCTTTATTATGTTTTTTAAATTGTTTCAAACACTGTCATATAGCCCAAGTTGTAACCGTTTTTATGTCATGACTACTCTGTAACACTTTTCCATTTTTTGGAGAGGTATTTTATGTTTTTTAATACAGAAAATCTGCAGCTGAGTATTTTCCTTCATATATAATGATTTTGAATAGCTAACATATTCATATATAACTTATAAAAAGCTTTTCACTTGGAATTAATTAATCAACAAATAGCAAATAAAAGTTCTGAATCATATTTTAGGAGTCACAAACCATGAGGTGTCCGTAATGGCAAAGTTTCTACAATTTACACAGTACTTATATCTTAACTATTCTTATTTTTTAATGAAATGAACACAACTTATCAATTAAATAATAATTTAACAATGATTGACCTTTTACTTTATGATACAGAAGCAGATATGTTGTCTGGAATGTTGTGAGGTGTCCGTAATGCTACATAGTTTATCAGTTCAAATTGTAAAATTAGCTTACTTTATCCCCAAAATCACTGTTAAATATTTCCTAAGTGTCTCTCTACACATGTTTATTAAATTTAAACTGGTATTGCCACTAAAAATATTTGAATTTTTTTTTACCATAAGCTATGGGGGTCCATTTTACAAACATCAGTTCTGATTAAAAATGAGGCAGAAATTAATTAAAATTGATTTTAAATTCCAAGTCTTTACTAGGCATAATGAGTCAAAACTAGATCTAGTTTATTGAAATAAATGGAAACAAATAAAAAGAATAAATGTTTTTTAAAAAACATTACGGACACCTCAAGCCTATTGATTTAATGTTTATAGCAAAAATAACTTATTTTCAAAGTAGTAATTTTACCTTTATAAGTAAAAATGGAAAAAAAACAAAGTATACAGAGAAGGAAAAAGATATTAGGTTAAAAATATAAACCAGCAAAAGAAAATAAGAGGAAACATGTACCAGAAAGAAAAAATTAAAAATGTTGCACTTAAAAGGCAATGTATCTATTAGTGATATAGTCTAAAGCTTTTAACCCATTGTACTGAAATGAGTTTATACTGAAAACACATTCTGAAATGACTCATGAAGTATCAAAAAAGCATTGCATCAAAAACCATGATATTTGAATTCATATAAATACATTGTACTTTACTTGTACAGTATACATGGAGATGATGAGTTTTGATCTTTTGTAACAACTAGACCAAAGAACAGCAAGTACCCAAAAACAGAGCAGCAAGGTTGCTTCGAGTTCATTTTGGTTAAATATATGAAAAGCATAATTCATTTTCAATTTTATATATTCATTTTAAATTGTTTGTGTCATTTGATATACACCTTTAAGTTTGTAGTGTAGTCAATTGTTTACCTTGCCTTGTTCTTTCCTTAAGCTTATGTTCATTGATTTGAATTGCCTAACTTGGTGGATATGTGTCTTGAAGCAAGACTAATTTGTTGGACAAAACTAAAACAGTAATATGGTTCCAATAGAACGATATTACCACATAACATTCTCGTCAAAACATACCAAATTGCAACATAAGTATAGTAATCAGTGGTAAACTGAGATATCCATAATGTTTGAGATAAAATGACTATAATTAATTAAATAATTAAATAGGACCATATCCAAGTGATTTCACTTCTTAAATTGTTCAATCTAGGTACATATTGTTTTCCTCTAATTATCTTGCTCAATATTTAGTATATACTGTTAAATCATTCATTTCTTTGTAACATTCAATGTATGTTTACAAATGTATTATATACCTAGGCAAGTGGGCAAAATCAAGTCCATTAAGTATACATATTCAATTATTTTGATCAATAATTGTTACAAAAAGATTTTTGTATATATATATCTTCAAACAAAACTTGCTTTTGCGACCTAAAACTGGAAAGATTTTAAAACAAGCAAATTTGAGGTGTCCGTAATGCTATCTCTTTCACTATTTAAACATTAATTGACAGATTTTGAAACAAATACAGATAATGCAGTAGATAGCAATTGAAAGACCATGGAATAATCCACAAAATTGGATACTTTTGTTGGGGCTGCAATGTGAATTAAGCTAATAATATGACTTTATTTTGTAAAATATAATTCATTAAGTGATAAGGTAGACATGTTCAAAACAAATAATACTTTTTCTTCATATTTTGCAGCCAGTTGTTGTACAAAATGTGTTATCAATGATATAAGACTTATAAAAATATGTCAGAAACAAATATATTCCTGTTTTGAATGTTGGTTTGTGAACATATTGAGAGTGAATTGTCCGTAATGCCAATTTCAGTACCTATAAAGATGACAATATTTTGTAAATTTGCAGATGCGGATACTTAAGAATTTTTACATTGTCAGGAGCCTGACATATGAAAGTGTAAAAATCTTCATAAACAATAAGGAAAACTTGAAAAAAAAATTTTGACATTTTGAAATGGAAAAGTGTCACTTATTCGTGAAAATGCCTAGTATACTCATAGATTGTTACGGAAAAAGGGGAATTTTTATTTTGACAAACCAATTTCACCTATGAAGTTTCAGGATCTTCTATTTGTGTGTCAACCTGTCAATATTTCCTGATTATAAACTTTTCAACGAATAGTTTCATCTTGAGAAAGACGATTTCAATAAACTGGAATTTCCCGAACTCTTCTAATTTCTGAAACATCTAAAAATAGATGGATCCAGTAGATTCATTTGGAGCTGTCATAATGCATTTGTAAAAGAAAGCATTCATAACCATTTAACAAATCAGATATTGTTGGAAACACTTCACATGTGAGTAAAAACTCTGATAATCTAACTCATCTGAGCTGGGACGTCCTGTTACGGTTTAGTGAGCTCTTGACAAGTTAACTGTACTGTACTGTTACTTACAGTAGCAAAACAATTCATACCATCTCAATAAATAAACCTTTTGAAAGTTTTAACTATCTAAACAAGACAAACCATTCCTAGTAGGTATCAATCTAGACAATGCAAAAAGAACAATAATTTTACTTTCACTTTGGTCTTGACTTGAGTTGAAATTGAAAAAAGAAATAATTACAAAATTACATACACTTTGCCTTGGTTGATAGCTTTGAAAATTTGAGGGTTTTTGCGGGGACTGCTTTCGTTGATATTCATCACTTGGACCGTTTGAGAACATGAAGCCATCTTCATCGAACTCTTCATCTTCAAATCCGGCTGGGCAACTCATGTTCATTGAAATTTCTTAGGGACTGATTATTCTGTTTGACCTATTTAGTGATTTGTGACAAAAATGTAAATCTAATCTAATCACTTAACGTATTCAATGGCAATATATAAAATATATATTTATATTTTTCAACCGAGGTAAGATTTATTTGAAATTATAAAGGTGTTATCAAAAACACTGAAGCTTCATGAATTTTGACAAATTGATCCATCCCTGCGCACACCGGTATGCGCAGTCGAAAAGCAATATGGCGGCCAAAATCTGGAGAATCGCACCAACTCTTACTAAAACCTTTTCAGTTTCACAGAGGGTACGTATATATCGTATTGCTGTATTCCCAGGGATGTATTATTTATTAGGGTACCACCTGAAGTTAATGTTTCAGTAGAACACCTACGAAATATTTAAATTTTTACCATAGATTGGTGACCTTGCGAAATTTCCATGATTTTTTTTTCAAAGATTTTTATTTGATAACTTGATTTACCGTGACAAGGTGTGATACTTGAAACACGTTCAATCCAGGCACATTTATTTACGCTATGTAACCTCTACATATGATTTAGGTTTTGGGTATATATTTAGGTTTGGGTATTAGTGAAGGCATCGACCTGATGAATGTTCTTCGAAACTTCCCTACAGTCAGAGTCGAAAATTCTAATGAGAACTTTGAATTTAAGGTCTCGGGGTAGTTATCAGAAATTTACATCAAACAGGAAATGGAAAACCATGTGTTTTTTTTGAAGTAAGATAACAGAGTTCTGCTTTGATCTTCAGTCAGTTGTACTGCTCCCATATATCATTTACATCGCCAGGATCACAATGGTCATGGTCAAAACACAGGTGCTCCCTGGGTAATAAGAGTGTCAGGCTTCCCTAAGAGGAGGAAAAGCCCCAGAGCTTTAGCAATGACTGACATAATACGTCTCTTGCGTACCACCTTCCCAGATTTGACCTAGTTTTGAACTTCCGGTTGAAAATTGACAAAACATTGCAAAGAATGAAATAAAATCTATAGTAAACCAAATTTTTTCATCTACCTATTGACTTATTGATTCTCGCCCCACCCAGACTGACACTCTTATTACCCAGGGAGCACCTGTTTGTCAAAATGACCTTTACCATGCTGAAATAGCTTTTTCAGCCCTCTGGCAGTTATTTCAGTTCAACATTATCAAAACATCATCAATTTTGTTTTGGTAAAACTATTTAGTTACACATCCAAACTAGTTATTTTTTTCAAGTTTGATAGACTTACATTTTCACTATCTCAGTCTAGTAATTCAATCTCTGCAAAAAGTATTGCATTTATTATAGTCCTTATTAGAGTTATGTTGACTTACAGAATGAAAGGATCAGACCTGACTTATCCATGGATAAAATAAAAATACAGCTGTCCAAAATCACTTGCCATGTCGGGCCTGATCCTTTTTGTTTCATTTGAAATGGTTCATTGGATTAACAGTTGGATGTGAAATGCAAAACAATAGATGTAAAGATTTCCACAACAGTTAAAAACATGGTTCCCATCCCTCTTTAATGACAAAGAAGTCGTGGTCACATCAATTGTCCTTTTAATTTAATTTTGGAAATGTGTCTAATATTCTTTATTTTTTCAGGCTCCCGCTGCAACAGTAAGCTTAAACAGATGGCGCTCAACACAAGCTGCAACGTTTGAACAGACCTTACTAAATGTGCCAGAAACAAAAACATCTAAACTAGAGAATGGAGTCAGGATTGCTTCAGAAGACTCAGGAATACCTACTGCAACGGTATGTACATTGATTTACACCTTATGATAAAGATGCCTTATCAAGATCAATGAGCTATAATGTACTCTCCCTATAGAATAAAGGTGTTTCAGGGTGGTGTCAAAATTGAGAGGGAGTTTACCCCAATGACTTTGAGATCTATATATACGGCAGGGTCGGAGGGTCTTTAAGATTTTCAATGTTTATACAATCATGTGTTAGCAAGTCTTCAGTTTAATTAGACTGCATAAAGCTTGAAAATAAATGTATTTCCTTGTTTGTTTATTTAAGAGGATTTATTGACAATATTTCTTCGCTTTGTAGGTTGGAGTATGGATTGACACAGGGAGTCGTTATGAAAATGCCCAAAATAATGGAGTTGCCCATTTCCTGGAACATATGGCTTTCAAGGTATTGTTACCTCCACCTATTGTTTACTATCTTTGCCTGATATTCTTTGCCAGAAGATGTAAAATAAGTACTTGCACATAACAAACAGATGACAAGGGTTTCACTAGAATTTATCACAACAGGGTAAATAAATGAAAACAACAGGAATTCATAAATTCAACATGGAAAAGTTGAAAAGTCCCTAAAGACAACAGGTGATTTTGTGCAAACAACCAGTGGAAATTGCCTGTTGCCTGCTGCTAATGAAATCCCTGGATGACATGTTAATGTTTTTAAACCACATTACTTCTTTGTTTGTAGGGCACTTCAAAAAGATCACAAACAGACTTAGAACTTGAAGTAGAAAACATGGGAGCACATTTAAATGCCTACACATCCAGAGAGCAGACTGTTTACTACGCTAAATGCTTATCTCAAGACCTGCCAAAAGGTATAATTATTGTTTTATGCTTGATCATTTCCAAATATTTAACTCTCATGAGTAGGGAACTGATCATACTGGCGATTTCTCTGAACTGAGATACAGTTTTTTTTCAATGTTCAAAATTAAGAGTCTAGTTCCACGAGTTTGGACAAAGTTTGGTGTACTTGACACCTGTAATTCCTGTAACCTGTGGATGGCAGTTGGCAGTCAGTGGTGGTTTGTAACAAATGACAGATGGTGACATTTTACATGTTGATGCCTTGTTGATTTTTGTTTGGACGAAAGGAATGCATTTATTTCATGCACATCTCTCTTAACTGTTTTATTATATGAGGAATTTCAAAGTGTCATTTCCATTTTGTTTTGTGGTTAGGGTTACCTGAAACAGGCAGTGATATTTCACTACATTTTTAATGTCCATTGACTACTATTACAAAGAAGAGAGTGCTGTATATAATGAAATACTGTCACCAAATAATACATTGACTTTCTTGCAGTGAAATTCCCAGACTTAATTTTCTGTGATCATTTTCCAGCTATGGACATATTAGCAGATATTTTACAAAACAGTACACTTAGAGAACAAGAGATAGAAAGAGAAAGAGGTGTGATTCTAAGAGAAATGCAGGTAATATTTGAGTTTAATATTGAATTATTAAAATCATCTTAGAGAGCTTATCAAAATGACTATGTTTTTGGCTTGGACTTTTTGGGATCACCAAATAGCCTGTAATATGAATTCAGCCATTCATCCAATCGACAACAATTTTCGGACAAAAACACAGGTTATTTTCTGAATAATGCTCATCTCCATTTTATGGGTGTCCATATAGGACAGCCATTTTATGTGTGTTATTTTACATCATTGCTCAACTGGAAAAGCAGTGCAGCGAATCTGTTTTACATTGAATTATATTTATAGCATGCATTTCCAGTCAATTATTTAATCATTTTCTCTGTCATATTTCTTTTTTGAGTGCGCTTGGAAGTGGAAGTAAATCCATTTTTTCTCTATAAGTCAGTAATGTCCCTCCTGCATTCCCAGCATTGAAAGCCTTACTCTTAGCCAGGGCATTGCGGATTGACCTCTTTGTAAAATATGCCAATGTATTGACATGATAATAAGCGGGTTCACCAGCCTTATGCTGAAGCAAGATTTCAACTATTTTTGTGTAGTTTTTCTTCATGGCTAGATCAAGGGGTGTAGTATATGTTGCTTGGTAGACATCATTACTTGTGCTGCTAACCTCATTCACGTCGGCTCCATGTTCCACTAAGTACTCAATTGCTTCATTTGGAGAATATTGTTCATGCATCAATATTAGAAACATCAGTACAGTTATATCTTTGTTCTCTCCATATTTCATATTGATGTCAGCACCAGCTTGTATGAGCAACAAAGTTACACGGATGTATCCTTGTTTAGAAGAAGCTCTTAATCCCCATATAATGACGAGATCTAAAGGAGTGTATCCTCTGGGATCTATTGCATTTGGGTTTGCCCCATGTTGTATGATTGTTCTTGCCATGTCATCTGCATCATTGTTGCCAATGTCACGTAATATAGCATTCAGAGGAGTGTCATTACCAGGGAGCCTTGAGTTATATCCAACAAGGTTTGGATCGGCACCTCTCTCTAGTAAGACATTTCGCAATATTGAGTTCTTGTTGTAGATCGTAAGCATAAGAGGTGTGCACCCTGACGAATCTGGTGTGTTAACATCTGCCCCATACTCAATCAAATCTATGACATATTTAGCATACATACGGACCTCTGTTGTGACATCAGAATGATACGCTGTCTTAATTAGTGCAGTTAGGGGTGTATCCCTCCCAGATTTCTGATTCGGATTTGCTCCAGATTTCAACAAAGGCCGTACCATGTGTACATTATTTTGAATAGCATGGAAGAGTACAGTTCCACTGCTATCATTTTCATTCACATTTGCTCCTTGTTTAATTAACTCTTCAACAATAGCAGTGTTCTCTCTTTTCAGAGCTTTAATCAAAGGTGTGTCTCCTCCTTGACCTGCTCTGTTAACTGATGCACCATTTGCTAGTAGAATCTTCAGGATTCCAAATTCATCATAACTCCATTTTGTTGCCATGTTGATAATGGTATCAAGTGGTGTTTGTTGTGTACTAAATTTAGGATTGTAACTCAGTTGGTTAGGGTCAGCTTTGTTCTTCAATAAGACCTCAATAATGCAGGTATTTTTCTTGGCAATGGCAACAGCTAAAGGTGTTTCTCCACTAGTCCCTGGATTATTCACCATAGCGCCGAGTTCTATTACTCTTCTTATGAGGTCATAAGTGTCTTTATTTTGAATACCAGCGTGTAACAAGGCTTGAAGAAGTGTATTCCCATTTTGAACGGTAGATTCAGGATCTGCTCCATGTTGAATGAGTATTGGTATAAGGTCCTTGTTATGATTGAAAGCCACAGTTAAAGGACAATCCTCATTCCATCCCTTTGCATTAACATCTACACGATGAGCTATTAGTTCTTCTATTATGGACAGATCTTTAGTGTTCTTTATTGCAACATTCAGTGGTATATCCAGGCCTAAGACTTTTGGATTGTATGATTTCTGGTTTGGATCTGCCCCTTTGTTTAGCAGAGCAGACACAATGTTACTCTTATTTAACAATACTGCTGTCATCAGTGGTGTCACAATATCTTGTTCTCTTGTATTTACTTTCGCTCCTGTATTGATGAACTCCATCACCATAGATGGCGCATCTGTTGTCTTTATGAGCACATTGAGTGGTGTCTCAAAAATCTTTACTTTCTTCTCTATAGCCTCATTTTTAAAGTTATCACTTAGGACATCTGAGGTGTCTGTATGTGTGGTAAAGTTTGGATCTGCCCCACATTTTATCAACAGATGTAAAATATCCCAACGTTTGAATTGTATACAACACATCAGTGGTGTCGTAAGGTCCCCATTTGAATCGCTCCAGACACAGTTCAAAATCACTCCATACTCCAAGAGTGTCTCTATAACATTAGTGTTATTAGTCCGGATGGCCCATTGTAGTAAAGGTTTCTTGTCTTCAGGAATTCTTTTCAGATCTTCTACTTTCACTCCTTGATCAAGTTGCACTTTTATGTGTTTTTCTAGACTGTTACCCATGTTCTTTGTACATGTAAAGTTACATGTGCAAAATATGTTAAAATTAAAGAATTGAAATGGTCTAATATCTTTCTGTATGAGATAGTTTCCTGTGAACTATTTTATTCTGTTTACTGTTGTCGTATGACTCATGGTTGGTTATATTTCGCAATTCTAATATGTCTATACCATACCTTTACATTAGTGGTTGTTTTATATTGGTTTAAAGAGCTCTCGTATTTATGTGGATCCCTTGCAGATGAATTCATCAATATAATTCAAACCTCAGTTGTAAACACAACAGTAATGTTTTTTTGAACTGATTTGTTTAAGTTTAAATATTACGATTATGAATTGATGTTTTTAAGGTAAAGTAATTACGATATTATGATATTATAATTATCAATCTTCAATCTACAGTAATTCAATTCAATTCAAAATTTTTTTGAATCTGTTGACAAAGAATTCTTAAGTGTGCTCCACTGACTGCAAATGATTTACGGCCAGTATTTGTTGAGACACTCCTTTTCAACAAGAAAATGATTTATATGACACTTTGCAAACAATTTTGGTTTTGTGAATGGGTAAAATAATGTTTTATCCAGGTCATGGTGAAAATCTTTATTTACATCCTTGTTGAAGTCTATATAGTGTTAATCAATAATAGAAAAGAGTTAGCTGTTCTTCTAAGAATACATGAATCATAATTTCTCTATATTTAATCTGATGGAGTTTCTAATCATCTTGATCCATTAACGTATTGCATGACTGAAGGATTATGCTGGTTTAACAGTATGGTTTCTAATGAAATTCTACCACAGATTTTCTCAATCTCTTCAAAATGGTTGACACTGTAGCTGTGTGAATTTAAAGAGGGAGGGACTTTGTAAAATTAGAATCATAGTACCATTGTAAAACTTGATATTGCTGTTGAAAGACTTCATATTGCTGTTGAAAGACATACAGTAAAACCTGTCTCACTGAAACACCTTTGGTACCTCTAAAAACTGTTCCTATTGGGAGGTGTTCCACTTATTGAGGTTCATTTAATATTAAGTCAGTTGGTCTTGAGACTCTGAAAAGTGTTCCACTAACAAAGGTGTTCCATTTTTAGAGGTGTTTCACTTTACAGGTTATTGCTGTTGTTAGAATCAGAATTTATGACTGTTATTAGATTTATATTACTGTTAACAAACCTTGTATGACTGTTTTTAGATTTTATATGACCTTGTTTAACTGTTGTTAGACTTTCTTGTAGTATTAAGAATTCAAATCCATGATATATCAATTGTAGTCGCAAGACTTCATATTCAGCAGCAATACTTTAGTTACAGTTGCAAGACTATATGTTGCGGTTGCAAGAGTATAGAATGTTACTATACATTATATGCGAGACTTTGTAATACAGTTACAATACTTTATATTACAAATGCAAGACTTATATTGCTATTACAAGACTTCATATTGTTATTCTGTGTTACAGGAGGTGGAGACCAACCTACAAGAAGTTGTGTTTGATCATTTACACGCCACAGCTTTCCAAGGCACCTCTCTTGGTCGTACCATCCTTGGACCCACTGAAAACATCCAATCTATCAGTCGGACAGACCTCCAGGAGTATATTCAGAACCATTATAAAGGCCCCAGGACAGTGCTTGCTGCAGCTGGAGGTACTGTAGATTGGGTTAATTTGGGGCTACTTAATTTGGCGATTTTGCCATTTTTGGCATATTGGCGGCTATTTAATTTGGCGGATATGCAAAAAAAATTTTAATTAACTTACGTGTTGTTTGCGAATTTTATGTTCATTTTTTCTTTTGAGGACCACTGGCAATATTCACCACGTTTGTACATTTTTGTGAGATCATCCTTTACATTTTGCACCTCGATTGATGCTGCTACTATACTGCACTTTTCCTTTCTAGTTTTTCCCTGAGTATTAATAAGTGACTGACCAGTTCTGAGCCAATTTATGAGAGACATTTTTTTCATATTTTTGGAAAAAAACTAAACCGGAAGTGACCTAAATACACTCGACGAAATACCCTAGATAATTCCCGGGGATTCATTCTAAATTTTGGCGAAGATTTATATTGGCGAATTTTTCAATTTCGCCAAATTCGCCAAATTAAAGCGGGCGCCAAATTAACCCAATCTACAGTAAGTGCTTGGAGAAAGTGTGATGTACAAGTTTATGAACTTAGTGAAATCACCAAAATATCCAGGATCCATTTTTGAACCATCATTATTGACGATTTGGTTGCAAGTCATTGTTCGCCAAAATGTGTAACTCAAAAGAGGTCATTTGTTAAAGCTGTCAATTTTTCATGATTATTGCCTTATTACTATATTCCTTCTTTGTATCTTCCATTTATGTGTTGTGCAAGATCCAATAAAAATTCTTGGATTATTAAGAAATATATCAAATGATAACTCGTTAGTTTGCTCAAATCTTTGAATAAATGTAATTTGTACATGTTATGTGTATTCTTTTGTAATTTGAACCTTACTGACTGTTACTCTCCATTGCAGGTGTTGATCATGCAGAACTAAGCAATCTCGCTCAAAAATATTTTGGCAACTTGAGCGCCACCTATGAGAATGAGATTCCAACAATGCAGCCTTGTAGATTCACAGGAAGTGAGGTAGACATTTATTTTCCAATATTTATTCAAAATATTTAAATAGTAATGTTCAGCCTCCTTTGTCCATTTACAATTTTTGGATAAATTAAAACCCGCATTGTTACTCTCAGCTTCTACTTTTGTTTCATTTTTTTTAAGAAATCAGTTTTTACCATGTTGGTCCACTACACTAAAAGGTGGTGACTTTTTAGTAACATAAGGACATTTTGGTGAATTGGTACTTTGACTAGACTTCACATGTAGGGTGCTGCTGTGATAAGCCTGGTGTAAATCTCACATTTGTTTCCTCTTTATTTATCTTAGATAAGAGTAAGAGATGACTCAATGCCTCTAGCCCACGTAGCAATAGCTGTAGAGGGCGCTGGCTGGGCCAACCCTGACAACATCGCCCTCATGGTCGCCAACACACTCATTGGCAGCTGGGACAGATCTCATGGCGGAGGTCCCAATCTTGCAAGTCGTTTAGCAGCTAACTGTGCAGAACAGAACCTAGCAGTCAGCTTCCAGTCATTTAACACCTGTTATAAAGATACTGGACTATGGTAGGCATATTTGATATTTTCATAAGGAACTGTCTATAACAAGAACTTGAGATGTCACTCTATGGTAGATAGTGATGATGTTTAAAGTTTGTTCTAATCTACCAAACATTTATCATATATTTGTCTTGTTAAATTGAAAAGCCATTGTAAATACATATTAAATATACAATAATTGGCTGAAGAATATATGTATGTACCTCCAGGGGCATGTACTTTGTGAGTGAAGGATCTACTATTGAAGACATGATGTTCAACGTGCAAGGAGAGTGGATGAGACTTTGCTCCAACATCACAGAGTTTGAGGTACAGAGAGCCAAGAACCTGTTGAAGACCAATATGCTGCTCCAGCTAGATGGCTCCACACCAATCTGTGAGGACATTGGACGCCAGATGCTTTGCTATGGTAGGAGGATTCCTCTGCCTGAGCTGGAGGCCAGAATTGAGGTATGTGACAAGGGATGAAGTAATTAGATTGCATTATAATTATCCCATCGAACGAAGTTCGGAGGGATATAGGGAACGCCTCCGTCCGTCCGTCCGTCCGGGCAATAACTCAAATACCGTTGGCCCAATTTTGTTCATATTTTGTACACATATACCCTATGGGGGTAGAAGTTCTGCTCGATAGCCGATTTTCAAAATGGCCGCTCATTTCAAAATGGCGGCCATTTTAGTGCCGATTTTACAGTAATTTAGGTGTAATATGTAAAACTGTAATAGCAATATGTTTTAAATGTAAAAGAATTATAAAGGACATTAATAATGCTACAAATGTAGATATTAAAGAAGCACATGGCAGCCATCTTGAAAAATGGCGGCCTTTACTCGTCATTTTACGATTTTTCCTATAACTCAAAAAATAGTGGAGCGATTTTGTTCATATTTGGTATGTGAATACTATAAGCATTGCACACTGTCTAAAAACACTTTTGGTAGAAGGCGGCCATTTTGAAAAATGGCCGCCATTTTGAAAAATGGCCACCATTTTAACGTATTTTACTATAACTCGAAAAGTAGTGGAGCAATTTTGTTTATATTTGGTATGTGAATACTATAAGCATGGCACACTGTCCTATGACACTTTTGGTAGAAGGCGGCCATTTTGAAAAAAATTTTGAAAAATGGCCACCATTTTAACGTATTTTACTATAACTCGAAAAGTAGTGGAGTGATTTTGTTCATATTTGGTATGTGAATACTATAAGCATGGCACACTGTCTATTTCTAATGACACTTTTGGTAGACGGTGGCCATTTTGAAAAATGGCCGCCATTTTAACATATTTTACTATAACTCGAAAAGTAGTGGAGCGATTTTGCTCATATTTGATATGTGAATACTTTAAGCATGGCACATTGTCTAATAAAACTTTGGGGAGTAGATGGCCATTTTGAAAAATGGCCACCATTTTTATGTGTGTAATTTTACAAGTACGTGTGAGATTTTTCAAAAATTTTAGAGGTGGCTACTTAAAAGCATATTATTTCTTCTGATGACAACTTGGCTAGTGAGCAACCATTTAGAAAATGGTGGCCTTTCTGGTGTGTTGTTTTATGATATTTGCTATTCGTTTGTAAAAATGCCAGCCATTTCTGTTCGATGGGATTCGCTTCGCTTTGGCGTTGCCGTTGTTCTGGTTCTAAACTACTAGGTGGAGGAACAGTCATTCGATACAATCACAAACTGAGAGTTGAGAATTTTACTTCTTTATTCTTACGATTACAGAACTGTAGTGTGTCGATGTGAGTGTATACTTTTGCAACAGAATACACAATAAAACCCAAATTTTGATTTTCAACTACTTTGTATTCTATCATAATGTATAAATACCACATAAATATGTAAAAAACATTAACCATTAAATTATAATCATGAAAATTACATCAAATTCTCATCAAACAAATATTTCTTTAATGAACTGCATATTACCATTGTTGTTTAATTGTGTTTATAATGTGGACATTGTCATTGTTTCAGGCTGTCAATGCAAAGGTTATTCGTGAAGTTTGCAGCAAATATATCTACGATCATTGTCCTGCAGTGGCAGCAGTAGGTAAGAGAATTCAGACAATATTTCTCCAGTTTTGTATGGTATTGCATTATCCAATCTGATTCTGATTTGGAATATCACAGGCCAAAAATTTCAAAAATCATAAGAAATAGAATTCAAGAATGAATAAGATTACATATACTATTTAAAGACATGTATAGAAATCAGTAAAGCAAAGTATTGACCAAAACACTGAAATTCTTGTATCCTATCAGAAAATGGTTAGACAGGTTTGTGCATGACTTCAGGATCAACTTTCATGTAAGTGATCCAAATTAACTCAGCTGAGAACTCATTCAACTCAACCACCCTTTTCAAAAAGATTCATGAACATACATTGAATTACATTAAGATTCGTGAACTGTTCATGAACATACATTGAAAATTCATATATGTATATATTTTGCATTTCAGGTCCCTTAGAACAATTACCTGACTACAACAGAATTAGAGGAGCAATGTACTGGTTGAGGACTTAATGATAGCAGACATTAGACAACAGTTATTTTAATCTACCAACCTATATTAGCAGACATAATGAACATTTAAAGAACATCTCTAAGAATTTCATTCAAAATCAACATGTTTCGTGAATTTAAACATTTCATCCCAAATCAACATGTTTCGTGAATTTAAACATTTCATCCCAAATCAACATGTTTCGTGAGCCACTGAATTAATCTGCCAATGTTTGACTATTTATTATTGGTGGGTTCTAGTTTGATTATTGATATGCATCAGTAGTTATGATTTTAAAGTATTGGAATTATAAAAATGTGAATTGTTTATCGCTCTTAGAATATGTACAAATAAAGAGTGATCTGTATGTTATATACATTAGCATTATGTTATGTGTACATTTACTCCTATATAGTTGTAGACCTTTCTAGAGGTCAACTGGCAAAATTGTTTTCCTCAGCTTTAAATCTAGAAAACATTTTGTTGAATGTATAACTCTGATATTAAGAATTTTTAATTGATTAAATACTGAGGTTAACAAGTTTGGTTGTTGTCTGACGAAAGTACTTCACCATCATTCATAGGTTGGTCGACAGTCAAAATTGTTCACTTTTTATCAACCACACTGGTGATGAACCGTAATCGAGGGAGGTTTTACCTCGTATCAAAATGGCTGCAATGAAAAAGGAGCATTTGGAAAGATTTTTTCATTTCTTAATTTTTGTGCTTTTGTCCTTCAAACTAAATATTTGGCAAGTAAGTGGTTTGTGAGTTGCAGTTTCAGAATGTAATTACACCTTAGAAATTAATGCAGTCATTGCTTTGATATTTGCAAATCAATTCCCTCGCTTAGGAAACAAGGAAAGTTTTTTGCAAGTTAAACATTTTCTCTTATTATTGAAAAATGTGCCTCGTTTCCTAAGTGAGAGAATTGATTTGTAAATATCTCAGCAATGACTGGATTGATTTCTAAGTTGTAATAATATTTTAAAACCAGAACTTACGAATTATTTACCTGCCAAATATTTAGTTGTAATTTTAAAGATTAAAGCACAAAAATTGTGAAAAGAAAAAATCTTACCAAATGCTCTTTTTTCATTCACGGTCATTTTGATACAGGGATGTCTGTAAACCCAGTTTATGTGGGTATGTCCACAAGTTCACAATCTACGAAAACATGTTTGCTAAATCATATTCACTGAATCTTTGATATAATGACCTACCTTCATGATGAACCTTCCCTCATTTCCAGTTCATCCCCAGTGAACCAGCCATCAGGATATTTAGATGGTGGTTTTAACAATATATGCATACTGCACAGCTTATCAGAAAGTTACCAATATCCATTTTCTTATTGAAATCTGTTAGTTTTGCCATGGCTAACCTATATTAACAGACAAATATTATTTATTTTTAATTTCATGTTTATTTAAAAAAATAAAAATTTATACAAAATTATGAAGCATCAAAAATAAGACCGATAGTACAAGGCCTATGTAAAAGATGAACTGTGTGAAGTTAGACAACAGAAGAACATATGGAAAGTTAAAGGTACAAATTGACTTGTGCTTAACTCTATAATATTAATGCCATTGGTCTAAAATGAGGATATATGAATAAAGACTCTCCACTCAATTTATCTTGACTTTCATACAGTTTCATCTGAAAGGTAGTTGCTTGTCTTTTTTGGCACCATCAATAGGTTAGGCAATGAAAAAAACATACTGTTTATTATGGTTCTCCATCTTGTAACTCAGATGTAGTTATAGATTTTAACAAATGCTCTTGGATCTCCACATGTGACCACTAACTGTTCATGTATACCAACAGAGATGCCTTTTGGTGTATGGATATCATTGACCACATCACAGATATATCTAAGATCACTGGAAAACATCTGTACTCTGTTGTTTCCCTCATCAGCCACTAACAAATTACCCTTTCTGTCGATGCACACTCCCCATGGCTTTATAAACTGTCCTTCTCCTGATCCACGTTCTCCTAATCGCCCAATGAAGTTCCCACTCTTATCGAAAACCTGAATTGAATCGTTACCAGAATCACTCACAAAAATCTGTCCTTGTTCACTGATTGCTACATCAGCAGGGCCTTTCAGAGGGCATTGAGGGTCATCACGGAATGGACCATGGCTTAATCCATTCAGCTCATGTAGTGTCACTCTACTTGCCATGTAATCAGTGACAAGAATAACATTCCTTCTAATGTCAAATTCAACACCCATTGGTTGAATGAAATCTTGCTGTCCAAAGCTGTGGACCATATCAAAGCCCTCTCCACTGACCTTGACAAGGTTGACTCTACGATTCCCAGTGTCAGCAATGACCATATTTGTGCCTGTCGAGTCACACACTGCAACACCACTCGGTTGAACAAACTTATTAGCTGTGTGGCCGATTCCTCCGTAAGCTTCAAATGTCTTGTGGACGTCACCTTTGGAGGTCATTGCTTGAATCCTGTCGTTTCCTTTATCGGAAATAACAATATCACCAGCCCTTGCATCAACATACCATGGATAGTTACACATACCAAGTCTGAAGCCATACTGTCCAACTTCATGAATCAAGTGTCCCCTTTGTGGAGGTTTGGTGTATGCTGGGAAGGAACTACCCCCTGCATAGGTAGGTCCATTGTAGCCCATAGTTTGGCGATTGTAAAATTCCATGTTTTAGTATTAACCTGAAATGAGAAGTATAACATGCTGTACAGGTTGACTTCAGATCAGCTGGATAATGAATACTTTTATATGAAATTAATTGACTTGATATTTGAAGTTGAGGAATAAGGAAAAGAGGAAATCTTCTAAATATCAAAAAATAAGCGTTGGTATATACAGGGTGAGCCAAAAAAGGTTACCTAAACAAATGTTAATAAACAGTCCAGCATGGGATTATGGTCATATTTGGCAAAATTAAACCTTGTTCAATGTTTTTTCCTTCTTTGTTTCATAGGTCTGAAGGCAAACTTAAACGTTCCAAAAAGTTGTTCACAAATACCAGCACAGACATATTGTCATCTTCCATCTTTTCTCTTGCTTCAATGTTTCAAGGGTTGTAAGTGTAGCCTCACAGATAAAAGTCTGGGGGACTTTTGTCTGGTGAGAGTGGAATTTGGAGCATGTATTGTAAATGGCCACATGGCCATTAAGTATAGACCAATGAAAGTTGGTAGAATGAAACATTAAACAAGGTGTAATTGTGCCAAATTTAATTTTAAACCCACGCTGAATGACTCAGGTATCAACTTACATTTGCTTAGGTTACCTTTTTTGTCTCACCCTGTATTTAGAACCCGCCTGCTATAGAAAACCTCTGGTATTGATGTTTTTCGAAATATTATATTGTGAATAATATTAGGATGGATTGGCTGTAAAATCTTAAATGTTGCTGTCAATGTCACATGCATACTGATGATGTCCTATGCAAGCATGTATAAAAGTCAACTGAACAGGATCATATTAAAGGCTCATGTTTGCACTAAATTACTTCAGGAAGGGGCTTGCATAAAGTGAAGCAGGTAGTGTATAGAAGCCAACTACCATATATGGCTTTACACAATCAAGATCCTTTAACTAATGGAGTAAAACTATTTTGCTCATAAAATCTCTTTACCTTTAATTAATAATAGCCTGACATTGTGCCATAGACAGGTTATATAGACTTGTTAATTACTTAAGGAAGATTGATTGGAATACAAACTTCTCATTACTATAAAAAGCTTTCAATATTAACACCATAGTACAGTGGAGTCAACAAACCCAAGTTTCCATTTCACATCATTTGTTATTGTCAAAAACAGAATTGATCAATCCAAGAAATCTTAATATACAATGGAGCGTAAAGTCAGATAACTGATTCAGTATTAAATGTCTGAACAGATTGACCCAATAAAATATAGCCTAAATGGTGAGTAGAAATTGAGATTGTTTTTCTATGTATTTACATCATCCTGTACCAGAGAATGGTGTAGGAATAAGACCAATGATTATGGTGCATATAAGCAATGAAAAGACAGGTGTTTTATACAGGAAGATTTTTATCTCAATATACCAAGTTAATTTCTATTATTCAGTAGTTCCTTCACATTAATTTATTCTACAATTTCTGTGATATGTGCAGTTTGATGAAAACAATATTGTACTAAATTACGAGTGTTTTACTATTAAAAGCAAATTATTTATAACATATTGAAAAAAGCATCCCAGATCAAAATTTTTTACTAAAAATTACCTACCAGACTCACTCCAGTTGTGTTATATCAAAACAAATGTGATAACTTCATCAACTGATCAACAAATCATCCACTGGCTATATGGATATGGCTTTTTAATATTTAATCCACTAAAGAAATGTTATTGAAAGACCTTTTCAGAGTTTCTGTTAGTTTGCTTAATCTTGTTGTGAATAATACTTCACTGGATAAGCTATTTAAAGAGACAATACATATCGGTGTGTCTATAGACATTGACCTATATAATGCACCTGGTTGCTAGGCACAGTGGTAAACAATCTTTTATTGTATTTGCACATGCGCAAATGTCAAGTGAATTTATTAAGCAAATGAAATGTTATTTTAAATGCAATAGCACCTGTGTTTACAGTTTAATGCATAACCCAAAGAAATCCCTCAAATTGTGATACATGCTACATTCATTTATATGGGCTAATTACCTATTTTGGTCATATTTTCTGAGAATGTAAGCTAGACTGTACAATAAAATCTGTGCATGTGTATGAACTAATTCTGTGAAATGATCATTCACATTTTTTTTGTGGGAATCTTGTCATGTAGGGCATCTAGGAGTTAGAGAAAATTTAAATACTAGTAAGGCACCAGAATAGCCTTGCCCAAGTCGGTACTCTTTTACTTATCCTGATCTTGAATTATTACCAGATAAGTACAGGGTGTTCAAAAAACGCAACCCAAAGAAATCGCTATATCTTGGAAAATACTGAACCAATAGACTAGATGCGAGTAGAAATGATCTTGATTTACATCATTAAATATTCAAAATTCAGTCAAAGTGATGTCATATTTGAAATCTACATGTAAAAATACATCTTTAAATATGGTTTCAAAAATATTTTATCAACTTTGAAAATTTGATATTTTTTGAAAATATGACCTCTAGTTCAGGTTGATTCCCCATAGACCCCATATTACAAAATCCCCAAAAGTGAAATATCTTTTCTTATATTGGACATATAACATTTTATTTTACTGGACAAACTTACAGGGCTATATGAAAATTTAACCACTAAAACAGATGTAATTTAAAGGGGCAATAAGGACTGTAGAGAGAAAATTTGAAAATTTTTATTTTTTCTGAGCTATCAGGTCAATATTTGGCTTAATACCTTCTTTGACATACCTATTTTCATAAAATGTATGTATAAACTATCAATTTCAGCATTAAGAAGTGTAAATTCAATTCAAAGCTTCTATAAAGGGAGTCCCACTTATAGATTTTTAAGATCCACCATGTTTCAAGAGGAATATCAGCTGAAATAATGTTCATCCAGAGGGTTTCTTTGTAGATAATGAAAATATATGTTAGTCTTGATGAAATATCCAAACCTAAATATATTTTGACACTTGTCGATGATCGTTGAATGGCCCCCCTGCACTATTTGTAGCACCTTTAAGTTAAAGTGAACTTTCTACTATACCCGCCAAGCTATCTGACCCGAGCGAGCCACCTGGTGGTGAAACTGGTAACTACCTACTCGCATTTGCGTTATTGTGTTCATTTTTTCAGGAAAGAAGGAAGAGACTGTATGTATAGCCCCAGTTATTTGTTAATGGTAAAACATGATGTCTTGGACATCTGCTCAAAAGACATTAGTATTAGAAAAATACGAAAAATGTGAATGGACTGGGGATGGGTTGATTTTCTTTTCAAGACAACTCTACCATATGCTCCAGCGCTGGTGTCCGCAGTTAAGAAATCAGGCTTACTAGGACAGTTGCGAACAGTCAATCCCTCTCAATGACTCCCATGTAAACAGGTCATCTTGAACTATTTATTCAAATATGACATTAATCACATTTTACATGTCAGTTCTGAATAAGATTTATATTTCATCAAATAAACAGTATGCCCCGAGAAGAGGAAATCTGATTTATAAAGGATAGAGATTGTAAATTGTTGGAACACACTTTTCAAAAATCATGCCAATGGTTACCATACAATTCTAATCTTATTTTCTGGAAAAGAGTTGAGATATCTTTTCAAATATGGAAGTTACTGAAGCTTTTAATACAGTCATGCTCATACAGTATTTATAAGAATCAAAAACGTGAAGTCATTCCCATTTTAACAACTTATAAAATTTATGTTATTTTTTATATATAATTTATTTATTTTTTGGCTGCTTAATATCTTTTTATACTTAACATTTTAATTTGCATAGCATTCAATTATTCAATACATTTAAACCTGTCTAATCTGAATGCCATTGGGACCAGCCAAAAGTCTTCGGATTTGCAGGTGTTCACATTTCAAGGTTCTTTTATACAAGTCTATGGTATATGAGAAATTGGGACTTTAAAAGTGTTCACATTGCAAAGTGTTCAAATTAGAGTGTGGTTTTCCTGTACACATTATTCAACTGTCAACACTAATGTTACTCAACCAAAGGAGTGGTATCGATATGGACAACTTTTTGAACACACGTTTCTCTTAAACCAGTCATAAAAAAAATCTCAAAATTTAACACATCGTCAATTTAATGGTCATCTTTAGAATGGTAACAATATAATTTGAAAAATATATATATACTTCCATCTATATTGTTTTAGAAAACACATCAAACACTTGTTTCGTTCTTGGTATCATGTTTCCAGAGTGAAATGAAACATCTTTCCGAACCTCATAGGAACAAAACGACATAAACACAACATGTTTAGGTCTCTCAATATTGTAATTGTACAAAGGACATTTTGAGAAGAATTTTGTCTAAGAACATGTTGTATATGCTATTTTGTTCCAACAAGGTTCGGAAAGACATTTTATTTCATTCTCAAGAATTGGTAGAAAGGAGCAAAAACAATTGTACTAAAAAAAAAATGTTAACAAAAACAGTTATATAAAATATTTCTAAATAATTTTCGCATTAAATTGTTGTCAATCAGTCAACATTACATAAAATACCGTGTTTTTTTACAGAATGTTTTCAATGATTGGTTTAAGAGAAAAAAATTGTTGAATTCAGTTCTCCATATCGATACCAATCCTTTTACATAAATGTACATACATTTAGAAATCATGAATATATTCTCATAGGAAATCAACAAACACTGCAATGACATTGTACAGATTGAACTAGATCTTAAGTTAAGATTTGGTTTAAGTCAACATACACATACAGTAAAACCTGTCTTAGTGAACACCTCTTTCTAGTGAACACCTGTGTCTAGTGAACACCTCTCCTCAGCATATACTTCATTGAGTTCTGTATTAAATTGCTTCTCTGTAGTGAACACATTTTTGTGGCTCCATAGTTGTTCAATGTAGACAGGTTTTACTTTACATTATATTAACTTCTTATGCAATGTCAATAGATATAGGGGAAATATAGAAGCCATCCTCTTGTCTCTGCTCAGCCATTGAGCACAAATGAATGGTATCAAATTTCTGTTCGCCAAATTCAATATCATGCATCCCAGAGTACAACTGAGGATCAATTTCCTTGGTCCCGAGTTCCCTAGAAACAGGACGTGTTACTTTCATGATAGTTAGATGTGGTACAAAGTCATGATTATCTCTAACATCAATTCCATTTTCTTTGCAGAGCGTTTTCAGATACTCTACAATGTTAATCAATCCTTGATTGGGAATGGGTTCTGCGTAGAGTACTCTATCGAAGAATGTTCCTACTCCTTTGAAAGTCAATGACAAGTCCTTGGCAACCATGGTTTTAATTTCCTCATGATAGTGATGGAGGAAATCAACTGCATGGCCAACTTGGTCTGGAGTATCGAGCCCTAGAACACATAGTGTAACATGTAGGGCCCCCGCTGGTATCACACATTCTGCATAGCGATCTTCCACATCCAAAATTGCATCTTGGACATCGAGAATATTTTTCCTGATTTCTTCATCTGTGATACGTAACGCAAGAAAATGATTTGGTCGTAGTTTATCTTGCCAGTAGTCTCCATGTGGTTGGATGTTTGCTCCTACATGTATGTTGATCCCATCATCACTATCATCACTGTCATAGCCATCAGAGTCTGCAGCAGCATCATCAACTTTATGCTCTTCATCATATGCCCTCATTACTTCAATGATAGTTTTCTTTCCCCCAGTTGAGCCAAACACGTCATCAAGTCTCTTGTTCTTATCCCACACCTTTAGGGATTTGTATTTGAAGTACTGGATGCGATGTTTGGGAATAGCCAATGTGTTGTAGTCAACGCTTGCGATGTCTTCCCATGAGAAAAAAGTGAAAACTTTCTCTACAAGGCCGATGATTCGATCCATATACCCGATTATGAAGTTGTCCTTCTTAAGATCCTCATCCCATTGGATGCGATGAATAACATCTGTAGCAGTCTTCATCGGTGGCTTTTTCTTGGGGCCCATATCATCAACTTCAACTTTTGGCTTCTTCTGCTTCTTCTGAGACTTAGGGGACTTTTTAGTTGGCTCAGCAGTGACAGTTACATCAATGGCCTTTTCGTATAACCACTGTTTCCCATAGTCCACAAGACTTGTAATCATTTTCTTGCCCTGAAGTTTAGTGGCCTCTTCTGTCATTGCAGCTATCAGTGCTTCAATCTCATCTCTATTCATCTTGGCTGATTTAATGATGATCTGAGGCACAACAGATGGATAGCTCCCTGTAACAAGAGTCAATATACATGTAGGCCTATATTTTAAAAACTGATAAATAATCTGTATGGATATGGATATAACTGTAATTGTTTTCTGATTTCATTTTTTATATACACCCCCAAAATGCAATCTGATTTGCGACGCCGTTTCGGTGCCGTTTCGGCACCAAATGGACTGACTAGTCCGGTGGCAAATTTTGGTGCCGGAACAGCGCCAAATGTTTTTGATGCCGAAACGGCGCCGAATTATATTGGCTGTGTACCAAGTCGTAAAACCTTTGTTTTAACATTAAGGGAAACCACTGTTGAATGGATCCCTTATATATTATTTGATCCATACTTTGATAAATCATTGGCAATAAATATATCAATAGAAAACAAATCTGTCACTCAATTAAAGGAACCAATAGGTTCTGAAACATTCTCTTGAAATAAATAAATGAATAATAGGTTGTATCAGAATATTTTTTTGATGTTAATTATTTTTCAAACTGACGAACAAGTTCATGGCTAAATGCGTTGCTTATTTATGAGTCAGTTTTGAAAACCAAGCAATACAGTTTGTAATTTTCTTACCATTGAGTTGAAATTTTATGCTCAGGTCAGTCTCCTTTGGTTTGATTGTCACCATGTAAGCAATATCTCCAATGTTACTGATCACCTTGCATTGTGGGCCATATGAGCTTTTCAATGCTTCAATCTCTGAAGTTGCAGCCTGTGATACATCTGCCCCTGCCATATCTGGATTCTGGAGTCATACAAAAAGGAATACATGTATATTAAGGATGAGATTACATTTAAAAGAGTCAGAGATATTTCAACTTTAGAAGTTGAAAGCTAGTTGAGACTGTATTTTGCCGGGTTACTTAATCAATTCTTTTACACTCCATCAATAGTGAATAGTCTTAAATAAAATTGGACATTTAGATGAACTGTAAATCTCAATAGGAGTACATTCAAGGTTATGGTGTTATCACACTACCCTACCACGTGACCACGTTTAAAAGGGAAACAGGGTACAGCTTAGTTGCAAATGGAGGACGTGGGTTTAATTCCATATTTCCGAACGTAAACTACATTTTACATATATTTCTAGTGTTCTACCAGACATAGAATTGATTCATCAAGGAGTGTGTAGAATATTGTTGGCAAAAAACCACTATAGGCAAAGATAGATAATAGTGGGCGCAGTGAAGCAAAACCAAATGCAATACACGATACATTTCAGTAAATCTATCAACGTACAGGGAGCATGTAAGTGTCCCTTCGAAAATGTTACATTGATATGTAACAAAAAACCTAGTTAACTGTTGTTTAAACTGCGTGTCATCGTGTTATAGGTGGATACGTTTTCTAGTATGTTAGTCAACTGTATTTTTGTGAATTTGAACAAAACATTTTGAATGGTCGGGTTTTAAGGACGGTAGTGAATTAGACCATTCAAGGGGTTCTATAGAAAGATTCTTCATATGTAGTTCAGGCAATTTTAATTATTCTGAGTAGCAAATAGTCATTAATACTGATAGCGGATAGTCATTTATCATTAACGTGTTGATATTTAATTTCGTTATTTTATTTCAATTTGATACCCTAGTAACACGTATAATCTAGCGTTCTTGTTAATTTAATGACTAAAATGCATACGACTTGAAAGCCCGTGTCTAAATCTACAAAATAATGTTTACTTTATTTGGATTAAATAACAATTGATAACACCTCAAAGCATCAACATGCGGCCTTTTTAGCATTACTTTCACTGTTTGCAACGTAAATGTACATGAGGTCGGGACATAGTATGTCTGTATAATCAGCTTACTTTCTCGCTCCCTGTACTATTGAACAATTTGCATTCCTTGTACCCTGTATTGATCAACTTTTGCAGCTGTGTACCGTGTACTATGTCATATCAAATATTTTAAAATCTAAAACGATATTATTTACATTATTTCTTCAACTATCATATAACTTGGAACATGGACTTCACTATTGCACCACTGAAGTGTAGCGAATAGCAATATTGACTCACTTCGAGCACCAAACGTATTAACCTTTTGACTAAGCAGTCGATATACTCAAAAGCGCATGCGCGATCGAGGTAGGGTAGTGTGGTTATGTTTTCAGTGAAACTAGAGTGATGGCCCCCTGTTGATGGCTTCTAGGTATCAATATCTATCAAATAAATGATTTCAATGAAACATTCCCTATCATGGTTATACTTTCTGAGCAGACACCACTGGCGGATCTCCCCCCCCCCCCCTTGTGGGCCCAGAAAAAGATTTTAGGGCTCCAAAATTTTTGGAACCATATATTTTCTCAATATATGGGCCTTTCCTAGGGCCCAACATTTTCAAGGGCCCAACATTTTCAAAATTTGAGCCCAATTTTTGGAATTTTTTCCTGACTCAGAATTTGTCCCCCCCCTTGTTAGCTTCGGGATCCACCAGTGGACACAAGTGGTAGCAGACTCGTCTTCATGGGCGTAGCGCCTATTATGCAAAATACGCACAGGCGTACCAAATGAATTTGAAAAAATTAAAAATGTGTTAAAATGCATTAATTTATTTGTGAATTTATTGATGCTTCCTACCGTCTATGTCTATGTCGATAATCTGCAAAAGGCTAATAAGCCCATATAAAGCAGATATATAATTTAACAGTGATAGAATTTGAATAGAATATAATTTAAAACCTTAACATATCTGTATTTTTACCATTGTCAACATTTAAAGTTGATAAAAACACTTAAGATTCCATCAAATAACGTCCTTGAAAAAATATTTCCCGGGGGAGCATACCCCCGGACCCCCCACGAAGTGCGGCCTTCGGCCACGCAATCAGGCATCCCTGAGTGTGCGTACCAACTCAACATATAGCCCTACGCCCATGGTCTTAATTATACATAATCAACATTGAACATGCCGATAAACAATGTCATCTTTGTTTTAGTTTCTTGCTGTTTCTAAATTGGAACAAACTAGTAGATCTATACACAGGGGCTTGGGTGGAGGGGCAAGCCCTCCGATGGGTCTGTACGTACTTGCCCGTTGCCCCCAAAGCCACTGTGGATCTATATTAGAAGTCTATGAAAAATTTTGAAGCAACTTCTCTCGAATTTAATAAACCTGTTCCACTCCTCACATAAAATTAATATAATTACCTAAGTTACTCTATTCCTGGCCTTGAGTATTTCTGTTGTTGATTGAAGAATGTGAAATGCAATTTTCCAACAGGCCTGTTAGCTTCTCTCCTGTACTGTGTCGTCCTGCGAACTATAAGGGAATATTTATATAGATATATCATGTATTGCACCACGACTGGACCCTCTAAAATGAGATATAAAGCCTTTGTTTGGTTAGATTATATTAGTGAGTGAATTGCACCACAAATTGAAACATTCTCCATGTTTACGATCATGTGATCTGGGAAATCCAAGTCACGTGACCTTTAGATTGTGATGATTTTTAGGAGCAAGTTGGTAAGATTTGACATAGAAAGAAGACAGTTTGCGTGTAGACGCTCCAGTCGATCATACGTATCACACATTCCTAGACGAAGATAGAGATATAGTGCACCAGCAGACGTAAGTATAGAAAATTTAGTGACGGTTTTCACGAATAAATTCAGTGTAAATGTTGGATGAAAATATCACCTGTTGAATCCTAAATTGTTGCTTCATAACTTTCACTTTCAGATCAATGCCAAATCACATCTCATTAGTCTAAGGCAGGATTGTACTAATCTTTTTAACCCAGAAGTTCATTCCCTATGCCATCGATGTAGTTTCCAGGGGTTCGCTGTCTTCTATATTCATCTTGGCTGATTTGATGACGATCTGAGGTTACTCGAGTCTCTAGCCAATGCTAGAGGGGATTTCATCTGGAATACTGTGAACTCCATTTGAAAAAAGCTGGCCGCCGTGTCATAAATTTATTGAATATTTTAAAAATCGCCAGATAAATAAATCATTAATCAAAACGGACCCCGCTCAACTCCTTGATGAGATATGACATGATTTCATCAGGATTTCGTCTAAAATTAAAACAAAATGGCTCCAAGAAAAATGGCGATGTTTGAAAACTGGACGAAATGTCGTTAACGTCTGACATTAGTAACTGGCTGTAAATTCTAAGTTAGCGATCCAGAAGATGTGAACTAATACACTGATCACTTTATGTGTGTTTTGGAATTTGTGGTGAAGTAATAAGACCAAAACTCGCAATTCAAATTGTGATGTGGAAAAATGGTGGACATATGATTTCAAATTATATGATTACGACATGACCAGTTGTTCATGCATGAATATATCTTTACTGGAAGGCCACGATACAGTGGCTTTAGAAGAAGGTAAATCTGAGGCATGGGCTTTCAAGAACGCAACGCTTTAGCCCATGTCTGAGGCAACGGATGGAGAAGTTGCCTGTTACAAAAACTTTTCTGTCCAAAAGATGCAATGATATACATGCACTTCGATGCCATTGATTTATTGCATGCGTTTCCCAATCTGTTAAGTTTCAAAAGTCTACATTTTGCACTATGGAACCTCAATATATGGCACCCAAGCTTCATAACTTAATAATCGTGTTACGTTATTCATTTAAATGGGATCTATTGAAGGGCAATTTTTGAATCTGAGCCATGTTTCATGTATTTTTACAGTGGCATATACTTATAGGATTCTACTTTTTGCTGCTCAGGGTATCAGTGCTTGAATGCTTTGATATGCCAAATTCTGTAAACTGATATATATGCTCTGACAAAAATTGAATGTTTTGACATTCAGCTGGCTGCTGATTGAAAGAAGGTATAGAGCCTGACAATGACTTCTTGTACCAAGACATAGCTAGATCTATAAAAGCATGGGCTTAAAGCCCATGATAAAAGTAAATAGATAAAACTTGTAAATTGATTTTTAAAATTAATTCAATTAAAATCATCAAGCATTTTAAAATACAGTTTATTTATAATGTGAAAAAATAATTGCAAATGCGTTGTTGTTTATTCTGAATCAGTTCATGGTGCATATTTCAAACCAAACCAAATCCCTGTTTGCAAATATTTGATGGAAATCTGAGTGCTATAACTAGTAACTTTCTGGAATTTTTTCTTCTGCTTTTTCCCCCAGTGTGTTTAGAGTAATGGATAGCTTGATAATCTTCGAAAATGTACAGGTAATTTACCAAGCTTCAGTCCAAAATTGACAGTTTCTGCCAAATTGTAAGTCAGTGCCTTAACTTTCCAAAAGAAGTTCACTCTTGAATATACATTTTTAAGTAAAAATTAAAAAATATAATTTTCAGTCAATATCATTGCAGGAGTATTTAGAATATTGAATAAGTCATGCATGGATAGCATTCATTGGAAGGGAAATATTTATACCAGTATTTGTGAGAGTTATATTCCTGATAAGGATATGAAGGCCTTAGGGGGTGTCAGGGGTTGGGGGTCAAGAACTTCAATATGTTACCCTACAGTTATCATCCCAGTATGTGTGAGAAAGTGAACTCTTACATAAGATTTAAATCCAATCTTTGATTATGTTTAAACTTTCACAGTCGTCCTACAAGTCCTACAAATTATTCCCATATTTTATCATTTTCTAAATTGGATATTTGTAAGGCATGAAAAACCACTGTATTTGCAATTTTCTCTGATATGAGTCTAAAGGAATTATGGAATGAGAGATTTCCCTGATTTACCAAACCAAACCAAGTGAAAGGAATTCTGTTATCAGGTGCCAGTGTAGCTTGCACTCCTGGCTAAATAGGTCATTACCAAATCTGATATGAGAATATGCAGAAAAGAAACCACCCTAAAATTCACCTGTTTTGAAAAATGCTTACACTGTTTCTCGGGGGGGGGGGGGGAAATTCCATTGATTTCTGTATCAAAAATATCTTTGTTGTTATCAAATACAGTGAACACCTCTTTATGACTCTAATGCTGTTTACAGTAAATAGGTTTGACTGTACTGTAAAACCTGTATACTGTGAACACCCGTGGAGCCACAAATATGTGTTCACTGTTAGTAGGTGTTCATTACAGAGAGTGATTTATACAGAAGTCAGTAGAGTATGTGCAGAGGAAGGGTGTCTACTAGAGACAGGTGTTCACTAAGACAGGTTTTACTGTATATAGTCTAGAGCTCAATAAATCTCCTAGCTAGCGGTACATCTAACAGATTAGTAGCTCCTAGAAATTCTTTTCCTTGGAGGGTTCCTTCCTTTCTGAATTCCAGGAGAATATATTGAAATATGAATTTGGAAAAAGATACAGAAAGTGAAATTATGTCAGGAAAAAAGATTTTTACAAATCATGTAACATTATGAAATATGTGGCTCATAAAAGAATTGTATAATTTACCTTTAACACATGATAGGAGATTATTTTTGTTGAGAAATTAATCTTTCTCAAACCAAGGTACACTTTGCAAATAAATACTAATAGAGGGACTTTGCATGAGCAGCAATGCAACTTTCTCTGGTCTCAGCTAATAAAGATTTTAAAAGACCAGGAGATATTTTTCAAAAAAATGTTATGTGTACCCAAAATGATTTGAATTGTTTTTAGATGACGGCTTTCAGAAATATCATTATGATGAATGCATATATTGTTTAAGGTACCAAAGATCATGTAGAATTTACATTTTTATCACACCTCTGGGATTTTATCAGTTAAGTGGATTGGATGGAACTTTGTCATATTTATATTATTCAAAGAGGGGGTAAAGCCCTGGGGTTCAAAGATGACATACGTCTATAATAAATGTAAATGTGCATTGAGATGACATCGTCGCTGATTGGTCAAAAGCTCTGGGGTTTTCATTGTTTCAGAAATGATTCATCTCGAGTTAGCCCATTAGCTAGAATATTGATCATATCAATTTTATGATTTTCATCATTTATATTTATATCGCTAAATAACACACTTGCAAATGAGGTAGATATATTTTCTCAAAGAGTGATATTAATTAGATACTATTTCAAAACCCTGTCTGTTTTAATTTTGTTTGTGTAGTATTGTCTGCTCATTCACATGGTATACCGTGTGACTGCTTTTTTTTCAGTTATTGATTGTTTTTTATATGTAAGGAGATGTCACTAGTAATGAGAAATTCCATTTTGATAAAAGCTTTTTCTTCTAATTAAGATAGAATTTAGTTATGTCACCGCTATAAGTGGTAACATATTGTAAGGGTCTCTAACTTTTTTATGGATGGTGTTTGGCGTTTGGTGTTCAGCAGTTGGTGTTCGGAGTTTTGTGTCTGTAACAAATGGTAAGTGGTAACATTTTCCATTCTAATGCCTTGTCTTGCCTTTTGTTGAAGTAGGGGAGGGGGTCCAGGGTCTTGAAGCAAGACAAGATAGAATCCATCTCCTTTATCCTTAACAAGTCAGGATTTTGCTTTGTGGAGGTCGAGACAATGAATATGCACAAACAACCAAACACATATTACATGTGTAATTAGAAAAGATATTAATGTTTTTTACAATGACAGTGAACCAGTATAACTGGAAATTAGCAAGCCATATCTTAGGAAATTATAAACAGTGCAACATTTTCACTCAGGTAATTGATATGTCGCAGGAAGTAATGCTTGGTAACCATGACAACATAATGTAGTTTTATGTTACTATATTCTAATTAAGGTATAGCAGGTAATTTCATATGAGCCATACCACATTTTTCAGCATCACACTTGTATTAATTTTTTTTTGATGTGTATATGTATTACACATACTTTATTAATATTGTACAAATAACAGTAGAGCAATATATGTTAGATACTAGAATATAGTATACAGGGTGTTCACTAAGTAATGAACACCCTGTGATACTAGATACTTGATGATACTTATCACTACAGGGGTTTCACTATAATTTCTCACAACAGGCTAAATAAATTAAAATGACGTGCAAAATTAATGGAAATCATAGATTTCACATGGAAATGTTGAAAAGTCCTTAAAAACAGGCGATTTTGTGAAAAGAACCAGTGAAAATCGTCTTTTGCCTGATGCTAATGAAACCCCTGCACTAAGTTGTATATTATTTGCCTCACCCAGGATTCCTCCATGGTCCTGAGGGTAGGAGGGTCAGACATAAATCCCCAAATATATTTTGAAAATTTGACCCATTTTTCCAAAACTAAGGTACAGATATATCACGTACAGACATATCACGTTCTACTCTGAAGCAATGAAAATTTTGGCGATTTTGGCATTAGCAGCATTCTATTTACCTTATCAAGATGACATTTAGCTGGATGGGCTAGAAATGAGAGCAACCGAGGTGACATAGACAATGATTTGCATGTGAAGGTGATCACCTCTGTAATTGTTGATCACTTTTTTATGTAATCGCTATAATCATCGAAAACATGGAAATTGTATTGTCAGATAAATTCCCCAG